GATATCATAGGCTTCTCTGCCTTGATCTTGGTGCGTAGCTCTCAATTGCTTCTGAGGCTGTTTCTGACTACAGTCCTTTAACTGGTGACCTGCTTTGCCGCAGCTGAAGTACAAGCAGTCTCTTTTACATTGTTCAAGTTCCTCCTTAGACACTCGAGTCTCTTGAGTCTGATGCTGTGCAGCATCCAGCTCCATGGGCTTCAGCCTGTAGGGATCTTTGTATCCCAAGCTTCTAGGTTGTGCCGACCTTCTGTTATTGGCTCGGTAACCTGGCTGGTTATTACATTGAGATGTAGACCTGCTGGTCCACTGACCCTCTTATTATTTTATATTGAAGTTATATAGCTTGTTATCAATCTTCACTACTGCTTTAATTATCTTAATCAAGGTGTCCAGTCATTCTTATTAAATAATCTTCTCTTAGATCTCTATCTTGAGTCCTTCTTCAAATTGTGAGATATAAATATTATCATCTCAGTCTAGATGATTAATAACTTGTTAAAACTCTAAAACATACGTAAATACTGATCCTGTCTACTTAAGTTATTATAACTTTTACTTAGTATTTTATACCGTATTAATATCTCCAAATGTTTGTTTGAGATGCTGTTTAAATCTGGCATAACTAGTAAAAAGTTATTTTATATTATTGTTCTGATTATTTATTGACTTCTCTTATCACTTATAGATATATGGTTTAAACTAATCAAATACTGCTCCGGTAAGGTAAGTAAATATGAAAAAGATCTTGTTCTCTTTATTCTTGAGCTTTTTCTTGTTCATGTTAAGGTATAAGTCTAACTGGGTCAAGAAAGCTCTAAGCCACGCTCGTTTACTGTCGAATGACTCGGGTGGTCAGACCTTAACAGATTTAACTGATAAGCGATCTTCAAGTAGCTGGTTCTTTTATTTTAAGACCGTGATGCTTTCTTGTAGCTGACCAATCATGTCTATCAGTTCCTTGGTCGTCAGGCCCTGCTGCTGAGGCGCTCGCGATGTGTTCAATGTAGTTAATATAATGACTGGTTGTCACTGGGTAATACTTGTACTGACTGGTGCTTAATGTATTAAATCCTAGGATCGCTTCTCCCTGTTCCTGTTAGCTTAGCTCCCGTTCCGATATGTATCTTATAAAGTGAATCAAAGGTAGTCAGGTTATTAACTATCTAAAGATGACTTGATCTGAACAGAAGAAGAGAAGTAAGGCCAGATAGTGCCGTGCAGCTATCCGTAAGTAAGTATGGACGAGTGTTGTTACTAAGCTTTACCAAAACATATGGTTACTTAAAGATAATTAGATTGAGCACGAAGAACAGAACTAACTAAGTATGTGAAAGAGTATCCTTATATATCCGTCCCTTGTATACCATTCCGTATACCATCCCGTATACCCCAGGCATATACCATATACCCGACCATATACCCTCTCGTATACCCGTAGTCACGTGACTCGTGACACGTAGCGGCTCAGTTCGGGTTTTTCCTGATAAGAGTTGCATCCTTCCGAGTACAGCCCTTCTGCCTGACGTAACCGCCTCACTAGTCTCTTTAGCTAGCAGGGGTCCGTAACATTAATATATTAAGTTATTATATTGTGAAATATGGCTTTAGGCTGAGAAGAAAGAAAAGTATAGATATAAAAGTATTGTTACAGACCCCTGCTAGTCAAGCTACTAGCGAGGCGGACTCGTCAGGCAGAAAGCGTCGACAAGGCAACTCTCGAACAACCAGCAACTCTTATCGAGTAGAATCCCGGTTTGAGTAACACTCGGAACAGCCTTACGTCACGTGATCATATACCATCAACCCTACCATTAGAGGTATACTCAGGGTATACTGAGATCTCGGATCACGATTGGATCGACCATCGATCTACCCTGAATGGTATATGATATGGTATACGAAGGATAGGATATATCAGGACACTCTTTCATGTACTTAGCCAGTTCTGTTCTTCGTGCTCATTTCAATCCAATTCTTAATACTGTCTTTAAGTAAACCATACGCTTGGAAGCTTAGCGACAAACACTCGTCCGCACTTACTTACGGATAGCTGCGCGGCACTATTCGGCCTTACTTCTCTTCTTTTGTCCAAGACCAGTTGTTCCTAGATAGTCATCAGCCTGACACCTCCTCGACTCAGTTCGACGGTACGTGTACCAGTGAAGCTAAGCTAACCGGGACAGGGAAGCGATCCTAGGGTTTGACACCAAGCTTCAATAACTAGTACTGCAACCTTTCCACATTCAACTAATAACAGGGCACACTAGACCGGACAATCAGAGATAAAGGACTAATTAGCCATGAAATTGGTAAGCAAGATGTTGTAGATATGTGAATAGCAATGGCAATAACAGTAATAGTATGTTATTACTAAATAGCCGGCTAGAGTTATAAATGAGGTATTTATGCTATTAGATATGGTTCTCCAAGGCATAATTTTGTCAATATCTTAAGTAATCTAATTATATAACAGAATACTTAGGATCAACATGAACTGGGATAAAGACAGAGATGCAGAAACAGGCAATCGCAGAAAATAGGTAAGATAGTATGAGGATAAGGAATAAAAGAAATAAGCATAAGCTGTAATATATAATTAGTCTTGCAGTTTATTCAAGTATCAGTCTCTTTAATCCTTGAATCAGGAAAGTGTGGATGGTAGATGGATATCTTTAAAAATTGGTAAATAAAATGAGGTCCTGTATAAACAAGTGACGCATTTTCTAACAGTATAGGCTAAAGGGCAGGAAAATAACCACTAGACAAAAGGCGGCAAAACAGAAGGGAGAAAATCCGATTCAGCTGAACAGCCGGTCAGAGCTGAAGGGGTGGAGGCGACGGGAAACGAGGGCGCAGCCGCAATTTCCGACAAGGAAAAAGGAGGGAGGTAGGGTGGCGAAGAAGGCAGCAGGCAGCAAGATTTTTCATTTTCGGAGCAGGTGTGACGAGGGGGCGCGATGGGGTGAGTGCAGAATATGGGAGGGGGATTGAGGGAAGAGAAGGGAAATGGAAGGACCAGAGGGTTGAGGTTCTTATATACTCCGAGAAGGTGACGGGCGGTGATGACAGTACGGCGTATCGGGCGACTAAGCCGAAAGCGGCAAAACTAACTGCAACGGGAAATTCACATGTCCTGAGATTACAAACGAAACTTAGAATCCGGTAATCAGGGTAATCTTCTGGAAGAATGTCCTTTGGCCACAATTTGAGGTTGCCAACCCACCTGGACTTTTTGGTCTATGTTTTGGATGTGTGACCTTGCAGTTGATGAACAAGATGCTCTTGCAGGACAAGGTTGAGTAGACGGGTGTCGAGAACCGAGATGGTGCTCGAATAGGATTGAGGTGAGTTTGAGTGGCTCAGCGGTGCTGTTTCCGATGGAGAATATGCAGATATACTCGATAAAACCTCAAAGATGGTCTTGAGTATCTTCCGATCGGACGCCGGTTTTCTCGCAGGTCTTCCGCAATATGCCGAGGTCACTGAGCCCGTTGGCCATGGCCTCATTATCGGTCTTTTGTGAGGTGACCAAATAAGTAGCGATGGATCTGTCTGCTCGAATGTAATTTAAAGATGGTTTTTGTTGATCAGATTGGGTATGTGATACGACATGGTGTATAGGGTAAGGGAGGTCAGTAAGCCGTTGTATAGGAGGAGTGTATATGCTAAACAAGTATTACCTGTAGAGCGTTAGCGATACTCGTAATGGATCTGTTGATTTGCGTACACAATACTTCTTGTGTTGATGGCTGGACGATTTGTGATCCACCAGAAACCACTCCGACTAAGAGGCTGTTGTCTAGGTAGTCTAGTTCAGAGTACCATGGAATAGCTGAAGGGGGTTTGACAACTGAAGCGCTTTGCTGAAAGGTCAAACTTCAGCGTGCTTTGCACCAGAAGGTCGGGAAAGGAAAGTAGATGTGAGATTCGACAATCATGTGCGAATGAACACAACTATCACAGACATCTTGGTCAGAGCAGTTTCGGGTAGCTCACATAAGGGAAGCCCAAGGTAGCTTGCCAGGTCCAGCTCCGTGGTCGGTCATCAGACGACGATGCTGACAATATGCCGGTAGCCAGTCCTCTAGCCAGTCTCGTTGCATAGTCTTGCAACAAGTATAGAAGTTCCTCGCCCGGTGAGAACTGCAGATCTCTTCCGCTTTTGAGGGCCCCCCCAGACATAGTATGGTCTAATCATAAGGTCGGTTCAGAAGGGAACTGCTGACGGGCAGACAAAGATATTGGGCTTGGGTTTATGTCGTGGGCATTGGTGAATCAAATGGGTCTCTGATGCTGTAGAGCAAAAGTTGAATTGGGTACGCATTCCTTGGGATTGGCATTGGAGCTGTTGGCTTGCAACGTGTATGAGGGCTTCTATATGGGTCGCAACAGTTAGATAAAAGGCACCAAGCGGGGCGGGGAACGCCATACGTTATCCGTTTGATAATGTTCTTTGGTATGAAGGTTGGGGTCAAACTTGTCAAGAACAGACGACAGCCTTTTGACACGTAAGCATGGACATCACTGTAGATGTCGTACAAAATGTTGGGGACTGTATGCAGGTCACATGATCCCCTCGCCCCTTCACCTGCTGGGGATGGTCCAGATAAAATCGAGAAGAAGAAGAAAGAATAGGCGGGCAGAGGAGGAAGGCGCCTTTTATAGCCTTCCTTTGTGCACAAAAGAAGGGAGACTGTCTCCTCTAGGCCGGCAATCTCTATGTGAAATCATACGATGCAGCCTGTGCGACTACTAGGTTTTAGGTGGTGAGGTGGTGAGTGTCCGTTTGATTTGGTGGAACTCGGCGATAGCAAATGAGTGTTTATCTCATAGCGTGCAGTAAGTACTCTTCCACTTGATTGGTCTCAGCAGACGGCCATGCTCAGGTTGGGCGTCGATGAGATCATCAGTTAGAATGAACCCCACCTTGACTCCATTCCCAGTACTGCCTGCATCTCCCAAATCAGTGAGATCTATCGTCACCTCAATTACAAAATCTGCGAGAGGCTCGCTGCACTGTCTTAACCGCTGAGAACGGCCACCCTGCATTAGACTACAGATCCGGTCCCTATCAGCGACCGCACCGGACTCTCATGGTTGCATGCTTCCTCAGTCCCTATTGAGCATCAGAGACAAGAACTGAACTAACAGTGCAGGTTTTGATGCCCATTATGAGCGAACCCGAAGTAACCCACATTCTCCGCATCCAACCACCTTTCACCACCGATGCGAAGTTTCGAAACACGCCTGTTATCGGGCTTCTCGCGTGTGGAGGCATCGGCACAATTAGCGAGGCCCAGAGATTGGGATTCAACGACTTTATTCCAAGCCCGTTGAAACTCGATCTAAGGAGGAGTCATCTGAGGTTCTGGACAAGTAGAGATTCCTAAACAATTGGTTGTAGAATGTAGACCTATCGATGCGTCAAGAGTCAATGTTTAAAACGACTATTGCACAGTGGATCCCCCAGTAATTGCGCTAAAATCCCCCAGAGTATGCCGTCATGCGGGGAGAGAGCGGGTCTAACTTTACTCTTACCTCTATCCACTACGGAGGACTGACACTACTCATCTGTTTGACTTCTACTGTCAAGCTTGACCCGGTCAGAGCTTTGTCGGCAGATCCATGCCCAGGTACAATTCCTCAAACAAGGTACCGGGCGGATCAACCCAAGGAACACCCACCAACCCACCCCCGAACCAAACCCGGTTTGTCCGAATGACAGCCGTCTTCCAGGATCCACCACGGAATTGAAGCACATCGCTGACAACAAACACGGTTTTTCTGTCTACCAGCCCTCATCTTTCCACCTACCGTTTCTTAAATTCCAGGTCCCGGGAAGTTCTCGGTATCTGTAGCCGAGCGACCGGCTTCCAGCTTGGTCAAACCACTCGCGGCACTGGAACTGGGACATTCTTCCCTGCGCAACCCAGTAAGGTCACCATCTCCCAGGTTCGCGAGCTCTTTTTACAGGTGTGTTATCGTGTGCTAGTAGTTGAATTCCAGTGTATCCTTCTTTTTAACTCGCCACTGGCAGCTTTTAGGTTGTTGAACCTCACGTCATTGTGAGCAGTCCTTTGAGAATATTTTTGATGCCTTGTTCACGTCATTTGGTTGGCCATAGCAACCAACACCACCATGATACCATTCGAGAAGACTACGTGTTGAAATTGGAGCTCGTCGCAATATGGATCGGAACATTATATAAAGGGCTCACCCTACTCCTCAGCGGCAAAATCATCTACCAGTCGCCTTCTTCCATACATCTCTCTTGAAGGAACTTGCAAACATAAAAGATGAGCGGTGTCGGACAGATGGAAACCACCCTTTGGACTGGGAAGCCTTCACTTTTCAAGTTTGCCGACAAAGGCGGCTACACGTTGGGTGCTGAACCTCCTCTTGCATCCAGCCGCCTAACATACAACACCAACGACGCGTCCACTTTGGACCGATTCAAGATCCGTGAGCTTTGTGAGGGTTGGCCGCTCCACCGTGATGCCTGCGAGTGGACGGATCTCCGGGAAATCTTCGACCCCGATGCCTTTATCAACATCAGCTGGCAGCAGAACTATCGGGACAAGGCCATTGAGACCTGGGCTGAGGGTTGGGCCAAGGGCGATTTCATCTGTCATCGTGTGCTTGGTCACGCAGTGGATATCAAAGGTGACCGTGCTATCGATAAGATGAAAGTCACGATCTCCTGGCGTTTTGCGGATGAGAATGGAGTCGAATGGGACAGTGATTGGTATTTACATTTCTTGCGTCATTCGCGACTCTACTAACGCGTTGGTTTCACTAGCGATTGTCGCTTTGTATTCTTCTTGGGGAAGCAACCCGATGGATGGAAAATCTTCTGCAATCATCCGATCTATGAGAAGGATAAAATGGTGCCCGTGGATGCGACCCGACTTCCAAACATTGACCATGAATCCTTAGCCAAGGAGCCTAAGGGCTACCAGTTTCTGGCCTACGGTATGCGCCGGTTAGGTTACCCGATCAAGCAGAACCTGCCTCAGTTATTTGGCAAAGAGCGAGATGCCCTCTATCAGGAAATGATTGAGTGGCTAAACGGTGAGGACATTGATTTTTCTCAAGACAATTTTTGAAAGTTCCCATTTGCGTGACATAGTGTGGCGTAACCCGGAACCATGTCTATGATTTGTCTTCAACGCGTGTGGGCATGCATTTCTTCAGTCCCGCGAAAACTGTATCAAAATCTCCTCTCCTTTGACTTTTGAATTGAACCATTCTTTTATTTCAATTCGATCTTCAACAGCTGTTGCTCCACGGAGAACATCCGACTCGGCTACTTTGAAGATAGCCATGGTGACTTCATACATCGCCAACGACTGGGCAATGCATGCTCTAGTACCTTTTCCAAACGCGAAGAAAGCTGTGAGCATTGCGTCGTCTGCATTATCCCAGCGCTCAGGCAGAAATCGCTGCGGTTCAGGGAACACACTGCTATCCTGATGCAGCTGGAAGGCCGCAACACCGACACTGGTCTCAGCCGGGAAGTAGAAGTCCCGGAACTGCCAGCCTCCAGCCGGTACCATACGAGGCAAACGGATGGGATTTGCCCATGAGAGACGGAGACCTTCTCGGACGACGCCGCGCAGATAGGCGCAGGTGGTTGGGTCCTCGCCATTTTCGATATTCTTCAAAACGGCTTCTCTGAGACGAGCGTAACTGCAGGCAGACATTCAGTAAGACTTTGGCATAAGCTCTTATCATCGCGACTCACGTTTCTGGCTGTCTGGCCAGGTACCATATAATCGTCGCAGTGTTCATTCCGGTAGAGTCCGTTCCTGCAAAGCAGACATCCTTTACTTCAATCTGCGACTGCGTTGTGGATGTCTTTTCTAAAAGACGGCTCTGGTAACTTCCACTATTTGGCCTTGCTGTTTGGATAAGCTGTCGCGTGTACTGATCCATCAATCCGTGTGATTTCTTCACGGTGGTGTTTGTTGACCAGCGCTCGACCATCGCCATGAGAAAGTCCCCGATCTTTCCAGGCACAATGTTGAAGAAGGCTCCCACACCGACGTAGGAGTCCACAAATGGTGAGGCCGACATCGACTCTGTCTTCTCCGTGATGGCTCCATATCTCTCGTGGAAGAGATATGCACTCACGGCGTCAATCGCCATGGCACGTGTCGCATTCAGCACGTTTACCGGCCTGCCAGTGCGTGCCTCAGCCTGCAGTCTGCCCACGAAATCGTCGAAAACTTCGCCCAGGGCTTTCTGAGAACTTCGGATGGAAGCGGTAGAAAACAGGGGTGCCACAGCCTTGGCCCGCGTCGCTCGCTCGGGCAGAGTCAAAGTCGAGAATATCGTCGTATGTCCATCAATATCGAATTTGGAATATGCCGATGTCTTGGGGAAGCCTCCGCGAGCAATGTAGATTGGCTCCAGCGCATCTTTGTCGGCAATGTCAACATCATTGGGGGCGACTCGCAACACCGGTCCATATCTTCGGTGCAAATCGTAGACGACAGTGCATTCGTCACCAACATAGGTGTGATATGCTAGCCAAAGCGAAGTGCAGGCGGCGATCTTAGGACCAGGAACTGATGATAGAGGATGAAGGTAGATGCGATAGAAGCATCTCCAGAGGACGGCACTAACAACCGCGACGGCCGCCAATAGCAACGGCTGGGCCGACGACCCTTGGAAGATATCAATGCCAATCATGACGAACGCAAACAATGCAAGCCTTGGACCATATGGGAGCTGATATGTTTGTCCGATTATATAGCCTACCCCGCTAGTTAACCCAGCTCGGGGTCAGATGAGTCATTTCCCGATCGTGCTATTGGGCACTTAGTCAGAAAAGAACCACCGAATGAAGGCCCTTCGGACGGTCCGAAAAAGCAACGAGGCCATCCCTTTGATAGGTCCAACGCCCCTTGCTGAAGATGCGCGTTCTGCCAATCGCTCTGCTCCAGGACGATATGCGGTCGATCCGCTGATAAGCACTGGCTTGGCGGTTTGACCTGCAGAACCAGCCAGCGTGCACGAAGCCTTCTCCGCAACAAGGGCTTATCATGCGGCACTCAGTGGAATACTATATAGCAAGCAGATTATCAGTCCTGATCGGCCTTTGGCCTCTCTATGCACAGACATCGCCGCCGACACCATGTCTGAAGCGTCCAAAGATGTCTTCGGCCAAGGCACCGAGGAAGACCTCACGCTTGAGCACTTGGGCTATCAGCAAGGTATGGTCTAATCTCGGATCGGAATTGTACTTGACTGGAATTTGATGTGTGCAGAATTCAAGCGGTCGTTCGGCCTCCTCGACATGATAGGCTTCAGCTTCAGTATCGTTACCTGGTTGTGCACACCATCCCCATCGCGAGGTCGAGCAAATGACTAACATCCACGAAATCAGTTGGAGCGCACTTAGCGGCGTATTCATCGTCGGAGTGGATGCTGGTGGCCCGCCGGTGATGCTCTTCGGATGGATTGGCGTGTGTGTGCTTACCTTTGCGGTTGCCGTGTCCATGGCGGAATGGTGCTCACGATGGCCCGTGGCTGGGGGGCAGTATTCCTGGGTTTTTCTGCTAGCACCACCAAAGATCGCTCGGCAGATGTCGTACATTACAGGGTGGTTCATGTTAATGGGTGAGTAATGGCATAGCTCCGAAGTATCGGTCTCTGTGCTCAGTTGAAACAGGTATCCTTGCCATGGGCTCTGCAAACAATTCGTTCGCAGCGAATTTCATTCTCGGACAAGCAAATCTGGTATATCCCGAGTACGTGATTGAGCGTTGGCATACCGTCCTAGTTACTTACGCAGTTGCAATCTGGACTCTCATGATCAACATCTTCATGCCTCACCTGCTCAACCGCCTATCCCGGGCGATCCTACTGTGGAACGTCTGCTCGTTCATCATCATAGTAGTAGTTCTGTTGGCAACGAAGACGGACAAGCAAGACGCCGCATTCGTGTTCCAGGACTTCCAAAATACGACCGGTTTTGGATCCGCCATGGCAACAATGGTTGGAATCCTTCAGAGCTTCTTTGGCATGTGTTGTTACGATACCCCAAGCCACATGACAGAAGAGATGACACACGCCTCGCGAGACGCTCCCAAGGCCATGATCATGTCTGTCGGCATGGGGGCCGTGACGGGGTTCGTTTTCCTGTTGACACTCTGCTTCTGCATTGGCGACATTACTGCCACTGCAAACTCTTCCACGGGGGTCCCTGTGATTCAAATCTTTTACGACTCGACCCAAAGCAAAGTAGGCGCTTGCTTCATGGCCAGCATGATGACTGTGATCATGATAGTTTCAGGAGTGAGTCTTGTTGCGGAAGGGTCTCGGGCACTATTTGCATTTGCGCGTGATCGGGGGATGCCGTTCTCTGGGGTTGTCCTTCGTCGAGAAAAGAAGGAAAATCCCGATCTATGCGATCTTGTTCACTGTCGTGGTCCAGATGGCGTTCAACTCCATCTACTTTGGTACGGTCACTGGGTTCAACACGGTCGTGTCTATCGCGACTACGGGATTCTGTGAGTACTTTCCATCCATCGCCCAGTTAGTACAACGCTGACCACGCCGTAATAGATGTCTCATACGGCCTAGTCCTTCTTGCTCGACTCCTCGGGTACTTCTTTGGCCATGACGTTGCCCCAGTCGACAGTCCTTACTCCCTCCCATTGCCGATATCGCTCAGTCTGCATGGCCTTGGCTTTCTATTCCTATTCTTTGCATTCATCACCTTCAATTTTCCATCGGATGCTCCGGTCACTCCAGACTCGATGAACTACACAAGCGCGGCAATTGGCTTGGTTGCGTTGCTGAGCATCTTCACGTGGTTTACCACCGCCCGGAAGCAGTTCAAGGGGCCGGCCGACGTGCAGGGCTTGGTTCTAGACGGAGTAGAACAACCTGTAGTAGCAGGAGAAGCGAGTGCCGGGCTATCTGAGAAAGTAAACCTGAGCACTTGAGCATTGCGTAGTTGATCTTATTCTCGTTTGCCATTTAAATCTTCATACTCTCTGGCGCGCACACGTACAATCTTATAATATGATTGGACCGCGATCTACAATTCTGATAAGCATTATGCAATGATCCTTCCCCTGACGTGTGAAATAAGCTTATATCCACCGTCGGCGTCAGGGTCTCGCCAGTGCCTAGATTCGACGACCTTATGCCAGTAAAAATCACCAACAAACTTTAGTCAACCTATAATGTAGAACACCCATCCCAACCATCCACTAACACAACCACCCCATCCCATCGAGCATGGCCGATCACGGAACCATCCCGAAATATATATATCCACATCACCCAATTCACACCCATCCACCCCAAATAAAGCATACTAGTAGTATCCATCCCAATTCCCAACGCCCCAATTCCCTACACATGCACGATCAACCACCACTTCACTCCATCTGCGCGAAATCCCGAAACCAACTACGTCATCTGCATACCGAGAACCCCCCCCCCCTAATGATAGATAGTCCGTTTCCATCTCAGAAACCCACTTCTCTAATGCCTAGCGCACAAGGCAAAGACGACCAGGCACCCGTCATTTGAAACTCTGACTCTTGGCTGTCTAGCCACCTGGGTAAGTGATATTCCTAATATCCCTCAACTTCCCAACCCACGCCTCTGGGTGATGACCAGAATGCCAATCCTAACAGTACACCACCCACAACCACAACCTATATACTTTGTAGTCAGGTTTTATTCAACCCCCAAATCCAGACCCCAGTACGAAGTAGTACGGAGTACGAAATACTCAATACTCAACCCTGTGACTCAACCAACCCAGCCCAGATCAATCCAATCCAAGTCGGCTCGGCAAATCTCTCTCGCCCCGCTTACTAAACTCCAACCACAACCCAGCCTCAGCAAACCGCGCCAAGACAACTAATACTTTTACCACTTACCTACCCAGACTGTAGAGTGTCTGTAAAGAATAGAATGTGAGTGAGGCTATTAGTTGATTTTCCTCGGTCGGCTCGGGAAACCGAACCCGACCGGCCTGAATCGGGACTGGTGAGACCTTGGTTCTGCGTTGGGATTGGTGGGTTAGGAACGAAAGAAAATTTTTTTCTTTTTTTCTTTTTTTTTTTCTGGGCGGGGAACGGTTGGAGGTTGGAGGTAGGTAGGTAAAACGCGTGGGAAGTTCAACCTGGTGGTTGAACTGGAATTTATTTCTTTCTTTCGTTACGGGATAGAGATTGAGTATACGGAGTGAGTAACTTGGGGTTTATTCGTGTGTTATATGTGTTATATGTGTTGATAAATGTAGGGAAGAAAGGATTAAACGTAGTTAGTTATCTAATGGGTCAATCACTGTCTCAGTTTGAGGGGTTAAATTCTCCGGGTTGGCGCGTGGCCTTAAGACTTTGATACTTTGGTACGGATGATTATTATTGTCTGACAGTTCTGCTTCTGGGGGTAGCATACGACACGCGACGGGAAACGTTGCCTAGCTTGCTTCCAGTTTTACTTTTGGCTTTCAGTTTCCCGACTCTGTTGGAGGCGCGGATTCCGAAGGTTTCCTTTCTTCGCTGGTGGGTCGGGCGGATTGAGGTGTGGACTGTGGACCGGAGAGTCAGATCCACAGGGGCGCTGCTGAATTTAGGGCAAGTGGTAGCGTGAATGCGTTTGTGGTAGTAGTAGGCTATGTATGTTGGAGCTGTGTAGGTAGGTGGTTAGGGGTATAAAAATTGAAGAAGAAAGAAAGGAAGCAGGATGGTTGTTAGGCAGCAGAAAAGGGTAAATGTTTAATGCAGGTTACATGCGCCAGTGGAATTAGCTGGCAATAGTTGATTGAGCGAGATCGAAAGGCGTAAGCCGGGCGGAAGTTTAGTAGATTAATTACGGTGGAAGGTCCCCTTTGATAACGGATCACAGGTGGTGGTGGTGTCACTGTCTCAGGGACCGAGCTGGCTGAGATACTAGATAGGTTCTAGAATGCAGGATTAGCATTAGATGGCGTAGATACTAGATAGAGGATAGGTATACTCCGTACTCCGTACCTGAGACCTGGAGACGCGCTGGCTGATGGGCCAGATCAGGTAGACACTCCGGGGTGAACTGGCTGCAATCTAACAGTTCCCGCGCTAAAGGGTTCGTATCATGCAACTATTGCATCTCAGAGATATGAGCCATGAGGCCTTATCTGACTGGCATAACGTCCAATCAGGACGCATGCATCCCCAATCAATCATGCTCAGCGGCATCCTCACATGCAAGCTTTCCTTGTCGAGTGTCGACTTCTAGGCAGAGATGCTTAGCTGAAGCTTCGCGGCCCGGCGGGCACATGGCAAAACTTTGTGATAGCGATCAGAGGCGGCGATCACCGCTCCCTGTCAGCCCAAAGTACGAAACTTCGTAGGTTTCCGAAGGCGCGGGGTACAAGGGAAGTCTGGGGAAAGATAGCGATTAGCATGGCGTTGTTTCTATTGTTGTTGACATTGACAATGCTGCGTTCGGAGAAACGGGTGGTGCCCACGTCGAAGGCGAATGCCCCTGCAGGTACGTCAATTGGGAGTCATAGCATAATTATTGCGTGGTCCAGAACAGGAGAACTGGTTCCATGATGACGGGGTGCCCGTAGGGTGCCATCAGGTATGTGCAATGAGACAATGGTGGCGAGACAATAGTAAGCAGGGAAATGATTAACCTTCGTGTGCCCTTCGGCGTTGACCGATCGCTGAATGATATCAGCACCCACGAGACCCCCAATTAATTGTCTGGGGTGAAGATTATCAGCACCATGAGATAGGTGGCTATCGGGCTTGACGGGGAGTAGATACTATCAGCCCCGGAGGTCAGCTTGGGGCCAGGCACTGCAGTAGCCCGTACAAACCGAAATACCTAACGAACCGAGGTGTTATCATTATCAAATCTCTCAGGGTTACAGGCGCGGCGCTGTGCCTATCACCAGTCAAAGTCTTATCAGCGTGGGTTCCATCGCCACCCGGCCCACCCGGTCCTGGCAGGGTGAGTGGGCCAATCACAAGGCCCTCGCTGTTAATTTCTGTGATCTATGTGGTGCTTAACCATGTGCCCAGAGCCTCGTCTGGCCAATGGGGATGGGCGGTGTTGGAGCAGACGGGCGGTGATTGGCCCAGACATAAGCTTGTGCGCACTAGGGCTCGACTAAGCGCAGCAGGCCGGAGTGGAGCCAGCAGTTTTTTTCTCGAAACAAGAAAGGGCCGGGAGTTCCATCAGGGCTGGTGCTCCGGCGGAACACGCGACAGGAGCCCATGGGAAGCTGTTACGCGGTCGCGGCGGCGTTTCTCCGTCGGCGCAGAAGCGATCAATCATCGTGCCTGATGCTCGTTCGGATCTCGTGGGGTGGGCCTCGTCACAGTGGGTGTGGAAGAAATTATCCTGGCCCCGAACACATATTAGGAGCTCTCCTCCCACGCTCTCTTGCAGAGAAAGAAAGAAAGAAAAAAGAAAGATGTGGTTCCCGTCTCCTCCTCTTTCTTCCTTTTCCCTTCCCCTTGAACTATACTTGGTACCTGAGCTTTTAGCTCTCGTATTCAAGAGTTCCCACAAGACTTTTTAAAAGTCACCTTCATTTACTGGCCCGGGATTTCCCCTCCCCCCACGCCAGCACCCTCCAACAAACTCGCGCCGTTGAGATATACGCGTGGTTTATCAACCCCCTCATACATCCTTCATCATGTTCGGAGGAGCCGACACCGATCTCGAAAAAGCCCCCCAGGTGGGCAAGGCGCCCATGGACGACACCAGCGATGGAGCTGTTCCCGGGGAAAGTTTCATGTACGGCAATTCGCTGTACGCAAAGCTGCAACGGTTGGCGGGGAAGCTCAATATTGAGCAGCGAGGTGTCGAACGTGTGCCGGACAATGAACGGAACGACACGTCGTACTTCAATATCAGCAGCATGGTGTGTTTTTAACTCTCGTTGCATTGCGTCTGGTGCTCCCAAGACCGCCCTCCCAAACTGACCCATCGCAGTGGCTGGCGGCCAACATGGTGGTTAGTTCTTTCGCTATCGGTGTGCTTGGATACGGCACTTTCGGTCTCGGCTTTGTCGATGCTATCCTCGTCTGCCTCTTCTTCAACCTTCTGGGTGTCTTGACTGTTTGCTGGTTCTCGTGCTTTGGTCCTGCCTTTGGTCTGCGCCAAATGGTCCTGACCCGGTTCTGGTTTGGTTGGTATCCTACCAAGTTCAGTAAGTAACCCTATGATCGATTCGAGTTCTGTCAAGAGACTCGATGCTTATACTTTCGTGTTAGTTGCTGTCTTGAACGTTCTGTCCTGTCTGGGCTGGTCCGCTGCCAACTCTATCGTCGGCGCTCAGCTCCTCAATGCTGTGAACAGCGACGTTCCTGGATTTGCAGGAATTCTGATCATTGCCATTTGCACCCTCTTCGTCACCTTTGCCGGATACAAGGTGGTCCACTTGTACGAATTCTACAGCTGGATCCCCACCTTCATCGTCTTCATGATTGTCCTGGGAATGTTCGCCCACTCCGGAGATTTTCAAAACATTCCCATGGGTGTTGGAAAGGCTGAGGTTGGCTCTGTCTTGGCCTACGGCGCGACTGTTTATGGTTTCGCTACTGGCTGGACCAGTTACGCTGCCGACTACACGGTCTACCAGCCCTCCGACCGCAGCCGCCTCAAGATCTTCTTCGCGGCCTGGTCTGGTTTGATTGTCCCTCTTCTGTTCACGCAGTTCCTGGGAATCGCCGTTATGACCGCGACTTCCATCAATGGCGGCGACAACAAGTACGCAATCGGTTACAACCAGTCTGGAAACGGAGGTCTGCTGGGTGCGGTTCTTGATCCGCTCGGTGGTTTCGGCAAGTTCTGTCTGGTGATTCTGTCTCTTTCCATCATCGCCAACAACTGCCCCAACATCTACTCCGTCTCCTTGACCCTCCAGGTTCTGAGTCGCTACTCTCAGCGCGTTCCTCGTTTCGTCTGGGTGTTCCTTGCCTCCTGCGTGTCTGTGGCCGTGGCTATTCCCGGCTACTCCCACTTCGAGGAGGTTCTGGAGAACCTGATGGACTTCATCGCCTACTGGCTGGCTATCTACTCCGGTGTCGCTCTCGCCGACCACATCGTCATCCGCCGAGGTTTCTCTGGATACCGTCCGGAAACCTACGACAAGCCCGATAAGCTTCCTTATGGTATTGCCGCTTGTGTCGCCTTTGCCTTTGGTGTCGCTGGTATGGTTGTGGGTATGAGTGAGACATGGTACACTGGACCCATCGCTAAGAGTGCCGGCGGTGGTGATGTTGGTTTCGAATTGGGCCTTGCTTTCTCCGCGGTTGTGTATGCCGTTTTACGACCCATCGAACTGAAAATGCTGGGTCGGTAAATGTGATGTTTTTCTTTTGAATGTTATAACCAGGGTATGAATTTGGATACAGATCTTTGGGTTGGGCTTGTTATGTCTCTTTTTGGGAATCGACTATGGGTGTCGGTTCCGTGGTATGATGATGTTAGCTGGACTTATGTATATAGATGTAATCATTGATCTTAATATACCATTCCGTGCAGATGCGCCGGAGATGAGATGTGATTGATTTTGTTGAGCGTATTATGAACATTATCCCGCCGTAGTTTTTCCCCGCGTAGTTCTCGCCTGATCCACCTTGGTGCACAATTACCAGGCCTGGACCGCCACGAACCCTGCAAACGGAAAGTGCTCCTTCCCCGGTGTCATAAAAGAAATGTCACCCAGCCCGGTTCACCCCCGCGACTTGCCACTCTCAAACTTCAACTTACACTACCTTTCCTCCCTGCAAATTATCATTCACACTAATAAGGATAACACCTTTCTCTATCAGAAACTCCTCTGATCCGCCGCCCCCGTAACGAAACAAAGCAGGAAAGATGATTATAAGGAGTTCGCCCACTGGGGTCTCATCGGACAGGAACTTGAGGTTTGCAATCGAAACTCTATGATGAGTGCGGGCATCCTGAACTATGAACTGTTTCAGATGACGCTTGCGCACAACTCCTCGGGGAAAGAATGCCTCTCCATACCATTCCCACCTGTATTGCCTAGGTGAGCTGCTCATGTTAGTTGCAAGACTTGTGGCTGGACCCAAGATTTCCTCGGAAAACCTCGACAATTTATTGCTCCAATTAACCTGATTTTCAAAGCCGAACCAACTGAAGAAGCCGAGCAAATTAGCAATCACTCTCGAGCATTCGCTGTTGACACCCTGTTGATACTTTTGGCAGGCAGCATAAGCCCTCATGGTGTCTGATCTCCAAGCACCAATGCTTTCGGTATCTGTCGATGTCAGTGTACGTAAGAACACGTCTCGCACATCACACCAACCCTTTTTTGGCTGTAATGATAGCATCCCTTCCTGGAGATCTGCCAACAACTTCTCACCCGATGATGATAAGCCGGGGATCGGGACCTCAAAAATTCCTCTCCAGAGGTGACGGAAGACCAAGTGCATCAGAATCTCAGACTGCAAAGCAATACATCGTTGCGGATAGTAGCTATCTGGCCATCCCAAGATCAATGGATGTGATTCGAAATCATCCAAGGCCACTAGCAATTCCATCTTGAAGTCGCCGCAAATATCAGGAAGCTCTTCAGCCCACTTACAGAGGTTTTCTCGAATCTTAATAAACTCTTCCGAAACTGTCGTGTCGCTCAAGCAACTGACAGGGGAGAATTTAAGAATCCGTGCCTGGCAATCTTGGAGCTGTTCTTCTAAATGCTGATTGCGCTGCTCCGACTGGCGGAGCTGCTCTTGCAATGACGCTATAATATCTTGCTTCCGAACCCAAGCGCGTCTGAGAATTGGCAAATCCCGCGATAAAACCTCAAAGTCATTCAAGATCTGCGGCACACTACGTCTGCCTCCACCTTGCCTTGGGGCGACATTGGATTGTCTATCTTGAGCTGTATGGTTGCTTTGTCCCTAAGAGATTATCAGATATTGAGCAAGGGTAAATTTCGAACGTTTCTCTTTCCCTCTTACCCTGCCTGTCTTATCCATATTCCGTCGCATTTATCAGGATTTGAAGACAAATGTTGGCTTTGTAGAATAGAATGACGTTACTGCCAAATATATGGTGCGGGAGGAGATTATATTGCAGAGAGAGGTGGAAGAGAGAAGACTCTTTTTTGTAAGTCTCCTAGATGGGAAGAGGATTTCTTGGGGAAGAGAAAGTTGTGCTCTCACTTTCTGTTTCAGGGCGTCGGAAACCTATGCTGTCCCCCTCCAGTGAATGTCCCTTCTCTTGGTCAAGTAACACTTCCTTCATTTCTAGGGCCACCTGCCCCCCACACTCACCGAACCGAACCAGTCCTCCATCAGCAAACTGTCCACTTTCATTAGGCCCATCTTGGGTTTCTAAGTCAACTTTGAGTGATCTTGAACCAACCACCAGGCCTCTCGCAACGTCTATACAGACTAGGCATAAGCAACAAAATGACCAAACCTTCTACTGGAAGGACCATCGTCGTCGCGGTGGATTTTGGCACCACTTTCTCGGGCGTAGCCTGGGCCCAAACTAGCAATGTCAGTCAAAGCAATGCTATCGGATTTGAAACTATACTGACACTTTCCCCAGCCAGAGTCGCACTATATCATCAATCAGTGGCCACAGAATACATCTGGGTCATCTGATGGAATGACCAGCGAGAAAGTGCCGAGCGAGGTCACTTACGAATATTCAAATTCGGGACCAAAATGTCTGTGGGGATTCCAAATTATTGACAGCATGCCACGCATTCAGTGGATTAAACTTGGGCTCGCTCCTGACCAAAAGCTTGGGGTTGGATCACGGTTGTCTTCGACCTACTCTGATTGCCATCGCATTCCCGTCCTATATCACTCATCAGCCGAGAATGTTGTGACTGATTATCTCCGCTCTCTCCGAGAACATGCAGTCAGCATTTTGAGATCGAAGCTTGGTAATTCTCTGGACAGTACAAATCTGGAATTTGTCATTACAGTCCCAGCTATCTGGCCGGATAGAGCGAAGATGGCAACACTGACCTGTGCGGAAAAGGCGGGCTTTGGAGAGTCGTCCGCAATACGCATCATATCTGAGCCCGAAGCCGCTGCCATACATTCGCTGCGTGCATCTAGCCCTCACGGTTTGGAAATCGGGGATACCATCGTTCTCTGCGACGCTGGTGGCGGGACAGTTGATCTCATTACTTTCACGATTGTTGAGCTGCTACCCAATTTGCGTCTCAAAGAGGAAGCACCAGGGACTGGATCTTTGTGCGGGAGCACTTTTCTCAACAGGCGTTTCGAAGATTTACTGAATGAACGTCTCTCCTCCCTCCCTGGATGGGGTCGAGACACATTATATGAAGCTATGCAGCATTTTGAGACCGTTGCAAAGAGAACATTCAGTGGAAATGTAGACGACGATTTCATGTTTCCTGTCCCCGGTATAGCAGACAGTGAGGCAGCCGGAGTTCGTCGCGGCCGACTTCGAGTGAGTGGTCAAGGAATGCAGCAACTCTTCCAACCCATTTTACAAGACATTGAGACTCTCGTCCGTGAGCAAATCGAGGCTTCTGCTGCAAAGGTAAAGGCGATCTTCTTGGTTGGAGGATTCGGACAGAGTCCATATCTTCGCAAACATCTTCGGGACTGCTTCTCTCCGGCCGTGCAAGTCACAGCCCCAGTTGACGGATGGACTGCTGTCGTCAGGGGAGCTCTGGAAAAGACTCTTGGGTATGTCTCTCCGCTAGCAGCCAACCCATCTGTGGATTCTCGCAAAGCTAGGAAAACCTATGGGATGATCATGAGCACAGAATATATCGAGGATTTCCACGACGAAAACAGAAAGTGAGGATTCACTGGCTTTTGTTCCGATTGGAGTGACTACCACGGAAGTTACCGTATCAGTGTTATGCACTGGTTCATCCGTAAGGTAGGGGTTGAAGCCTACATACAAATGTGAAACTGACAATACCAGGGCGATGAGATTAAGGAGGCGGAACCCATCACGACAGAGTGGCAGAGACATCAATTGGCCACAAACGGATCATATAACTGTCTACAGGTCAGATTTTATGAGCTAAATACTGGGAATTGTGAACAACCACCTTTGTATCTTAATCGACGTAGGTGGTTTTCTCCATTTACTATAGTTAGGATACGATATGCTTACCCGACCTCGGACACAGACATGAAGAAACATGCAATCTTGAACCCAGTTCTGAGCAAGGTTCAGAAAAAGCGCATATCAAAGAGTCAGGGAAAAGATGGCGAAAAATACTACCAAGTAGCATTCAAGATTGATGCGGCGTACTTCTCTGCTCATTGTGAGTACACGCTTTGGTATGAAGAGAGAAACTACGGGAGCATTAAAGTCGACTACCTCGGAGACTGGGGAGCCTCTAACCATTGTTTCATGGAAACTCTTGAGTTTACATTTGATCTATCGTACTGGATCACGATTCGTTCCCATACCTTTAGGACTGGTGCAGGAAATTGGAGTGGGGGAGGAGACGCTGGGAGGATATTGGATCAGCTTCGTTGGTTGCCGTTGTTGCCTTGCTTTGTTTTCTGCATCTGGTAGTTTCAGTCCTCGCTGAGCCAAGTCTTCGACTAATATGCCATCTAATTGTACCTAATACTAAATCGAAAAAAGTGGGATAATGTGAAGTGGTTCACCAAACCAAAGATAGTTGTCTCTCACGTGACCTGGCCAGGCACCACCAGCCACGGTATGCGCCACAGGTCTTTTGCCGCGCCCGAACAAATCCACAACGGATCTTGCTCTTTCGTTGAAATCCAAGAAATTGCAGCAACAACGGCGGACATCAACCCCTCATCACACACACAATGTCGAAGCTAGGAAAGTAAGCGACCATCCCCCTCCCCCAAAAGACCAGAAACCACCGAGCGAACCCAAACGAGAAAAGGAAAAGAAAAGAAAAGAACCAAAAAAATCTAACCAGGGAATTTTCCCACTTGTTTCCAGCCGCGCCGACTGGGCCGACGACGAGGAGTTCGACGACCCCTCCGCTCTCCCCGCACAGCAAATCACGACCAACAAAGATGGCACGAAGACGATCGTCTCCTACCGATTCAACGACGAAGGCAAGAAGGTGAAGGTGACCCGCAAGATCAAGACGACCGTGGTACGCGAACATGTCAACCCTCAGGTCGCGGAACGGAGGACCTGGGCCAAGTTCGGTCTGGAGAAGGGCAACGCGCCCGGTCCTTCCTTCGATACGACCTCCGTCGGCGAGAACATTGTTTTCCGGCCCAGCGTCAACTGGAAGATTCAGGCCGCTGAGGCGGAGAAGAACGGTGGCGAGAAGGGAAGCATGAAGGACCAGCTTAAGGATAAGAAGGTTAAGTGTCGTATTTGTTCGGGTGAGCATTTCACGGCTCGTTGTCCCTTCAAGGATACTATGGCGCCCGTGGAGGAACCCACTGGTGGTATCGAGGGTGGTGCTGGCGGCGAGGAACCTGCTGCTGGTGGCCTTGGTAGTGGAACCTCGAGCTACGTCCCGCCTCATCTACGGAAAGGTGCTGCGGGTGGTGGCGAGAGAATGGCTGGCAAGTACGAGAAGGACGATCTGGCGACTTTGAGAGTTACAAACGTGAGTGGCCGTTCCTTTTCCCTTTCCCCGGTTCGAGTTGTTTTTCTATTTGCTGTTCTGGTGGTTTTGTTGGGAGGCAAGGGAAGAGAAGCAGGAGCGGCAGGGAATGCTGGTTCCCCTACCCCCCTCCCCTCCGTCCGTCTCTTCTCTTCTTTCCCTTGTCTGCTTTGCTTTGCTCTTTGCTTGCTTAATGTTCCTATTGGTGTTGTTGGGCGAAAGGGAGGGAAGGGGAGGGGTGGGGTGGCGCATGGATGTGGATGAGAAGCAGCAGCAAGAGCAGAAACAGCAGCAGCAGCAGCAGCATTCTTCTTCCATTGATTTTCCTTCCCCCATGCACTTCTTACATGGCTGACTTTGACTGACCACGAAACAAAAATACAGGTGTCCGAGTTGGCCGAGGAAGCAGAACTGCGGGATCTGTTCGAACGCTTCGGTCGTGTCACCCGAGTCTTCCTTGCCAGAGACAGAGAGACCCAGAGAGCCAAGGGATTCGCTTTCATCAGCTTTGCGGACCGGAGCGATGCTGCACGTGCCTGCGAGAAGATGGATGGCTGTAAGTCGATTTTCTTTTCTTTTTATTGCTATTGCCTGGTTATCTACATTGGGCCGTCAGCAATATCGGAATCGCAACTAATATTTCTCATCAACAGTCGGTTACCGTCACCTTATCCTGCGCGTCGAATTCGCCAAGCGGGCGACTTAGATTCCTCTATCCTCCAATTCTTCTCTCTATCTCGATCTCTCTCTCGATCTCTCTCTTCCCTCTCTTCCTTTCTTGGTTCCGTTTCACGACACCTTGGGTCTTTTCGTCAGGCGGGTTTCCTTCATGGCTGAAGATCTTTCATCTACTACTTTTCTTTGTACTGTATGATCCGATCGATAATGATGATTACTGAAAAGGCATCCAATGTGTCATTTTTGCTTTTGTCGATTCTATACAAAGAAAAGCAGCGGTTCCAGTTTGCTTCCTACTTTTCCCAGTTTTTTTCACTTTTATCTCTCTACCATGCCCCTCCCCGGGCTGGCATGCGTTTTCTTGCTTTTTTTCTCGGGATAATTGCGGGTTGAAGTATTCTTAGATGAAAGGGAAACAAAAGTCTTCGATTGCCCACCAGGGTCAGATGAGGTAGAGCACCAGTAGACTTCTGGCCCTGTCTGGGAAAGCGCAAGCGCAATATCACAGTTTCAGGACCGTCAGGACGCGGAGTACACGATTCGTTAGTCGATGGGCACCGCTCTGTAGCGTCAGGTTGAGGTTCCTTACCGAGGGGCCTATCGCTTGATTGATTTGGGTATAAGCCTGGGTCTGATGAGTCAATACATATTTTCGACGTCTTGCCTTCTTTCGGACCTAAATTTGCGCCAGATCACTACAAGGCCGCATCCACTGTGATAACAAGCCACAAGTGGCTTCCGTGGAGTCGCCTTTTAGGTTTTGTAAAGGTAAGATGCATGAGGAATGAATCACAAGGATCTGCAGACCATATAGCCAAGGCTGTGGACATGACAGATCAGGGTTCAGACGGCCTGGGGGCGAGCTGGCTCTAGAAGCGCTGAGGGCTAGGTATTGGCCATAGCAGTTCGAAAGCAGCCCATCTGATCATCTCGTAAAAGGCTGCGCTGGATGGCTTATTCGCGGGAATTCCGTCATGGGCATCAGTGGCAAGGCTGGGGGGCGTTCTGCATGCGTATCGGGCTAGGAAAGGGATCCCTATACCCAGCGGAAACGGCACAATGAATTAGTATACGCTTACACTTTGGAAGGGTGAGCATGACCAGGCATGACACCGATATCAGCCGCCATGGCCCCCGATTAGAAAACAGCTTTCCCGACAGACGAATGGATGCATGGTGTTGTATCGAGGTGTGGCGCCAGGTCAGAGGTCTAGATGGTCAACCAAATCAGCTTCGTGTCATCCTCGCCAAAGGCCCGGGAACATTCGCTGCTCGGAAGGATTGTGAATGGCACGCACTGTCAGGATGGCTGGTTACATCGCATGAAAACGGTATTGAATGGGGTTTGTCAACAATGGTTTTGTGTATTGTTGGGCGGCCGACTCCAGCAAGTCCTGGAACTAGCCTTTCTTGGCTCTGGAACAGACTCACTGGCTGCTCTCTGTGCGACTCGAAGAGCGTTCCGGACTGGCAGGTGGATCCCGCTGCCGCACTGAGTCCTCACGGGATGAAGCATGCCAGCCCGTTGACTGGAGGACCATCACCGTCACCATCGCCTCTATTGCTCAATCAAGTATGACGACTGCCCTTTCATCTCCTCCCGTTCGGTGCACCGGATTCCATGGCTGGTCCATCATCAGGCTCCATGCAGGCATCTGCCTCACAGCCTCCGGCGACATTCTCGGTTCTTTTCCATTACCAGCCTTGTTCGTGCCGCTGTCCGTACGCTGCATCATATGGGTAGTCTTGAGGCTGGGTACACGTCAGTCATTGATCTATGAATAAAGGCTATACAGCTTACCCGTCAAGCCATGCCGCCATACGGATCCAACAGATAGGCTGATGATATCCATTAAATCCTAGCACGTCTTGCAGCAATTTTGAAACTGGCCTTGGGTATGAACTAATGATGGTTATCAGAATAGATGGTCCGATAGCCTGACTAATGTTCTGACAAGTTGCACAGGGAAGAAGGGAGTGAGAAAGGCGCCGAACCAGACGCACGGCCACAAAAGATAGAGGCGTCCTAGTTTAGCATGCTATGTTGCGTGCACAGATGCACATTGTGATAAAGTAAGAGAGTAAAATTGCGGAAACGAATGTAAAACGGCCGCAAATGGAAACGGCGAGACGAGGTCAAAGAGCCACATACGTACTGTTGAATATGGTTGATAGTGGGAAGAGGCTGATACTCACCAAGCAAACATGGCTTACAATGAGACTACATCTGCCCCTGCCGGGCCATGAATCAGAGAACCGGCAAAGAGATATAGTGTAAGTGGCCGACCAGAGTCTCTGCATGACCAGGGGATACTTTCGGGTCCGAGACTACAGCGAGGTTATCGCAAGCTGTCGGCTATGACACGCGTTGCAGTGACACTTGTGCGCCCATTGTAGTTCCTGAAGAACATTATGCTCAATCGCATGTGGTTGAGAACGCCACGAACGACCGCATCTACCAGAGAAACCCTATGTCTACACATTAGCGGGAAAGAAGGAAGCTCGTCAAGACGAAAAACTCGGGGAAGAACAAGCCGATCCATCGGCTTGAATGCAGAGTGAAGATCGCAATCCACCGGACGGCTAGGTAGAGTCGAAGAGCTAGGATCCTGCCAAGGGTTCTTCCAAACGTGGGAACATTAAGAAACCCCGGAAATTAAAGCCGAACGTTCTGGACTCAGGATGAGCTCAGCTGCTTGATCGACAAGACAACCGACGTACGGGCTATCTCCATGGTCCAAACCGTAATACCGGCCAGCTGCAGCTTCAAGCATGCCATGACAGCCCCTATGCCCCATTATGGCTTATAAAGGTAATTATTGCGGTGTCGTACAGGAGTTCCGTCAGGATAGGGAGGGTATCAGCCACCAGCACGGGTAGAAGAAGTCAGCAGGTGAGTAGATTCGGGCGCGTATTGCTCCTGGAACGCTGAAGGCGCGAGTCAATCGGAAGTACTCCAGCTGCACAAGATGTTAGCACTGACAGCCCTAGGAGCCTAGGACAGATCCAACACATTCCCATACTGGCTAGAGGCCTCGGTCTTGAATGGGACCTTGTTCAAACTCTAACCCAGGTACGTTCAGACGGCTTTCCGGGCGGACGGGCCCCTCTCAGGCTCTCAGAGTCTCAACCAAGGAAAGGGTCGCGGCCAAGCGGGACAAAGAAAAAGAAATTAAGGGAGAAAAGTCACTCACCAGCAATGACGGTGCGGGAGGGAGTCTTCCGAAGTGTCCTTCTAGGTAGCGGTGGTAGCTCGGTCGCCCACGAGCCAGCGTAACAATGTCTCCTTCAGTCTCCATACGATAAGACTCGGTGATTCGCCAGTCGGGGGGCCTCGGATATTAGTTGACTGGAACAAGATCAATGGCAGCGAGACCAGCAAGAGATAGAGTTTCTTCTAGAGATACTGTGTAGGCGGCCATCCATCCATCCATCCATCCATCCATCCATCATCCATGGCACCTGGGTATGCCAATTATAGATGGAGGATGGTATCAGCTCTGTCAGTAGTGTCTGCACCCATGACCAAGCACCGTTGCCTAAACAAGGTTCTCAGCGGCCCCAACGGCAAGACCAGATGCCAAAACAATGTCAGAGGACGAAGACAAGGACAGGGACGATGACGGCTGATGAGTGGTCCAAGGCTCAATTGTTGTTGCAATGAAGAAGGTACATGCAGGTATGCCGCTATACCCCTTGGGGCCAGCCTCTCGAGGCACGTGCCATATGCTGCTTCGGGGTTAGCGTCATGACACGCGCTCCGATTCGTGTCGGCCGAACAAGGCAAAGCAATAAAACAAATAAAGTAACATCATAGGTAGTAGTAGTAGTAGTATTGACCATCTACTACTTATCTCCAATGCCATCGGTTTCTCGAAAACTATACACCCTCTCCATCCATCACCGATCATATTCATCATCCATCAGCACAATCCTCTTTCAGAAGAGTTTTGATCTCATCCTCAATTCCCTACGCCTTACCATGGCTCCAACTTCCCGACAGGCTCCAATCAACGGGCTTCTCGGTTCACCCTGGCCTGAGATGCAACCTCTCACCCCCCCTGGTTCGAGGTTACTATGGGATTCGCGCCGCATCCCGCGGACACATCCTGCACGACATCGGCCCCCTCCCCCCTCCTTCATTAGGAACCCCGTACCCTATACAGGCCTATAACAACTGGCTCTCAATTAAAACCCAACACAGGCTCTCTGCCAATGATACGTTCATGGCTGCTTTTTTCAGCACAGTGCATATCACATCTCAACCAACTAGCTTCCTGCAAGCCTGGATGATCATCCAGCCACATAATAATCCCCACCGGAAAGGGGAAAGAAAGGAGTCAGAAAATTTTCTAGTACTCAAAAGAGTGAGAAAAAGGAAAACAAAACAGAGAAAAAGAAAAAGAAAAAGAAAAAGAAAAAGAAAAAGAAAAAGAACAAAAGAAAAGAGAATGGGAAGAAGATACATCCCCACCGACTGGGATAAGCTGAAAGGCGCTATCTCCCCTCTAAGTAAATCCACTGCAGTGGGCTTCGCTCCGCTCTACCAATCAGCGCATCTGCTAGATTCTGGAAAAAGAATGCAGTGTACTTCGTACAGCAAATGTGCTCCCTCCACCCCAAGGGTGGTGTGACTGGGAAAGGGGCCATTGTTGCCGGAGCAGAGTTCGGTCAAAAGTTCCAACCGAATAGTGTGTGGCAGGTCATGACTACATGCTACTCTTTGTATCAGCTGCATTTCTGACTCAAATGGCTCCCAAATGGCTCAACCATGTCGGTGAGCGAACCACCACCACCATCATCACCACCACCGCAGGGGAAGACAAAAACAACCGTTGGATCGAATCTGTCGATCGCCTGATCTCTCATTCATGCAAGAGCTACCGCTGCTCGTGCCTTGAGCACCCGAGATTCTCTTGAGAGCAGCCCAGATAGGCGGCACGTCTAGAACATGGATTTTTTTTTGGGCCCACAGCCCCTGCCGGGCACTGTACAATTGTACGGAGTACATCAACCGTTCTTCCATGGTCTCGAAAGCTATTGGCTGTCTGCATCCTCCCAAGCTCAGTAGTTATCAACCGTTCCCATCATGCGACTGGGGTCTGCACAATTCCCGGGGCGATGATCGTCGCTACTAATCTGTTCTAGCACCATCTTAATTTGTTTTGCTGCACTTTGCCGTTCGCCGGGTGTTCACACTAGGACAGCTGACTTTACCGGTGATGTTCTGTATGGAGTATAGAACAGTTCACCAATCAAGCAGCCAACTGAACCTTGCCCAAGTTGGAGTTCATTCCGCTTTAAGTTTGTGCAGCCTTGAGTCTGCCTAGACTCGGACCATGGGGATGTAACATGGATTTCATCCAATGCCGTGTTTCTCCAACGGTTTCGACAGGGTCCAACTCTCTGTCTTTTTTTTTTTTTTTTCTAATTTACTAATTTACCCTTCGCGTCTTTTCTGGGCGATACACCCAGTACTATCCTCCAGGGAGGCATCTGTTCCTTTTTCTCACCCAAGCAATAAAATAAAAGCGAAGCATTTTCTTGGAAAGGAGGTAAAAGGGCGCCAAGATAACGAAAAGGGAAAAAGGAAGAAAAAAACAAAAGAGCGCCTTTTCGATTCGAGCAAGCGTCGTCAAGGCACGCATTGTATGTATGTAGTCCGTTTCTTTTCTTTTTCCTCTGTTCAGTATGGCTCGGAGACAATCAGGGTCTTTGACCCCCGTACCCACTAAACTCAACAGCAAACTCGTGGCGAGAGTGGTATTCATTTTCAAGCTTAAATTGGTAACCTGAAGCTCCCAGGGCTTGTGCGCAACGAGCTTCTGCAGACATTTCTTTCCGCCGCATCTTACCAGGGTCACTCATTGGGCGCCGTAAAGGGGCCAGGCTAGGTAGACAGCGGAGAAAGTGGGCGTCGTGTTGGTGTGGGCAGGAGGAAATAACATGACATGAATGAAGCGTTTTTCATCCAACATCTGGAAACAAATATCAAGCGACCAGATCCCTCGACTGCCACCCAGCACCTTTTTCTACCAGTCAACCAGTCCTTGGGGCACAGCAGCAAACAGCGAACAGGCCTAAGCGACTCGCCTTTCCTTCTTCTTTGTCAAGGTTCCTAATTAATCCACCGAGAAGCCGAATTGAAGCGCTGAACCCAACGGTTCTCTCCTTGACGTGGACAAGCGGAACATTGGGATAACCGATACTATACATACATATAGGGTTGCAGCTCGAAGTCGAAAGCTGCAGTGGTGGATGCAGGATACCAGTCCTTCCTTCATGACCTGACTTCACTACACTTGCCCATCATCTGCCAACCGGTACCAGTGAGTCTATCTTATTCTGCATCCTCATCGGTTTCCCTGTTCGCCTCCCTCTCCCTTGGCCGTCCCATCTTCTTTTTGTTCCTTGTCGGATACGCCCACTATGATTCCCTTGTCCCATATGTCTTAATCACCACACAATCTCCCTCCTCCTGTCCCCGGTTACTACACCGTGGTGGTCAGTAAACCTATGACTTCACAGCACCTCCCCCACGTTGCCCCTACATGAAGATAGATCTTGTTCGTCATGGTTGATGTGGCGATCGTGGAAGCACCGAGAAGAGTGCTCACCGGTGTTTGTCATTCTTCCTCGTTTCTTTCTTTTTCCATGTCATTTCCTCTCCTGTTCGACTTCCTTCCACCCCGATATCTCTTTTTTTTCTTATGAGCATGTGTTCTCTCTCCATCGAGCCGATATTCTAGTTATGTCGATGCTAGAATAGCAGCGAAACTCCCCCTTGTGCGCCCCTGAAAATTCGTCATCCTTCAGGGAATTGAGAAGGTCCATGATCGCCCATGGATTTACTTCGATTGTTTAGCCGAATCACTGACTGTGCTATAGAACTGCATCGCTATACCAGGGATCTGGTTATCCAAAATACCTCCGAATAAGAGCGACAGCGTGCGTCGAGCCGCGCGGTTGCCAGTCCAATACCTCACTAACAATTGTCACTAGCATCGCCTTTCAACTCTAGCATACCCCTGTTGGGCGCCGCTCAACTCTAGCGTTCGCCGGGCGTCCTGTTAGCGCTTCAGCTTGGGCGGATTTCCAGGGTCCCAGGCGCAAATCAGTCTTTGGCGTCAAGCTTGCTAAGCCCAAGTGCCCTCTTTTGTCGACTTTGGGGGGTTTTTTTTCATTTGTTTTTTTTGGCTTCGCAGCTTCTTGCTATTTTCCTGTCGTGGACTCGCCAATGAATCATTGTAAGTACTATGCTTGTGCCGTGTGGATCTCCAATGTTGGTGGTTTCATTTTGGCCATTTTCCAGAAGTGATCTCAGCAGCGGCGTGTACTCGTGACCAAGTTGCAATTGCCTCTGACAGGCGATCTACACCCGGGGTGACGTTTATTCTCCCTTCTTTCTCGCATCTCAAGCTCTTATGCTCGGTTACACAATTTCAGACGCCCCCGATTCCCTTGTATTAGTATGACATCAAGGACTACTGTTTTCCTTGGCCGACAGGGATGGGTACCCTATTTCATACCGGGCTGACCAGTTAATTTTGTACCTTTTTTTTTATCTCATCGTCATCAATATTCTTATTTTTTGTTCTTATCGTTCTATTTTCTCCGGGGTGGATCCGTCTGATGATGCCGTCTGGTCGTGGCAATGGGTTCTAATCATGGCGTCTTCAATAGCAACGCTTCTGCAAAGCAGCTTTCCACTGGACGGTCCGATTAACACCGACGGGGACTACACGGGGGCGTCACGACCGTATTCCAGCTCGACAGGCTTCCATATGGACGAGGAAGAAAGTAGCCGGAGGGGCGGCGCCGTTGGCCATCCTTTGGCGCAGCCGGTCTCAATACCAGCTACCAACGGCTTGCGATACAACACACAGCAGCCTGCGATGCAGGATGTACCGTAAGTTGTCTTTCAATTCGGACTGCCCTTGTGCTCCACTGGGTCCGCTTGCAGCCACTAGTCACAGCACTCCCTTCTAGTCCGAACAGCCTGAATAGTTGGCCGGCAGCTGAGATTATTATTTCCCCTACTCTCATTATTATTATTATTCTTCTTCTTATTCGGCTACGCCTGCTTTTGTTTCGCCCGTGATTTTCCATTCTCTTTGGTTTTTATTTGTTTTATCGGATTTTTCTATTTTATCGTCTTGGGTTTCCTTTTTCTTCTTTTTATTTTATCTTATTTTATTTTATTTTTTCTGTTCATTCCTTCTCCTTCCAGGGCGTCTAACTATCTATCGTTCTAATCTTTTATTATTATTATTATCATTATTATTATTATTCTTCTTCTTCTTCTTCTTCTTCTTCAATACTTCCCTTCCTGTTTTGGTCCTGTCCTTTATGTCAAGTGCCGTGCTTAATGGCCTATACCAAACTGCTGCTTGCATGCGTCTACCTGCTGCTCCCTGGTCGCATTGCCGGGCCTTCAGCATATCCTCGCAAAGGATGGCCACACAGCTTGTCGCTGATTCATTTATACATGCTGTGTGGTCGCGATGCGTTGGGATCCAAACGTTCTATATCTTGCTTTTCTTCTGCTGTCATCCTCCGATTATTTTCGGCAACACCCTAGCAGATGCAGCTTACTGACCTAAGCCGGCTCTTCTAGCTTTGCGACGTCTCCTACCATTCTCATGAGCCCTAGTGATTCATGTTCTGGTTCGTCTTCCACTCCTTCCCACCTCTCCATCGTGTTCGTCGGCTGATATGCACCCTTCATCAAATGATGTGGTGCTTTGCAGAAACCTTTTCTCCTTCGTCGAACTCATTGTACACGCACTCTCCAGCACTGTCGTACGATAGAATGTCGGATTTCAGATCCCATCGGGTTCCCCCACTGTAAGTCTACCTCTTATGCTTGATCCATTGTTGACATGCACCGATTGATAAGAAAACTTTGGGACCCGTATAGCCAGCCGCCTACCAGTCTATCATCCACCAGCCTGCAGCCCCAGGGGACATCCGTCTCTAGCAGTGCTTCCATCTTGGGGAGAAGTGATGGCTATCCAGGCACGTACACGTACCGAGGATCATTCCCACCCCCACCACTGTCAAGCCTGGGGGAGATTGGCAGGATGCCACCGTATACAGCGACACCACGAGCTCTAGAGAGCTCCATCGAGCGGACTCAGAATCTGTATCTCGGACCAGGGATGTTAATGGATCCCGTCCAGCCGCGCTTGCCACAACCGGTTGCAGATGCCCCTCCGTTCCATGAAACCTATAATATCCAACCGATAGTCTCGGGGGCTCAATCCATCAAACCTGAGATCCAGGCTAAGATTCACAAAGGCTTCTTCCAGGTTGATGAGAAGTGGACTTGTTATAGACGCAACTACTTTTCCGTCTCATGTTCCTTCTCTTTGCAACCTTGGGCACCCAGCCAGCAACTTTATGTTAAGTTCTCGGAACAAGCAACCGAACGCATTCAGACATGGTCGATGTCTATCTCAGCTATAGTGAACGCACAGTATGGAGAACCTCGAGAGCTGGTTCAGCACACCCCTAAACGGGACAAGCAATCGGAATCGAAACCGAAGAAAATTGTCCTACAGCCGTCTCAGCCCCCGCCGCTGGTTCTCAGCCATGGAGCGTCATCCACCAGCACTCAGCATAGCTTTTCATTGGCCTCGCAGTCACCTGGGTTGTCGCTGGATTACAGCCCATATGCAAATACTGCCCAGCCGTCGCACCCTCCCACACAGCACACGTTCGAACGGATTCAGTTCCAGAAGGCAACGGCGAACAACGGAAAGCGACGAGCCCAGCAGCAATACTACAACCTTGTGGTTGAACTCTACGCGGGGATTTCCAACCCTGTTCCGGGAGGCGAACCCTATCAATGGATCAAGGTTGCCAGACGGCTTTCGCACCCAATGGTTGTTCGGGGGCGGTCCCCGGGCCATTACAAAGACGGCCGGCGCGATGGTTCGACAAGTATGGGTCCGGATGGGGGGAGCGGTGGCTCCGGTGATGGAAGTGGAGGGGCTGTCCTACCTTCAGGCTTAGGATCAGCTGCACGGTCTCACTTCATCATGCCGTACGACCCTTCTCAGCGCAATGGTCCACATTACGGTCGAACAGATTACCATCAAATGACATCGTCAGACCAGTCACCGCTTAGCGAGAGTCCGCACATATCGTCATCCTCGTCATCCACGTTTGATATCGGACTCAACACCATGGATCCCATGGACTCGATGAAAAGCACGTCCAGTATGGATTCTTATCAGGACCCGAATTTCACTGGCATGAATAACCGAAAGCCACCAAGCCATTTTCCCCACCAACTTCCCTCTTTCGACTTTGAGCCCATCTCTAAACCAGCCGAAGAGACCAATCATTCATTTCCTGGGACGTATGACTCTCTGGTACCTCTTTTGACAAATGACCAGCACGAACCTCCCCATTACATGAAGCATGCCCATCGGCCAGCTTCTCACATGTACCAGCACTCCAGTAGCAGTGGTTACGACCCCATCTACTCGGCTGCTCGCACCGCTGACGGTACCTCTTATGGTCGTTTTCCCAACACTCCAAGTCTGTGCGTTTAGCAGACGCCTCTACCTTCTCCAGGTTCCATTGAGCCCTTCAATTCTTTCAATTGTTTTCATTCGCCATCGTCGTCCATCATGATTTCTTTTTCCGTCTAATTTCTTTTTTTTCCCTTCTCTTTTAGTATTCTTCTTCTTTTTCCCTGTGGTCTGTTGCCCCTACGATCTTTTCTCTTCCTTCCCCACTGTTTTAATCTGCTTATGATCCCGGAAAGGTGTGCTCCAGTTGCCCCCGATTTCCGATTATTGTCCTCGACGGACTCCCGATGAATTACGCGCGCCGATAGACTGAGAAGCCGTGCTGGTTTACCTCTCACATGTTGAAAGAAAGTGAAATTGCATTGCCATGGGGACAACCCCTATTCGGGGCCCTTGTGCCATCTGCCTGCCCCCTGCCTTATTATTCCTTTCCCTTTGATTTTCTTTTCTTTTCTTTTCTTTCCCTTCGCCTCCCCCCTCCCCCCCACCTTTTCTCCACCTGTCATTTTCCATTTTCCACCTTCCACTGACCCCTATTGATGTTGCCTCCGGAAGGACCAAAGGGATGATGATGCACTGCTTCCTTTCCATTCACCACCGAAGAACAAAAATATCTGCGTTTCTACATGTAGACGAGACTCGAATTATGTCCAGAAAAGAAATGTCACTATCGATTTGATTAGGCCATGTGGGAAGACAGCTACGCGATCCATTCGAATATGGAAGCAATAATGACTACTAATAGTAGGTAGAGATAATAATCCCATGCAAGCCCCAGCCTGCCAGGGAAAGGGCTATAGTTCGCCGGCCCTGGTAATAATTGGTTCTTGCTGGGGTAGGATTTTCTCCGATATGCTGCCCTACTTGGCCCAGCCAGGTATGCCGCTGTCAGGTCAACCTACCCTGTCTTCCTGCATGCCGAGAGAATTGAAACAGACACAATGAAAAGCAAAAGCAACATGGAAGGCTGGGAATTGGGAAGAATAGCCCGATGGAGAACCAGGGTCGAGTGCAGGTTCGTGCATCTCACGTTGCCCCAAGGGAAAGGAGTAAAATGAAGCCGAGAGAGAGGGGGAACCCATATCTGGAAGTCAAATGCCTACCCTACCGTATAAGAAATCCATCGAAAACAGATAATAGGTCGTCGCTAGATACAATAATTTTTTTGCCCCAGCTGGCAACAGGAACACCTGAACGAGTGTCCAGGAGGAGGGATCGGGGGAGGGGGGAGCCAGAGCACCCCCGAGCCGCCCGGATCTCAGGCCAGATGACGAGGGGAGATCGACGAGGGCCACCAGGCCGTCCTTTGATTTGTTCCTGCCGGGTTTGGCGGTCGGTCACCGGCAGCAGGCAGTGTTGGGAGGGGGGAGTCGACATAATAATGCCTGTCTTTTTACTTCTTGGTTCTTACTCTAGTTCTTACAGGTACTCCGTACCCCATACTCCATACAGATCGTGGGATACCGATGGATACCGATGGATACCGATACCATACAGGCAGGCGCGCTTGCCCGGAAGAAGAAATAAAAGTGGAATTGAGAGAAAGAAAGAGAGGAAGAGAGAGAAAGAGACTGGAAGGGAAAAGAAAGGAACCCAGAAAAAAAGGAGGAACAAATCACTCACCTCCTTTTCCGCGCCTTCCCTTTGTTGTTGTTGTTGTTGTTGTTGTTCCGTCTCATTGTGGACTAGCCGGGATCCTTTTCCCAGCTTCAGTCACGACTCACTAGTTACTCACTTAGTACAACGCAACTGTCCCTGACCGAACCGAACCGAGCCTCTCTCTCTTTGCGTTTTTGCCCCCTCAGTCAGTCTGCTCCAGTTAGTAGCAGCATTATTGTCTCTGTTGCCTCCCGTCTGCTCGGCCGAGTCAGAACTCAGGCCTCCTCTAGGCTCTCGCCCCCCACGTCAGAGGTCCCTGACCCTTTTTCATGGCTGCGGATGACGGCACTGGAGCGACGTCAAAAGGAAGATGCAACTAATGCGACGATCATCCCACCAATGCGTTCCATGATCGACCGGACATACATTAGGCCGCTGATTTAATCTCGTTAGTGAGCGTGCATAGCTTCCCCCAGTCTCCTTTTAGCGCTCCGTCGATGATGACCCCCTCCCCATCGCGGTAACTAACGACTCCTGGGCACCATCCAGAATGGTCGTCCTACACACACTCTCGCCATGCGGATGACCGCTTTGCTGACTGGTTGAGCCACTCCTCCATACCCTTGGGTCCCTCTCGGCACGTTCCGGCGTCATCCCAGCCGATCATTGTTTCCCTTAGTCGCGATATCAGCCCGCAGGTGTCCATGGTCTACGCCGTCCTCGCGGGCCCGACATTCTAATTTACCGGCCCTTATCTCTCTTGAGATGCGTCTGCATCCATCTCTTCGGGAAAAAGAAATGCAACGGTATTCAATAAAACTACACAACATGTCTCCTTCCGTCGACCGTGAAGGCGCCATGAGCAGCAGCCAGCCCCCACCCCCCAACAAATTTCGGCGGCCTACGAACAGCTGTCCGTCCTAATTGGCGGTGCAGAAGCAGTGATAAATCATCTCACATCAATCACCCCCCATACTGCGATCCTCATACTAGCCGGCCACGCTTCACCTTTCGAGTGGGTTCGCCCCCTCTGTATTGCCGGCAAGCGGAGACCCGGTGGCTACCAACTACCCAGGCATGCTTGATGCAATATTTGCTTCCCTAGGATGGCCCACTATGCACGTCGTACAAGGGGGTGGGAGTGACCCGAGCGAAGATGATGGGGCCCAAGCCGAGCAAGCCACAGAGGGCCTGGTATTTTTGACCAACGGAAGTACGTGCTTGTAGAGGGCGGCCAACGAGGACGCTGGAGTGCCCCCAGGACAAGTCTCCGGGTCGTCGTGCAACCGTTGCATCCAATCTGCGTCAGTTTCACCACACCAACGTCAGCTCCCAACGCAATGTATGAAACTTCTCGACTTGCCCTTTTCAACGGTCAGGGTCCCAGTCGCTGCCACTCATCATGCGGCCCCTCCCTCCCCCTACAGGAGGGTCAGTGGATGCGCACAGTCCCACTCGTCTTCCTGGAGCGGTTCATGTCGAAAATTGGGGCCTTCGGAGTCTTGCATGTAACATCTGAGTCAAATGGGCCCCCATGTTCGTCTGTACGTCAAATGATCCTGAGTGGCCGATCTTATCCCAGTGGATGCTGCCCGGAAACTGAGACCATGGACCAACACTGGCTTGGGCCCCTATGTTGACCCGCCATGCGGACCCCCTGTTCAGTGCTGACGGGGCTGCTATTCGTGTCAACATTGGTCTTTCATGGCTAGTCCCGTTGCGAGGCTGGCGAGGAGAATTTCGTCCCAGACAAACCTTCTTTCTTCCGTGACCCTGCTCTCTCCGTCACCCGGCGCCCACCTGACCTGCATGGAAATTGTCTCATACCCTTCCCTTGTCCTCTGCCCGTCCCCATTCGCTCGTCTCAAACCTACAAGAATCGCGTTCTAATCTGGCCAACTACCAGCGCAACCATCTGGCTTCTTCATCGTCTTGTCACCTAGCCGTCTCAGGTCTCACCCCGACATTGCATGCGTCAAATACTGTTCCACGAAACGGTCTCCGGATGTTGTGCTCCGCCAACAAACTTCTGACAAGGCTAGACACGCGACGAGAATGAGCATCTGCCCCCATTTCCTGCTGCAACTCGCCTAGATAGCCCCCGTCTGACTTAATCTCACGTCTACCTGCTTCTGCCTATTTTTATTCCGTCTCTTCCCGTCCCCAACTTCAGCTGAACCTGCAAGTCCCGATCGAACATGTGATTGTCGCCCATTAGCGTTTCAAGTACCAGCCAAGGCGGCTTGCATCTATTGATAACCAAACGTTGGGTTGCCGCCGCCTCAACTCAGACCCCCATTTTCTGTCTTAACCGACAATACCCGCCTCCGTGTACCTCGCCTACTTCCCATCTTTCTCGACTCTCGATATCCGAACAGCCAATTTCCGATCCAACGCCTCCTGCTCCTCTTTCGTAGGCGCCAGACCCATAGCATTCTCCACTTGTGGTGAGACCCAAAGGCCAATAGAAGCCCAGGCCATCACGCCAACTCCGAACAGAGCTCTCGTCTTGGGCGAGAGGGACCGGTATGAGCTGCGCGGTGTAGATTTTGTCAGTAAAACGCCATTCGTAACTATAATTACAGTAAACCAACCTCCAGAATGACATGGTTGTGCGGGTGGGTGTAGGTAGGTAGGCAAAAGGTACAGTAGGTGTTTCGTCCTTCCTTGAAGTCCAGACGGTTGCGACTCCACCTGGACCTAAATACCGCTAGCCTTGAACAGGTTAGTGTACTGCCAGTCAATCCCGCCTTCCTATCTGGTCTCATGAAATGGGTAGGTAAAGAGTAGTGCTGGACAGCTCTCACTCATATCAAGACCAACTGCTCTGACGAAATTATCTGTATTTCTGCTTGGGATGTATCAGAACGATCCTGATCTGGCATCTTACTCGTCATACGAGAGACCCGGCTGTCTGCTTCTGCCCTATGGAGTAGATAGATCCCCCACCTTGTGTAATCAACGCCATCCCATCATATCGATCTTATGCATCATTCAGAGAGGTACGAAATAGCCAAGATGACACGGATGGCTCCGCTTCGGGATTAATCTGGATATCATTACGGGGCACTTCCGACCTACTGTAGAAGGTAATAATCTTAGGGAAGATGGGGTGGGGAAAGAGTAAGACCTATTCGTTCATCTTCATTAAGTTGTCTACTTCTGAGCAAGGTAAAGTAGGTTCGTGGGCTTCACTAAACTGACTGGGAATTTTATGACACAGACACCGAGAGAAGAGTAACATCACATCGACGTATAAAAAGGAGAGGACTAACATGATACATGTAAATCATAGATAGGATAGGGGGAATTAGAGAGACATAGAAGGTGCAGAATCAAGAATTATGCGAGCACAGAGCTGACAAGGGATATAAAGGATATACGAATTGAGCAGGCGTGGATATCCGGCTAATCGATAAGGCGTTCGCTGTCGCGGGCTGAGCTAGTTTATTTCTTGCCGTAGGCACGGTCGATGTCCTTCTGGAAGCGGTTGAGGATCTTCTTGCGCTGGAGTTTTTGAGCGGCAGTCATGTAGCCCTGTTGCTTTGTTAGTCTCAATTCAGAAGCGAAAGTGGTTAGCATAGACTTACGTTCTGGGGAGTCCACTCCTCGTCAGAAAGGACAACTCCGTTGATGATCTCGATACCCTTCAGACCACCGGCCTTACCGGCGGTTTGGAGCTGCTTGAGCACGATGGACGTCAGCTTCTCGTTGTGAACAAGGGTCTCCAGAGTGTCGCCCTCGATGCCGTTGTCGTTAGCCAGCTTCTTCAGTGTGGCTTCTACAGGAACGATGATGGCGACCGGCTTGTCTTGGTCCTGGGCGGCGTAGACGCAGATGTTGCCGACCACGGGGGAGGAGCGGTAGATGGACTCGAGCTTCTCCAGAGCAATGTATTCGCCGTTCAGCGTCTTGACCAGGTTCTTCTTGCGATCGATGATCTTGAGATGGCCTTGCTTATCAAACTCGCCGATATCACCCGTCTTGAACCATCCGTCGTCAGTGTAGGCCTCCTTGGTCTCCTCCTCATTCTGCCAGTAGCTGCTGCTGACACTGCCTCCGCGGATATAGATTTCTCCTTGCGGGGGAGTGTTCTTCGTCAGGTAACCGGCATCCGGGAAATCGACGAGCTTGACTTCAATGGAGGCGGGGATTTCACCAAGTGCGTCTGGGTTCCAGGCCATCGGGTCGTTCAGGGCACCCATGGCCGAGGTCTCCGTCAAACCGTAGCCGCTGATCATAGGGGCAATAGCCATGGATAGGAACTTCTGCGTGTCCTTCGAGACCGGACCACCGCCGTTCATCATGATACGTAGTCGGCCACCAGTGGCCTCCTTGAGCTTGCGGAAGACAATGGAATCCAGGAACCAGGCCCCCATGTCAGCGCCGGGGAATCCGGCAGTCATCAAGAAGTTCTTGGCAGACATGGCTCCCCAGAACATGCTCTTCACCAGGATGTTGTTCTTGTTCAGGTTGTTAAGCACACCCTTCTTTACGGACTCCCACACAGCCGGAACACCGACAAGAATTGTGGGCTTGAACTCGCGGATGTCGCCCTTGCAGTTGCGCATGGAAGTGTCAGACAGAGTACGAGGGTTTCCGTAACCCATCGTACCACCCCAGAAGAGGCAGAGGTTCTCGAACATGAATTCAAGGATGTGCGCTTGCGGGAGGTAGGTGAGGAGAGCATCCGAGGGACCAATGTAGGGGCCGACGATCTCGTGAATACCGGCAGCTATGTGGAAACCCGGTGTCAGTATCGTACTGTGGGGTTGGAAGATAATCAACAACAACTTACTTGCGGCAATAACGTTGGCATGTGTCAGAGACACACCCTTCGGGGGACCGGTAGAACCAGAGGTGTACATGATACAGCAGAGATCTTCAGGAGCCGGGGGGACAGGATCCACGGGGTTTTCTTCGCCCAGCTTCCGCAGATCCTCCATACTCAAGACATTCAAGCCCTCATTTTCGGACTTGAGTCGGTCCAGATGTTCCTTCTTGGGTTCCTGGTCGGTGTTGTAGATAACATGCTTGATGGACTTCGCATCCTTTAGAACGTTGGCCACGGAGGGGATGAGGACGGGATCGCAGAAAATGGCGGCACTGGATGTCTGGACCAACGAGTGCTTCAATCCCTCCTCACCCAAGGTGTCGTATGCGGTAACGATGGTCAAAGACTGAGAAGCGGAACCTGTAACAAGGGATGCAATCAGCCAAAGGCCAATCAGCCAGAAGGGATCCTTGCGCACGAACCGTGTGACATGGCCAGCCAGTTTGCACTGCGGAAATAAGCAATGTCAGCATTCAACCTGGATCCTGATACACCTCAGTCGCACACCCACCTAGTTGCGCCGTAAAGGTGAATCTTGTCCGGCTTCTCCAAGCCGAGCTTCCGCAAACCACAGCCGAGCTCAAGCGCCAGCTTCTCGTATTCGACAAAGCTCTTGTAAGTGTAGCCACTCATCTCGAAGTAGGTCCATTGCTTGTCGACTTCCTTTTCCACACCATCGACGACCTTCTTGATCTTCTTATTCTCGACGTGGGTCTTGACCAGGTGACGGCTTCCGACAGCCTTCGCATTCCCGTAGACACGCGCGGAGCGGCGGAAGACATCATAGGTGGTTGCGACATCCTCGGCGGGTCGTAGGATGAGGCCATCCTTGGCCGCAGGCAGTCGGCGAGGGATCGTCTCGCCTTCAACGGGCTCGTATCCAGGAGCCTCGACGGAGAACGGAGCCTTCTTGTACATGCGCGGTTGGATGCGAAGCTCCTGGAGCTCCTTCTTAGACATCGGCATCTTGCAACGTTGAGTGAACTAGACGAGTGGAACGGAAGGAAGTATCTGCAGAGGACAGGTCTGCTGTAAAAGAACGGGGAGCCGTCGAGTGGTCAGCAGTCGTTCGAAATTTGGGTTCGATCTCTTCAATAGAGCAATGGGAAAGACACGCCAAGGTGAGGGGGAACCAGAGGAAGGCGACGGATAGCAGAACTCAAACGACTTACGGCAGTGCAGAACCACTCTAGACCGACGCCACACCGGGGGATGAGGGTACCAAGTGGAGATTGCGAGAGACACAAAGGGTTCCAACCTCCAACTCAAGGCGGGCGAGATTGCGGGGAAGAGGAAGAGGGAGAGGGATAGAAAGGCAGGGGGAAGGGGAAAGGGGAAGGAGTTGGGATGGCGGGAGGCAGCGGGAGGGAAGCACGACCAGAAGAGGAGAAGATGAAGCTGCAGATCGGGATGAAGTCAGAGTGTTTGTTGTGGCTGGCCGGGAGGTCCAGGCGACTACACTAAAACTTAGGTGTGCTTGCTTGTCCGCCACCGGCCGCTTCCTTCGACGAGTACGACTACTGAAAAAGACCCTTTCTGCTCCATCCTTCTTCTTCTTCTTCCTCCGCTGCATGCCGAGTCCCTTGGTTTCATTACGTTCGTGTTCCCTTTGGAAATGAGCTACCATTGGGAGGAGTGATCCTGATAGGTCCGGTCGGAGACCAGCCCCTTGAGGGCACGATATCTATTCTATGCAGTACCTATCATCTAGATCGGTCGGGAACTTGAATCGCCGCGGTCCAGCATAGCCGACCGCTTCTGAGTGCTGACAGTGATACGGGGGAAGATGGAGACAGGGCCGGGGCAAGAGGAACGATGGAGTCATCGCACAGCTTATGCTGCCTATAGCAAGGGACATATAAGGACTAGTCCACCTGTCAGCAACTCGGCGCACGAGAGGATTCATGATGGGACTCCATTTGTCGTCACTGACGGTGGTTCCTTGGCCATTGGCGGTTGGCCATCATTGCATTGGTCGCGGGCCAAGCTCAGTTCCGCTTTTGTTGGGATTCCCACCAGCAACTTGACAGCGCGCGTGACGTCGTCTTGGTCAGTTGGTCGGTTGGTCCAGTCTAGATGTCATTACTGGTTGCTCTGTTGCTTGGTTGCTCTACACAGTATCTAATAGTATCTAGAGGATTCTGGGATCTGGGATAATATTTACAATCTTAACCACATGCAGATTCCATCGCCACTCATCTATCTTATGCATTCCTTATGCAGTCCCTGCTTACATGAGTGTCTGCTGTGTGACCCTCCCACCAATCAGAAGGCCAGCCGTTACAATGCCGTAAAACCTCCGCCGTCCAGAATCACGGCAAGATCATCTCAATCTTCGGCCATCGCAAGCCCACCGCAGTCAAAACCTCAATGGAGCCCCGACTCAAATCCTAGCTGAAACACACCCCGGTTGATCCTCGTCGTGCAACACCCCGCCCGTGAACTGCAGGGGAAATATTCCGATCGACGACGTACATATGACCAGCAACCCACCCAACATTGAAAGCTTTGGAAGTTGAAACACAACCACCACCATCTCTACACAGTATACACATTACATAGTAGACAGAACATAACCCCACCTGGTATAAACAATGGATTCACTCACGAACTTCCTCGCCATCATCGGCGAAGAAGTCGAAGATGCGGAAGAGGGTATGTCCTAACGAATTGCTTCACATCATAAGCAGTATACCTACCTCCATACTAGCTATAGAACATATAAACCCACCTGCACAACCCCCCAAAATTAACACCCCAATCTCCCCTAGAATCCTTCCTCCTCTTCTCCCAAGACATCCCCTCCGCCAATCTAGGCTTCGTCGATTCCCGCGCCACCACCATCGACATAACCATCCACGACCAAGACTTCACCATCCACCAATCCCCAACTCTCCTCTCATCATCCAGAGCAGGCGGTACAACCGGTGCCGGTACGTCCATCCCAATCCCTCCCAATCCCCATACATATCACCACCATTGCCAAAACTAACAACCAAATACCAAAGTCCTCTGGAAAATCACCCCCCTCATATCCACCTGGCTCACCAACACCACCAAAAACCCAAACCCAAACCCACTATGGACACACTCCCTCCTGACCCCCACTTCCACGGTCGTCGAACTAGGATGCGGTATATCGGGGCTAATCGCCCTCTCCCTCTCACCCAAAATCAATCACTACATCGCCACGGATCAGGAATACGTGCAGCGTTTGTTTCGTCAGAATTTGGATGAGAATTCTACTGCGTCTTCTACGTCTACGGGGACGAAATCTAAGGGGACTGATAAGGCATCAAGGAGGAATAATAATAATAGTAAACAGTCGATAAGGAATCAGGATGCTGGTAAGGGGAATGTGACTTTTACGTCCCTGGATTGGGAATTGGATGTTGCGGGGTCATTGAAGGAGAGTTTGGGGTTGGTATCTCCGCTTTCTGGGACGACTGGGTATGGTGGGGAGGAGGAAGAGGAGGAGGATAAAGGTTTCGATTTGGTGATTTCGTGTGACTGTATTTATAACGAGGCGTTGGTTGCGCCGTTTGTGAGGACGTGTGCGGATTTGTGTCGACTACGGCCGGTATATACTGACGATTCGGATGGGAATAATATGGGGGGAGATAGGGGAGGGAGGAAGCCGACGGTGTGTGTGATTGCGCAGCAGCAGCGGTCGCCGGAGGTGTTTGAGGCGTGGTTACAGGAGACAATGAGAGTGTTTCGGGTGTGGAGGGTTAGTGATGAGGTGTTGGGGGAGAAGTTGAAGTCGGGGTCAGGGTATTTGGTACATGTGTTGCTTTTGAAATAGACTAGATTACGATGCTGGGGTGGATGAAGAAAATATCTAGATGAGGAGAAGTGTATGTTCCATTGACTATGGACATGGACATGGACATGGACTGAGCGGACCATTGTCGGCTGGGTGAAAATCAGCATATATGTAAACTCCCCAAGGCACAAGGCAGTATGGACATTCTTGTGGGAAGCAGGAACAAAAATAACAATAGACGCAGCAACAGTGCACCATGGATTGGAGTATCCCCTTGGACTGCGGAGATTATAACGGGTATATAATGAGCTAGTCGTAGGCATCAAATATTGTGATCGGAGTTGAGATAGAAAGAACTTGAAGGATCAACCATTCGAGGAAGAGTAAAACATTACAGTATTAAAGAACGTGCAAAAGGCCACCCACGAATACAAAAGAGGGTATTAACGCAAGAGCTGCATATGAACAGAGACTCAGAATCTGAAAGCATGCTCGTACTATGCAAGGCGAAATGCAGGTTTTGTGTGGTCGCAGGCAATGCGATCAACAAGCAGTATTATGTAATTGAATATATTACTTAACCTCAGTTGGGTTTTTAGGTTCAGTGTTCTCTTTCTCGTTTTCATGGGGCCGAGGAAACTCGGCCTCGTCTTTGATCGGGGGCTTTTGATCCGGCAACGCCTGGATGGGTGCCTCAACCGGCCGAGGAGGGATGGAGGCTAATCGCTCCCGGGGCTCCTCCTCTGGATCACGATCGATGATAGATGAAATGGATTGTTTCGTCGACCCGTTCGTTCTCGGGACTGGTATTTGCTCCGGGGCCGGAGCCATGGGGACCGGCGGCGCTGGCAGTGTCCGCTCGGGGGCCTCCGTCTTCACACGGACCTCCCGACTCTCCTCCTCATCAGATGCAGAGGAATAATCCATTTCTTGCTGATATCCTTCGGTATCCGCAGGGCCAGATTCCAACCGACTTTCTTCGGTGGATGCCCGATTCACCGTCGCCACTGGCGGCAGAGGCGCATTAGGATCAAACACGATGCCACATACCTCTAGCGCCCGGGACTGACTCCCCAGGCTGCGGTCCTTATGTTTCTTGGTCAGATGGCACATGAAGCCATGCAGGGTCACAAAATCGGCTTTTCCACAACCTGCGACCGGACATGTGAGATATACCAGGCTTCCGTCCGACGGCCGCTTCCAGAGCGCCCGTCCAGAGGGATCATGCGCGGCCGGTCGTCCATGACGTTCCCCCCAAGCCTCAACATTCTTGATGGTGTATTTCTGCTTCCGCCGAATCGATGTGGCGCCGGTAGGATCGTGGTGGATGTGCTGAGGAGGAGGATGGGGCGGCGGCGCTTGTGTTGGCGGCGGGGGAATTTGGCGAGGCTCTGGAGGGCTCTGTTGCTTGAAGAATGCAAGGGTGGTCGCTGCATTGGTTTCCGATAACCGGCGAGGCGGCGTTGGTCGAAGCGGCGGCGAGTCCAGGCTTGCATTATATCCCAGTCCCATGGACTCCCGCTTTATTCTCTTCCGTTGCCTACGCAGTTCCTGATTCGTAGGCAAAGCATCCATGTCAGAGTTGAAATCCGCGGAGAATTATGTCATGAGTCTATTAACCATACCTCTTCTTCGGCTTCCGCATTTTCGGTCATCCTACGAAACTCCTCGTCCTCTCGCTTCCGGATGGCGAGAAGGTGACTACGGGCCGCCATGCGAGCCGCTTCTTCATGTTCCAGTTGTCTGAGGCGAGTCTCGATATGATCTATTTGGAAAGGTTGAGCCGGCGGACCGGGCGCTGGCGGGCCTGGTTCCTGCAGTGGATGGGGGTGGAAGGGACGAAATTGATGATGGCCTGGCATCATATGTTCCGGTGGGATTGCTTGCGTCGGATTCATTGCGATTGGATGGAATCGGGGCAGGCTCATGGTGTTGACATGGTGTCCGGAGACACCTCCGTTGAGGCCATTCTCATGCACGGGTGCTACAGGAGGTGCTGCAACGGTCATGGTAGAAGACTGAGGAGGTTCAGTCAGAGAATTAGTTGATCGAGTTTACTGCGTTTGAGTTCTGGCATGCACATGGAAAAGTTTGTTGGTGATTTGCAGATTGATATGATGGGGGACGGGGGAACACTGAACAGAGGGGGGGAACAGCAGGGAATTCAATATGATGAAAAGATAAATAAGATGAGAAGAGGGGGGAATGAAGGTGTAGGAGTTCGGACAGGGTGAGAAAAGGGAGATGAGGGAGGGAGCAGAGAGGGACAAAGGGAAAGAAGAGGAGTATGAGTGAAATGATAAAAAGAGAATACAATGCTAGTGTCAGAGCAGAAAGACCAGAAGGCGCGGCAGATGTCGAATTAGGGTACCAAAGAGAATAGAATGAGAGAGAAGCCGAACTTACTTACGGAGTACACTTGCAGCAGATAATCAGGATAATGTCAAGAACAGCCAAGGACTTCTCCGACCAAGCAGAGAAGAAAAAGAGCCCGCTAGTGCGATGCAGCTTGCCCGTTTTTTTTTCCCTCCAGGAAATTTCCCGCGGTTTCCTCGAAGGTCGATTTAGTTGGTTGTCACCCACTACTACTAGAGTTGAGAGGGACAAATGCAAGTGGTAACGGCTAAGCAAGGGATCCAATGGATTGGAGGAGGAAGTAGGCAAGACTGGTCTGTCACTGGTGCCTGTGGAAGCGAGAGATAGCCGGGGAGCGATCCTAATGGAAGGTTTGAATGAAAGTTTAACGAAGGGGGAAAAAGAAAAGAAAAAAAGGAATAATACTAATAATAATAATAATAATAATAATAATCCCCCAAAATAATGACAAAGCACGAGAAAAGGACGAGAGGGAGAGAGGGCGAGCGAGAGGGCAAAGATGGAATAATGGGCAAAGTAATTAAAACCAGATCAATTGGGACAGCTCTAGACACCACTAGGAAGACACACTAGCAGCTAATAAAACTAGTTCAAGTAGTAAAGTATCTAGATGGTTTTACGGTCAGTTGGAACTTGGAAACAAACAAGTCCATGGATAGAGTCTGGGACCTGCAACAGCACTAGTGAGCTCCAGTGTCAGATGTAGTAATAATTGACAATAATGCCCATAGTACGATGTAGTACAGAATGCACAACTGTCTGGAGCATTGCCCTTTCTGCGACTTGAATGAATATTTGCGGTTGGATGGGAATCAGATTAACAACCGCGGCTGGTCCGTTCATGATTTATTTTTATTTTTATTTTTATTTATTTTTATTTTTAATTTTGTGGTTGTGTGGTGAGGTCCACTTCCATGGTATTTCCATTGTGGTTCCTTGACAGAGAGAGAGATGGATGACTGAGGGCATCGTAGCCTCCCTGGAACTGACGCCGGACATTGTAATTATTACTCTGAGCCAGATCCTTCAGTCCCCGAAAATCCATACCTCTGTGTTGTACACTAGCCTGCCCCTCCGAGTAGAAATCCACTACTGTCACACTAGTGACAAACACAAACCAACTCAGTAATCTATATTAAATTCTATTATTTATCGTGTCCCCCCCCCCGGTCTAGGATCTGAGATGTGTACTTTAGTCGTCTGCCGGAGGGGAAGCGAAATCGACTCTTAGACCAGGGTTGATCTGTACCAGGACCGGAGAGGCAACCCAACACCATATTGACTTTCGCATGAGCTCAACGATTGATAAAGAATCCGGGAACTCTACCACTGGTGGAAAGCTTCACACTGTGTCTTTCTTCTGCCATTAGTCGTTTTAATAGTACTCCTGCGCATTCCTTGGCCCTTAGGCAAACATACTGTCGTAATTTTTTTTTCCCTCTCTGGCTCTTAGTCTGTCCACTTCCAGTTCCAAGCCCTCTGGAAAGCTGGTAGGTAAGTAGGGTTTATTTTTAGTTACTCAAGGAAGTGGCCAATGAGGATCGGATGATCTACTACTTGTTTGTAACACAATTAAATGAGAAGGAAAGTAGAAGATCATGAAAGATCGGTGTCTTGTGCACAATCGTTGCCAGAGTGGATTGCAAGGGTAATACAGCGTGTCAATGGGTTTTGTACCCCAAGCCTACTAGTAGCAATCATAGCCGATGAAGCTTCCAGCCAGCTGGACAGGGGGGGGGGAGTTGCGACAGAGCAATGAGAATGGTGGGAAAAGGTCCCCGCCGTGAATAGCACTTACTGCTTAGTCGTAGGACTAGTGGTTGGATACGGGAGAAAACTGAAGAGGACCCAGAGGGCGAAGGCGAGCGAAGGCGACTGAGTCAGGAAAGGAAAAGAAAACGACGGGTTGGTTGGTTGGTTGGCCGGGATGGTCCCAAGGGGCAAAGTGAAGGAAAGTGGACTGGCCAGATATTATTACTGTGTACTAGTAGTAGATAGTACCCGCTCACCACCACTGGAAACTGTGGGATTAAATGAGGACCAGGGCAGGTCAGGACCTGAGGACACAGTATCTTCACTGCTTGGTTGTAGGAGTAATAATAAATCACCCCAAGTGGGGATGTCCCAAAAAATGACTGGATCATTCCTGGAACAGGTACATTAAACAAGCCGATCGACAAATGATGAAGGGGAGATTTTTGCAGCCAGACGCAATTTACCCCGTCTAAATAAATAGACTCGTTCCAAGTGGCTCTCAAATTAGGCTGGACGTGAGGAGTGCCCTTTTGGTCCAAGTCAGGGCAAAAAATGGGGCGTCAAGCAGAGATCCAGACTTTGGCTCGGTAGGTAACCACAGCACAAGAATCATAATACTAGTAATCATAATAACAGCCTCCATTAGGATCTCCGCCAGAGACATCTGTGACACAGACTGAATCATTAGTCACAATGGGACGGGGAGGAGACACCCCCATCCCACATCATGATCTGAGACTGTCAGATGGACGTACCAACCATGTCAGACAGACACCCCGACTGCCATGATCATCATCATCTTCTTCTTCTTCTTCTTCTTCATCTTTGATCGATGAGAAGAGAAGAAAAACAAAGCAAAGCAAAGCAATGACCCGGCTGCCATCCCTCCAGTCCAGTCGACTTGCCAATCTTTCCACCCTAGAAGAATGAAAGATTCCTTGGCCAGAGCTCCTCTCTGCATGTGTGTACCACGATGATTTGTTCCCTCAGCTGCAACGCTCCTGCAAGTCTCCCAGCGGGGATTGGTTGCAGCTGAGGTGCTGCCGATAAGAACAGAAGTACGGAGTAGTCCTCCTCCCGTTGTCTACGTACCTATACTCCGTACGTAGTTAGACATCATCGCCGTCAGCATGATTCGACTCCCGTAGATGTGGTGTCATGATTGACCTCGATCGCTCACCCTGATAGGGAGAGACAGCCCTCTTAACAACCCTTCCTATAGTCCCCTTACCCCATACTCGGTCATATCCTGTTCTGAACTTGTGAGGTGAGTGAGGTTCTGGCCCGTCTACCGCAAGTCACCATTGAACTATATTAGATCAAATGGGTCGATGATGATGATAAGTCCAAAAGCATTTTTTGTCAATCCTGCATTTCCCGCTCCACTTTGAAGGTTGGAAACACAGCTCCTGCTCGCCGGCGTGTCTTCTTCGTTCCTTCCTTAACCAATAACCCCATTGCTCACATTCCAATCAGAAAAATTCTGTTCCCCCTCCCGCCCCTGTGAAAACTGTACTAGAAGCTTCGAGGGAGAAGCGATCATCAGAACAAGGAAATCAGAACCCGTCCGTCACTACGGAGTACACAGTACACAGTACTAAGTAAGCTAGGCATCGGAATCTTTGCAGGACTCGTGGCAATTTCTCATTCCTCATTCTATCTAGATACCTACCTACCTAGTACATGTCTTTCTGCTGCCCTTCTCTTTCTCAATAAAAGTCAATGTAAGGAATCCCACTACTATTGAGAGAGAGAAAAAAAAACCACCCCATCCCAACCCCACATGAAAAATGAGAAAAAAAATTACAATGAAAGACATTTCTTTGCAGATTATTGATTGATTGATTCTCTCCTGTAATAATAATAACGAGGCTTCTATCTACAAACTACAACTACCGACCTACCCTCCCGTATCTACTCCGTGATCACTTTCTGATTGGAAAAAGAGGAGCGTGCCAACCTGCATCAACCATCAACCACAAATGTACTTCTTGAGTGGGATGGCGGGCTTTTAGTCCTGGGTGGTGTTTCACAGCTTTGACGTGATTCGCAGGCCGCTGTTGATTAATCATGGATTTTAATTAAAAAGACTCCTGTGATCATCAGCTGGCTACCTACTATGTATCTAGTGGTGAACAGCTGGCAAGGCCAACACGAATCTGTCAGTAACTCAGTATCCATCGGGTCTAGTTTAGTCTATCTAGTCGGTCCCAGACCATGGGTGACCCTGCTTTGGGAGGAGCCATCGCGGTAAAAACATCACTCTGAGCCTGTTGGCTTGGCATCGAAGCTGTCGACTCCCACTAGTCCCGGGTCAGTAGCACTAAATCATCACCAAGTACCGTAATCAAGTATAATAACTAATGGAACAGCAGTAAGATTAACGAGGGTGGGTGACTGACCAGCCGGGCGAATGACTGAATGGGGGTGGTTTGTGGACGCGCGCCCCGGTGGCCCACCCTGGGTTCGGAGCAATTCCAGAATGCTGCTGGCCTCCCAGTCCCAGCTGCTTGACGCTGCCATAAGCAGGAATCTGAAATCGACTGGGTATCACGGTAAACCCAGGCAACGTAACTGCCCTACGTATCTTCTAACTTCTACCAAAGAATCAAGATCAGGCCCAAGTTATTAAATCGAGAGGAGAATTTCCTGTTCTATTGTCACAATGTTCCAGCCCACCACATCCTTTTTTTGTGGTCCCCCAGCCGTAATGTCATCATTAAGTTACAAAATGTAAACTCCATGCATCCGTCCCAACGGATGGCCCTCCTGTCAAAGAAGTGCAAACGCTCACCCGGCCCAAGAGGTATGAAGAGGGGATTGGAGAAAGAGAAATGAGAATACATAGGAAAATGAAGATAAACAAAAAGAAAAACACCCGTACACCGAAACAGGGATAGATCAATCAGAGCTATCAGGTATGTATACATATCATGCGTGTTAAAACATCGGAGAAAAGAGGAAAGGCTCTAGGGAATAACGCAAAGGTGGAATACAAGAAACATCCATGGCTTGGTGAAGCCATGGGACGTTCAGTGGTAATACATTTAGGCCTTGTTCTCGCCCTCGCCGGACTGCTGCTGCTGCTGCTGCTCGGCCTGAGCCTTGTGCATCTTGTCGAAAAGGGTCAAGCTGGCGTTCTGGAGCTCATCGGTCTTCTGCTTGAACTCCTCAGCAGTGGCAGTGCCCTCGCCACCCTGGTTCTGGGCGACGAACTCGCGGAGAGAAGCAATCTTCTCGCGGATCTGGTCAGCCTCAGCCTTGTCGAGGCGGCTCTCGAACTCCTTGAGGGCCTTCTCGGTGTCGTTCACGACGCTGTCAGCACGGTTGGCAGCTTCGATGGCAGCCTTGCGCTCCTTGTCCTGAGCACCGTACTTCTCAGCATCCTCAACCATGGACTCGATCTCAGCGTCGGAGAGACCGGAGCCAGAGGCGATGGTGATAGACTGGTCCTTGCCGGTGGACTTGTCCTTGGCGGCGACGTGGACGATGGAGTCGGCATCAATGTCGAAGGTGACCTCAACCTGGGGAACGCCACGGTGGGCAGGGGGGATACCAACGAGCTGGAAGTTTCCGAGGAGCTTGTTATCCTTGACAAGCTCACGCTCACCCTGGAAGACCTTGATCTCGACAGCGGTCTGGAAATCAGCAGCGGTGGAGAAGGTCTGGGACTTCTTGGTGGGGATAGTGGTGTTGCGGTTGATCAGACGAGTGAAGACACCACCGAGGGTCTCGATACCGAGGGACAGAGGGGTGACATCGAGCAGGAGGACATCAGTGACCTCACCGGCAAGAACAGCACCCTGGATAGCAGCACCGATGGCGACGGCCTCATCGGGGTTGACAGACTTGGCGGGGTCACGGCCGAACATGGACTTGACGGACTCGGTGACCTTGGGCATACGGGTCATACCACCGACAAGGATGATGTCCTGGATGTCGCCGGACTGCAGGTTGGCATCCTTGAGGGCCTTGCGAACGGGCTCAATGGTGCGGCTGATGAGGGGGTCAACGAGAGACTCGAGGCTGGCACGGGTCATCTTGTGGTTGATGTGCTTGGCACCGCTGGCATCAGCAGTGATGAAAGGAAGGTTGATCTCGGTCTGGAGGGAAGAGGACAGCTCAATCTTGGCCTTCTCGGCAGCCTCACGGATACGCTGGATAGCCATGCGGTCGCCGGAGAGATCGAGACCGGACTCCTTCTTGAACTGTTGCACAATCTGGCGAACGAGGGCGATATCGAAGTCCTCACCACCAAGGTGGGTGTCACCGTTGGTAGACTTGACCTCAAAGACACCCTTCTGGATCTCCAGGACGGAGATATCGAAAGTACCACCACCAAGGTCATAGACGGCGACAACACGGTCAGCCTCCTTCTCGAGACCGTAGGCAAGGGCGGCAGCAGTGGGCTCGTTGACAACACGGAGAACGTTAAGACCGGCGATCTGACCGGCGTCCTTGGTGGCCTGACGCTGGGAGTCGTTGAAGTAGGCAGGAACGGTGACGACAGCGTTCTTGACGGGCTTGCTGAGGTAGTTCTCGGCAGTCTCCTTCATCTTGTTGAGGACGAAACCACCGATCTGGGAGGGAGAGTACTTCTGGCCACGAGCCTCAACCCAGGCATCGCCATTGGTGTGCTGAACGATCTTGTAGGGAACCTCCTTAAGGTCACGCTGGACCTCGGCGTCGGTAAACTTGCGACCGATGAGACGCTTGGTGGCGAAGAGAGTGTTCTCGGGGTTGACAACAGCCTGACGCTTGGCGGCAATACCGACCAAACGCTCACCATCCTGGGCGAAACCAACAACGGAAGGCGTCGTTCTGGCACCTTTAGACAGTCAAGTCAGCGACTTATCACTCTAACCGCGACTGATGCCGGTCCGATGTCGGCGCCACGGCCAAACTGCAGCCAGGAAAATTTTTCATAACATACCTTCAGTGTTCTCGATGATCTTGGGGGTCTTGCCCTCCATGACGGCAACAGCGGAGTTGGTGGTACCTATGTATCGCATTAGGCCTTGTATACCTTGTCACGATCGCAGGGAGCGAAAACATACCCAAGTCAATACCGATGACCTGGCCCTTCACCTTCTCCTCTCCTCCCTCGGTGGAGTTCCATCTGCGGATAGAAGCACCGGGGACTCTGAAAGCAGGGGCGCGAGCGAAACGAGCGGTGCGCGGGAGCTGGTTCAACATATGCGATTTTAGTCACAGCACTTCGCGGTTGACCATCATAGGGATCAAAACCTACCGCGCGGGAGAGACGAGTGGGCAACATTGTGCAATGTGATTAGAAGAACAAAATAATACAACTATTAAAAAAAGAAGATATAGGAAGACCCCGGTCGATTCAATCGAAGGGTCTGAGGGTGTGGGAGGGAGGGTATATGATGGGGCAGAAGGAGGAGGTGAGTTGAAGGAGACAAGAATTTTCAGCTCTTTCTGGGGGAGGAAGAAACTTGAAAAGGAAGGGAGACGACGGCAGGGTAGGACTAGTAAAAATCGTCCCGGAGAGCTTCGGCCCGTCGTCGAACTTGGTAGAATCACGGCAACGCAGCTGGCCATCCAATGATAGCCGAGCTACCCTTTTGACCGCTCAAGCTGAGTAGCCGAGCCCATGCGCCGCCGGTCCTGCTTCCTTAGAAGCTACCAGTGCCCTCTGGATTGGCGATACCATTGCCACTATGGCTTGGATGGGTTTTCTTCCAGTTCCCTCAGCTCCAGGGCATGTCAATCATTCATATTCGGGTGCATATACCCTGTTAGTACCCCTGCAAAGATAGCTGAGCTGAGCTGCTGTTGACGGAGTACTCCATGGCAACGCCCTTGGCCTGGCTGGCTTATAGACTGTAAACCTCAGTATCGGTGGAAAACGTACTTAGTAGATTAATTCCTTGACTCATCAGAACGGCGTGTTTGTTTTTCTCTCTCCACCATAAGTCTAGCCAGCTACTACTGCTTACTGAAGGCTAGCTCTGCACCTTTGCAACAACACAGTGAACGAGAGATATATATCGCTCAACTAGTGCCTATTCGATAAAAAGAATAATTATTGACCACCCTTTCCATTGACATACCCTATTATCATGTTTTCACACTATTAGTGTCCCAGATACCAACTACCTACATACTAGTAGATGTCTAGAGAGATACATGTTGAGATGAGCGATGTTCTAGAATGCCAATCTAACATTCCAACTTGAACGAAAAAAAGATGCCTCGGCATGTATCATTTCTCCCTGTCCCAGACCCCATTGAATATATCGTCAAGGGTTTTGAAATACTGTGCTTTCCCGAGAAGGTATACCCTGTCCAGGGCCCTAGTAAAGCCGATTAGTGACTGCTTAGTTGACTGACAAACTAGTTGTAAGCATTGACTCATCGGCAAGCAAAATGTGGACTGTAGCTTCAATTTCTACACTTTCCAATTTCTCACCGCATCCGATGTCACGAAGGGGCTAACTACATAAGCTAGAGATTTGCGTAGCAATAACAGCCAACTCAGAGATATAACCGCGGATGCCGATGGCGTTATAAGACTGCTTCCAGTTAGTCCGCGAACCTAATAGTCGGGAAACTTCACGAGGCCTAGTCTACTATCCGCCAGCCGTGATCGGGCGGTCGACGGGGACAGGTCAAGGGGATGGGCGGGATACCGTGTGCATTGAGGATAAGGGCCCCCCCTAAAACGACGATTGTATTAGAATAGATCCAAATGCCACTGAGCGGAATCTCCCATCAAAAATCAAAACAAATGAACTAATGGTGCAAGCTGGAAGCGGCCACGGATTGAATTGAGTCGACCGCATTCGCCGCTTGGAGGTTCCCCGGATTGGGTGCGACAAGTCTTACGTCATCCGTTCGCACCCGCGATTGACCCTCCGAAATCGTCCCCAAGGCAAAGGCGGATCAGTGGTAAGGGAAAAAGCGAAGGTGGGAGAGTCGAAGTATCGAGTCCTGGTGCGTCGCGGTGTTGCTGGGTTCCTTTGCCTGCCTACTTTACTCGAACGAGCTCTAGTAGCTTTAACTTCTCTTCGGCTAGACCCTGTTTCCGGTCTCCTTTTCGCCAGTCTCCCCCAATACCACTTTTCTTTTTCGTCGTCGCTTTCCATCGACTCTCTTCCTCTTCCCTCTGCGTTGTCCGTCGTTTCCGCAACATCGGGGCCTCGCAATAGCTGTACTTCCGACCATGTCACCTTGATGTCGACGCCCCTTCATCATGACTACGGATTCGCTTGCGTCAGTTCTCTACTTTGCCTATCTTTCAGGTGATGGTACAACCCGCCGATTGCTAATGTCATATCGGTCTTCAGGTATCATCCGACTGAGTCTCTGATCCTCCCGACCAAGCGCCGCTTCTTCCCTTTCAAAATCCCCAACTTGTCCGTACATCGAGCTCGCAGCAAAGCAGCCGATCAATGCTAATTGTGACATAGCCACCAGCAACTTCGCAACTATATTAGCACCTCCGACCCGGACAGGATCTACGTTGTAGTGGAGCGAGTCGTGTACTCGATTCACGTCTCATCGCAGAAACGGGAGACTATTGCCGTTATCCCTTTCGAGCCCAAATGTCTTGCTGCTGGTTACGGCTGGATTGGAGTAGGGGGCGGAGAGAACGGTGAATGCGCCTTTATCAGGCTATCTTCCGATCGGAGTGCGCGCGTCCGTGCCGATACCCCGGCCTTCCAGCCCTCGGACGTGGACAGTGCTCTGCCAATCGAACTTGAACCTCCCGCGAGAATCTCACCTCCTTGGTTGCCTGGCGATGAACCTGGACCAGCTCGCCACGGTGGGAGAAGGCAGGCTCCAGAAGTGCAGTTGCACAAATTTGGGGGCACCATCGTCAACTCAGTGACCATCCACCGATTACCTGGGGATGGTAAAGAGTTAGCGGAGGAAGATATAGCGGTTCTCAGGTATCAGCATAGTCATCTTGCGACCTACTGAGATGCTAACCGCTTCTGCAGTAACAATGATAAGACCGTTACCGTCTACTCTTTGGCCCGGTCAAAAGTTCTCAAAGTGATCCCCCATCCAACATGCATGAATTATGCGGTCGTGTCACCCGACTCTACTCTTCTTGCCGCGGTTGGTGACGAAACACGTGCATATTTTTATAGGGTTATCCGCAACCTTGATGCTGTGACTGTGACGGATGATGGTGACAAAGTTTGTGGGTGGGATTGGGTGGACCTTCGCTGTATAGAGATGGATATAGGCACACGCTTCGACGACGGATGCTGTTTCACCATCGCTTTTTCTCAATTTAGTCGATTATGTGCGATCGGATCGCAATCTGGAGTCATCACCGTCTTCGATGTGAGGTCCATCCGTGACATCATCCACCAGCCTGACGACAACACGGTAATTTGCCGTTTCAACTCGTCAAGGCCTTGCTGCAATGGTGGCGCTGTGCGCTGTATGGCATTTGCGCCTGAGCCCTGGGACCTCCTAGTGTGGCTTGAAGACAAAGGGCGGGCTGGAATTGCCGATGTTCGTCAGGCTTTTATTCGCAGACAGGTTCTTGAATTGGATATGAACGAACCCGACATGCAGGAAGTCCGTACAGAGCCATTGTTGGATGACTTGATATTTGAACTCGATAGTCGGGTTTCTCCAGACACACGCCATGAATTCGATGTGGCACAACGAGCATTCCTTGACTCGTTCGAGGGGTCAACTTATAACCAAGGCACGACAGGTTCGGACAATTCACCATTGAGTGAGAGCCTGATACAGGACCTCACGGAAAGAGAGAGGCTGATAGTTGAATTCTTGAACACAGCACGCTGGACGTCGAGGATGGAAGATGGACTTGCAGAACGGCGAGCTAGAGCTAATGCTCATCCACACCCTGCAGTTCGCCCACGGTTTCACGGCCTCACAGATGAGGCCAGTCGAGCCTCCCGTTATACTTCGCCTCCACGTCATGGAGATGAAGGTCGTGACTCGCATCGGGAGGAGTCGCAAACAGAAGCTGGTGACCGTAGACAACATGCGAGGCGCCAAGGCTCTATTCTGCTGACTCCAGGAAATAATGAGACGAGTAGTCGGACGCCAGAAACGGGGCTGGCAAACATTGATCCGCAACCCAGCATTACACTCAGCTGGACCGCATCACCCTCGGATATGTACCCCAATGTTTTGGAAAACCCCCCACACGTTGCAGATTCGAGCTCAAGTGATCCCAGTAGTTCTGGAAACGAACTAGGACCTGCGACTCGACCGCAAGGGACGACGAATCGCCCCTCCGCCAACTTTGACTATTCTAATACCACCGCGGACTTGTTGCCCCGACCGAGAAACCACGCGCGGTCTCGTTCTGCTCACAGACGGCCCGAGAGGCAGGATAGTACACCCGAGGCCCTCCACGATACATCGCGGCTCTCGAGTACCGAATTGAGAGCCAGTGTGGCAGTGGAACGCCTTCGAAGGCAGCGACAGAATCTGACTGAACTACACAGCCGGCATAGTCAACGTGAGCAGCGGTATCGGCAGCAACCGTGGGGTTTGGAACAGACTCGATCTCCTCGATGGATTCGGAATGTATTGAACGAACTCCCCGATCGTAGCTTGGGGGTGGGTCGGGATCAGGACCCAGGTAGCACAGCCGGAATTGGCTGGGGTACTGATGGGAGAACATTGTAGGTAGTATGTCTCACCCGAAGGTAGCTCCAACTGACTGATTAGGTATATCGCAACCGTGGACGGGATTTTCGAATACCAGGTCGATGTAACGGACAGGAAGACGTTCCCCGTCATCAACTACCGTTAGTGAGTAATTAACGGACGCTTCCTCGGTCATTGCCAGGGGTAGTCGGAAGTATCTCATCACCCTCAATGGGTGACAGGCCAGTCTAATGTTTCCATGACTTTCATTCTTCTTCTCGATCTTTCTGAATTTGTTTCCATTTTCTCGGGGTTATGAGAGGGCGCAGGGTTTGCAGGACGACTGATATTCAGCATACAAGATTGGACGACTGGAAATAGAGTACGGGATTGGCCATAACGAAGGACCTCTGGGGTCCTTGATGCCCCCTTGTCCAGCACGGGTATTTGCGCATTTGTTTCGGGAGCATTCCGATTGTAACATTTGGGGCAAATCACCACTTTGCATTTGCTTTTGGCGTTCCGGCGACTGTATAGGATGAATTGCTCATGTACAAGGGTCACTGTCTTTTTACTACTTGTTTTTCAGGCACATGAACCAGAATCCCACGTTTGACTCCCTTATGCCGATCAACAGAGACCAACAGATGTTACTAGACCAATTGTGACACAAGGCACTGGCGAGGTGTAGATAAATCGATTAATGGAGTCCAATTGTCCGTAGTACTACTAGTTTGGAATGATGTTCCGGTCTTCAGTGGGCGGAAGGCGTGCAGTCTCCACACGACGTCAGAGCTGGTTGGTCTGGCAGAGAGTGTCCGGCCAACTTCCCGCCGACAAACACCGCCAATGAATAATAACTGGTGCACTCTTGCCATCTGCAAGCTCCTTGGGACCCGTGCACCGTCAAGCTACCTGTGAATGCTGGCTGTACCTAGCTAGCTTTTCATGTGTCTAGCTTGCTAATCTTGGCTCCCTGCTCTCGCAGTCCCCTTCGCCTGCCGCCTCGGCTACCCTGCGGGGTCTTCTTCTCCCACCTCCGCTCAGACATTGAACCTGGTGTTGAAGTAAATCGCGTACACAGCCAGAGCTCGCTTCGAATCTTGGCTTCAAATGACGGGGAGTCTAACGTCGGCGCTGGCCGAGTTGAGTCTAAACTCGCAGAGCCTTAGCGGACCGGCCTTTGACGCACGGCTCGCCGAAGAGGAGGCTGGTGTCTACAGGAATTGCAAACCTCGACAAAGAGCTCAGCAGAATGCCGCTGACCTTAAAGAGGAGCTGGAACGAGACTTTCTAACTCCTTCTTCCAAGTTTAGCCCTGAATGGCTGAACCGTCTACAAAGGTTTGGCTATCCTCAATTGTTTGCGCCCTCGAATCTCGTGCCTTATTCGGCATTTGCAGGTACTTTTCTGCTTGATGCTAGGAAATGCGTTCGGAATTCTGGTCATTGTACCAGTTCAAACTTCCCCGTAATTCCTCGTTGACTGCTATCATGCTCGGTGCATTTACTTCTTGATAACATACTGACACAAAGCAGGAAGTGGGACGTCTCAACGGATTACACCGACCTATTTGAAGTCGCAGGTACTCAAACACGTACTATCGTCCGTTTCGATCGTGATGGCCTTGAAGGGCGTGTTACTGGTTACCATGAAGTAACCGTGCCGGCCATCAGTGCAAATGCCAAAAATTCGACGTCTCTCCTCCGCCGGCCAGCTGGTCGTGCAGATTTTGTGAGGGGCGCGGCAGGATTCTTTCCATTCGCTCCAGGTGGACTGGATGGTGTCGAAGCGATTGCTGAGATGGAATCCGAGGCCCAGACGACAGAGCACTCTAGAACTGGCAAACAATCGGGTCTCGATCGGATTATCAACTTTGGTGCTGAAGGAGGCCTCTTGGAGATTGCCCCTGGATTTTCTCGTGGCTTGAAGTTCGAGGAAGCAAAGACCAAAGAGGTTGCAGATGGAGACAAGGAGGTCGAGGACGCCTTACAACAGGAAGAGACCGAGCTACATGTCGAGCAAGATGAGACAGCCTCGGATGCTGGAGGCGTCAAGATCGAGGACGAAGCTGAGCTCAGCGATGAGGAAGACATTGACTCTTTGCTGCCTGTAGAATTTCCAGCACTGGAACCCCACGCGCCGCTACTCGCAGGCGTCCAGCAAAGGAAAACCGGTAGGGAATGGGCTCATGTCGTTGATGTCAACAAGGAAATCACGAATTTCCGTGACCTCGTCCCCGACATGGCTCGGGAGTGGCCGTTCGAACTGGACACCTTCCAAAAAGAGGCTGTCTATCATCTCGAATGCGGTGACTCTGTGTTCGTTGCTGCCCATACGTCGGCTGGCAAAACTGTTGTCGCCGAATATGCCATCTCTCTAGCCGCCAAACACATGACCAAAGCTATCTACACATCTCCCATCAAGGCTTTAAGCAATCAAAAGTTCAGAGACTTTAGAACTGAGTTTGATGATGTTGGTATCTTGACAGGCGATGTTCAGATCAATCCGGAAGCAAGCTGCCTCATCATGACCACCGAGATCTTACGAAGCATGCTTTACAGAGGAGCTGACCTGATCCGAGATGTGGAGTTTGTGATCTTCGATGAAGTCCATTATGTTAACGACCTTGAAAGAGGCGTTGTTTGGGAAGAAGTCATTATCATGCTTCCCGAACATGTCACTTTGATCCTCCTCTCCGCCACCGTTCCCAACACCTATGAATTTGCTTCTTGGGTTGGGCGCACAAAGAAGAAGGACATCTACGTCATCTCAACTGCCAAGAGACCCGTTCCGCTCGAACATTATCTCTGGGCCGGTAAAGGGAAGTACAAGGTTGTCGATTCAAACAAACGGTTCCTCGAGAACGGTTGGAAAGAGGCCGACGAGATCATTTCTGGCAGAGACAAAGTAAAAGCTCAGAAGGCAGCCGAGGCCCAAGCCCAATCGCAAGCGAGCAGAGGAGCTCCGCAGGGCCGAGGGCGTGGACAAGCTGGTGGACGAGGTGCCCCTCGTGGCGGCAACTCGCAACGGGGAGGAGCTCCTCGTGGCCGAGGCCAGCCCGCAAATCGAGGCACCGGAAACATTGCCCGTACAGGAAGAGGAGGCGGGCGGACTACAGCTGCGCAGGATAAGACTGTCTGGGTGCAACTTGTCCAGCATCTTCGCAAGGAGAATCTGCTGCCCGGCTGTATCTTTGTTTTCTCCAAGAAGAGATGCGAGCAGAATGCTGACTCACTGTCGAACCAAGACTTCTCCACTGCTTCAGAGAAGAGTCTGATTCACATGTTCATTGAGAAATCCCTTACAAGACTTAAGCCAGAGGATCGGACCCTCCCACAGATCCTTCGTCTTCGCGAATTGTTGAGTAGAGGTATCGCGGTCCATCATGGCGGTCTTCTGCCGATAATGAAAGAAATCGTCGAGATTCTGTTTGCCAAATCGCTGGTCAAAGTCCTTTTTGCCACAGAAACATTTGCTATGGGGCTCAACCTGCCTACCCGCACGGTAGTCTTCTCCGGATTTCGCAAACATGATGGCAAAGGCTTCCGAGACCTGCTACCTGGAGAATATACCCAAATGGCTGGGCGTGCTGGACGTAGAGGCCTTGACACTGTTGGCTACGTCATTATCGTTAATCCGGGCAGAGATGAAGCCCCCCCGGCTGGTGCTTTGAGGAGAATGATTCTCGGTGATCCGACCAAACTTCGGTCTCAATTCAGGCTTACATACAACATGATCTTGAACCTCCTGCGCGTGGAGGCTTTGAAGATTGAAGAGATGATCAAGCGAAGCTTTAGTGAGAATGCTACCCAGGCTCTGCTCCCGGAGCATGAAAAGCAGGTACAGCTTTCAGAGGCCAGCTTGGCTAAAATCAAACGAGAGCCTTGTGACATATGTGATATTGATCTTGCGGCCTGCCATGCCGCGGCTATCAAGTATGAGAAGCTCACCAGTGAGCTCCACGTTGGGTTGCTTTCGTCCCCTGTCGGGAAGCGCCTATTTGTGCCAAAACGATTGATCGTCTACAGAAAGGTAAGCAATACCCTGTTACAATTAGTCTGACCTAGCTGACTGTCCAATAGGAGGGCTTCCGAACTGCCGGTGTCATATTCCGCGAGGGTATTGGAGGTGGCCAGGCGCCTAGCATACAAGTTCTCGAGATCGGAAGGATAGGAAACAGACGCCACCCTAGCGATATTCTTCCCTTCCTCCCAAGATTCAAGCAGCTCCTTCAATCTTTGCCAACTCGTGCTGCCGATATGGCGCTAAAGACTTACAAAGTCCCACTTTTAGACCTCGAATGCGTCACTAATACGGTGGTCAAATTGGGGGGGCCCATATGGTATCTTAACATCAAGAAGGGTGAGTGTTATATGCTCCAAAGAAGCACTTATTGCTAACACCACGGACAGAGGCAATTAAGTTTGCAGACAAGGAACTATCGAAATACTGTACCTCATGGACAAGTCCGGTTTGGGATGAAATGGATTGGGCCCGAATCAAAGAGTTACAAGTCAGGGATATACTCGAGAAGCGGCAGGCGCAGGCCTCTATTGCCCAATCCTGCAAATGCCTGCAGTGCCCCAGCTTCTTGAAACACGTAAGCGTCGATCCTTTGTGTCCCCAAGTCAGTTTATGCTCATACTTACACCCGGCAGTTTGAAATGCAACACGATGAATGGCAGGTCAAGGAGAACATTTCTCAATTGAAACAGCTAATGTCCGACCAAAACCTCGCACTGCTGCCGGATTATGAGCAGCGTATCCAGGTGCTGAAAGACCTGGGCTTCGTGGATGAGCAGTCTCGCGTGCAGCTGAAAGGAAAGGTGGCATGTGAGGTGAGTTATCGAACGATCCCCGTCTTCTAATTGGAGGTCAAAGTGCTAAGCATTTGCACAGATTCACTCGGCCGACGAGCTTGTTTTGACCGAGCTGATTCTCGAGAACGTTCTGGCCGAATATGAGCCCGAAGAGATTGTTGCATTACTGTCTGCATTTGTCTTCCAGGAGAAGACGGAAAACGTTCCCACCTTGACTCCTCGCCTCGAGAAGGGTAAGGAAGCCATTGTGAGGATATCCGACCGGGTGAACGACTTCCAAATTCAACACCAGGTGATCCAAACAAGTGAGGACAGCAACGACTTCGCCAGCCAGCCACGGTTTGGTCTGGCCGAGGTTGTCTACGAATGGGCGAAGGGAATGTCATTCAACCGCATCACGGACCTCACCGATGTGATGGAAGGCACCATTGTACGGACGATCACTCGCTTAGATGAGACCTGTCGCGAAGTGAAAAATGCGGCCAAATTAGTGGGCGACCCGACCTTGTATACGAAGATGCAACAGGCACAGGAGCTGATCAAGAGGGATGTGATATTTGCCGCGTCGTTGTACATGTGAAGAGGGTATAGAAGGTAGGGCAACTGGCCAGTGCTGGATAAGTGGTGGTTCTGGGGAGAGCGGAAAGGACGATCCCACGTGGGGAATGATTTTTTTTTCTTTTTATCCTTTTATTTTTGTTACTGTACCTTCTCTCTGTGCCTGAAACGGATGGATGGAGCACGCATGTTAAGTAACTGACCCGCCTATACTGGTTTCCATCAATAGACCATCTTTTGTACTTGGTAGTAATTCGACCTGGAAAAATTCCGCCCAACTTGCCTCCATGGCCGAGGCCTCAGGCTGCAGAGAAGCAAAATTCTGCTACCGCGCGTGGCGGCGAGGCCTCTGATTAGCTGCCATAGGCGCGGGGCGGGCACGCTTATTTGAAAAACCACGAGAAAACCAAACCCAACAAACCCAAAGGGCACTTTTGCTGTCTGCACACTACTATCAATCCCACCCCCCCCCCGCTACTTTATCTCCCTCTCGCCCCCTCCTCCTCCCCCTACATCGCCCGGCTCACCACTGCGTAACGGGCTCTTTACTTTTCGAGCTTTAATCTTTTATCCCCGGGGGCCCCTTGCTGGTGCGAGATGGATGTTGCAGCTTTACGAGACCGTATACAGTCTACCCTCGATCCCAATGCGGACAATCGGCGGCAAGCTGAATTGGACCTGAAATATGTATGTTTGAAGATAGCATTTGATTCAAGTCGGGGTGGTCCTTACTTATTCCCTCTCTCCTAGGCTGAGACGCAACCCGGCTTCATAAATGCGCTGTTGGATATTTTGCAGGGGGAACAGAACAATGCCGTCCAACTGTCGGGTAGGTTTTTTTTACCGTCGGGCGATTTCCCACCGCCCCTCCGTCGCCCTACTCTACGACGACGAGAGCCCATGATCTGACGTATAGACGATCTCATCTAGCCGGTGTCTACCTGAAGAACCGCATCAACCGTGGTTGGTCCCCTGTCGAAGAAAGTCCGTTGCGCACACCTATTCCCGAGGAGGAGAAACCGGGGTTCCGTGAGAGGTTGATTCCGGCTCTGGCATCCACGCCACCGAACGTTCGGGCTCAACTCGTTCCTCTTCTCCAGAAGATCCTTCAGCATGACTTCCCAGAACAGTGGCCGGGCTTCCTGGACATCACCCTTCAGTTGCTGGGCACCAACGATGCGAATTCCGTCTATGCTGGCCTGCAGTGCCTGCTGGCCATTTGCCGTGTATACCGGTTCAAGGCCGGCGAAAAGAGGGAGGAGTTCGATAAGATCGTCGGGCATTCATTCCCCCAGCTTTTGAGCATCGGATCGAGACTGGTCGACGAGGAGAGCTTGGAAGCGGCGGAAATGCTCCGGATCGTGGTCAAGTCCTACAAGCATGCTATCTACGTGGGTGAACCAAGAAGAGAATAGAGGTGCATAATATTGGTAGCATAGTGAGACTAACTTGGAGCTGGAATAGTTCGAACTTTCGCCGCATCTTCAGACACATCAAGTGACGGTGGATTGGTGCACACTTTTCCTGCGCATCATCGCCAAGGATCCTCCCGCCAGCGCCATGCTGGAGTCGAAGGAAGAGAGGGAGCTCAACCACTGGTGGAAGTGCAAGAAGTGGTCTTACGCGAACTTGAACCGTCTCTTTATCAGGTAAGTCGCCTGATTAGAAAAAACGTGTGGGCGAGTCCTTGATTTGACCTCCCTTCGCAGGTACGGAAACCCTACGACGATGAGCAAGTCGAGCTCTCCCGATTACAGCCAATACGGCAAGGCTTTCATCGCCACTTTCGCACCGGAGATCCTCAAGGGATATCTGCAGGAAATCGACAAGTGGGTTTCCAAGGGCCAGTGGCTCAGCAACCCTGCGCTTGCCTATACCATGATATTTTTGGAGGAATGTGTCAAGCCGAAGGCCATGTGGGACCACCTCAAGCCTCACATGGACAACTTGGTCGCTCATTTCATCTTCCCCATCCTGTGCCAATCCGATGAGGACATTGAATTGTTCCAGACCGACCCCTCCGAATACCTCCACCGCAAGCTCAACTACTACGAAGAAGTCTCGGCTCCCGACGTCGCTGCCACCAATTTCTTGGTGGCCCTCACCAAGAACCGCAAGAAGCAGACCTTCTCTATCCTCACGTTCGTTAACGGCGTCGTCAGCAAGTACGAGTCTGCTCCCGATGACCAGAAGCTGCCGAGAGAGAAGGAAGGTGCCCTGCGCATGATCGGATCCCTGGCGTCTGTCATTCTCGGCAAGAAGAGCCCTATCGCGAACCAGGTGGAATATTTCTTCGTCCGCCATGTTTTCCCCGAATTCCGTAGCCCCCACGGTTTCCTCAGGGCTCGTGCCTGTGACACTCTGGAGAAGTTTGAGCAACTTGATTTCCAGGACCCCAACAACCTCATGATCATCTACAGGAATATCCTCGAGTCTATGACGGACCCCGAGTTGCCTGTCAGAGTTGAAGCCGCACTTGCTCTGCAGCCCCTCATTCGTCACGACATAATCAGGACTTCCATGCAGGAGAACATCCCACAGATCATGCAGCAGCTCCTCAAGCTCGCCAACGAGGTCGATGTGGACGCTTTGGCCAATGTTATGGAGGATTTCGTCGAGGTCTTCTCCGCTGAACTCACCCCCTTCGCTGTGGCACTCAGCGAGCAGCTCCGTGACACCTACATGCGTATTGTCGGTGAGCTCCTGGACAGAAATGCGGCGAAGGGTGACGAGGATGCGTACGGTGATTTCTTGGATGACAAGAGTATCACCGCTCTTGGTGTTTTGCAGACGATTGGAACTCTGATCCTGACTCTTGAGAGCACTCCTGATGTCCTCCTTCACCTCGAGACCATCCTTATGCCTGTCATCAGTATCACGCTCGAAAACAAACTGTATGATCTCTACAATGAGGTCTTTGAGATCATCGACAGCTGCACTTTCGCGTCCAAGTCCATTTCTCCCACGATGTGGCAGGCCTTCGAACTCATTCACAAGACTTTCAAGGCTGGCGCTGAGCTGTACTTGGAAGACATGCTCCCCGCTCTCGATAACTACATAGCCTATGGCTCGCAAATGATGGTTCAGAACCCCGCCTACCTTGCGGCTGTTGTGGGCATGGTTGAGGACATTTTCAGCGACGAGAAGGTTGGCGGTGTGGATCGGATCTGCGGCTGCAAGCTTGCGGAGACGCTGATGCTGAACCTCCGCGGCGGTATCGATCAGTACATCCCCGTTTTCATTGATCTGGCGATGCGTGTCATCGATGCTGGCGAGGCACGGACGAGGTCTTACCGCATTCACTTGATGGAAATGGTCATCAACGCCATCTACTACAACCCCATCCTCAGTCTTCAAGTTCTGGAAGCGAAGGCCTGGACGAACAAGTTCTTCAGCACTTGGTTTTCCAACATTGACAACTTCAGACGGGTCCATGACAAGAAGCTCTCAATTGCCGCGATCAGCTCTCTGCTGACGTTGAATGGCGGTGACGTTCCGGTTAGCGTGCAGCAAGGTTGGCCCAGATTGCTCCAAGGAGTGACCAGGCTGTTCCAGACGCTGCCGGCTGCCATAAAGCGTACGCTTCCTGATCCTGGACACATAGAAGTCTGTGCTAACCTCTTTTATAGATCGCGAGGACGCCACCAAGGAGTCTGACTTCACCTTCGATGAGGAGGATGATGAGGGCGATGAAGACAACGACTGGGACGGCGAGATTGAGTGGACTGAGCAGGACGAGGCCGAGGCTGCTCTGGATACCGATGTCCCTGATGACAGCGCTGCGTACCTTGACTTCCTGAACAAGGAGGTGAGTCAACCAAGGTTTTGTTTCAAGTGATAATTGTTAACCAAGTGCCAGGCACAGAAGTTCGGATCTTTCACCGATGATGACGATGACGATCTCGACGAGGAAAGCTTGCTGGAGACCCCTCTGGACAAGGTCGAGCCGTATGGCATGTTCAAGCACGTTTTCATGAGTACGTCCATCTTTTTTTTACACGTGCAGAGTACGCAATCAACTGACTCCACACTAGGCCTCCAGCAAGAACAACCTCAGCTCTACGAAAACCTGACCAAGATCCTGAGCCCCGATGAGCAGCAAGTGCTCCGTGCCGTGTTTAACGAGGCTGAAGCGAAGGCAGTCGCAGCGGCCAATGCCGAGGCTGCTGGCATCCAGACCAACGGAAATTAGAACCGCTACGATGAACCCCGAGGGCTGACGAAACGAGCCAGTCGGTCTCTCCGAGGCAATGAATATAAAATAAGAAAAGAAGAATGCCATCCCAGGTTGGATGTCTGTTTTGGCAGGCTTGTGCATCTTCATCCTCTGTCGTGCCGACGGCCAGCGTTGTCGAGCGGCCTGCTGGATACGTTATAACGCCATCTATGCCTTTTCTTATCCTCTTTCCTTTGTCATCTAGAACAATTTCTTTTTCTGTTCCTTCGAGGTTATACTAACCCTCTGGTCATGTCCCCGGTTTTTCTCAAAAGTTCCTTTACCGCAGTCTTGAATTCAGTTGTGCTGCAAGACTCGAAGAGATCGATTCCCCCAATTAATCCTGTCAATTGACTTATGGTTATAAAGTCGGACACAGTGAAGGCCATATCTATACATCCTGCCAACGTTGCAGTTGAGTATGAATGACCGATGCTCCTGGGCGCTTGCTGCCTTGAGAGCCCATATAGAAGTGTGTAAATACCTGAGATACTCTTTGTGAATTATTCAGCCATGCTGACAGCCCCTTGCTGGTATTTCACCTTGGTATGAATTTTTGTTGTACTGTATGTTTGTATGAAATCGTACGATGATAAACTTAGTCCATGACTGAAAAGTTGAGCAAGTGAAGTGTCTGAAAGAACATTCATTCAACGAGCCAGTGCTGATACATATAATGCACACCAGATAATGAGACTAAATATATACTAATGCAGAACAAGACCACGCTATACAATTCAGTTAAAACAGCTATACATTCCCTCTCTGCTTATTCCCACCTAGATACTCCCTAGGGGCCTAGAGACTCTCCTTCCCCCAACAAGTATCACGTGATCACCATCCAGACCCAGTGTATGACATCATCGCATTCCAGCATCATCATCATCATCTTCAAACCAAAACACCACACCTCATATCTACATAGTATTCCCATCTACACAAAAACACCATGTAGAAAGCAGATCATCTCATCATCTCCAGAGTAATACTTCATAGCTACCGCCTCAACAGCCCTCCGTATCCTCAAATACCCAATCTACGTAACCACTCCATGTATTATGAAAAGTATACCTTTCATCACCCACCACACGTCATCATGATGTCCCCAGAACCACCCCCCCCCCCAAATACCCGACCGGTTTGATTTATATCATACCTCCCCACTTTTCACCATTCGGATGGGATATTTAAGACGTCTCTTTTCTTCTCCCTTTTGCTTTGGTAGTTAGACACACATCTACCTCCCTACCTACCTATCATCTACATACATACCACAACAGTAAGTCCTACCACCAAGTAATCAACGAAACCAACCATCTAATAGTGACAAAACCAGCACCCATACATACATACATAAGCAACATGTCCGCCCCCAACGCCGGCCGCCAATCCCCTTCTCCCGAGCGCCAAACCGGTGCCCAGCAACAAGATCCTCCATCCCAAGGCAAGGCCCAGCCTCAGTACGCTCCGCCCGAAGACTCGGTGCAGGACCAGGCTTCGCAGACAGCGGGTCTGTCGAGTAACCCTAAGCATCCGTTGGAGGATATAGAGAGTGAGAAGTTTACGAAGGGCGGGATTGCCTAATCTTTTTTTCCTTTTGGGTTCTTTCTTGGAAAGGGGTTGGAATGGAATGAACTGAATGGATTGAAATTAATGAATGTGTATTTATGATGATGGGTTAATTATATGGAATTTTTTGTGATTTTCTGTTTTTTTTTTTTTTTTATCCGTACCTGTTTTCTTAGTGTTGGACTTGGGTAAGGTACGGTACGGTGTGAATTGAAAGATCGTAGTCAAAAAAAGTGAATTTTGTAGTTGAAATCGTCAAATTGGTATGATCAATTATCGCTTGTTCCAGACAGCTAACTAATAGGGTAGAAAAAAGGATGTCACTGAAGCATTACATGAACGGTAGAATCATTAGGCATGTAGATAAGAACACCTATTGGAGAGTACCTTCCCAGTTCCTTTTCCCCAGATCTCATTGATCTTCAATTAAGCCTGTTCCGCAGGAGCGGCAGTACCCGCCGGCTGGGATGCAGGCGCCGTGCTAGGGGCACCGGTAGCAGCAGGGGCCTCGCCACCCTCGGCGGGCTTGCCACTCTTCAGGTCCGCAAGTCTGCGAGCCTCGGCGTGGATGTCCCGCACCTGCTTGTCCGTCTGGGAGTAGAAGTCCCGGAGCTTCCTGCCAGAGGGAGTGCCGAGAGCCTTCTCGAAGTAGTGGTTCAGACTACGCCAGCCAGTGGTCGCCTTGTCGCTGATCTTGTAGCTCTCGTCCAGCCCGCGAGCGCGGTCGGTGGCATGGTACTTCTGGTCGAAGGAGGTGAGAGCGGTGGTGAACCGCGAAGAGAAACCGTGCTTCTGGTCGAGGGCAATGGCCTTTTGGATCGCGGAGTCGCTGAGAGTGTAACCGTGGGCCAAATACTCAGCCACAATGCGAGAACGGGGCTTATCCTCCTGCTCGAGGTCGTGGTTGTGCTCGTCCTTGGCTTGTCCGGCGCTGACAGCTTGCTCGCCCGCGATGTCATCGAGGGTCTGGGCGGCCTTAACGTGCACGACGGAGGGGCCCAGCTGGGTGTGGTCGAGGAGCAGAGCAGTCTTAGCGGCACTGAAACTTGATGTTAGCTAATGTGAAGGACGGAGCCGTGGTGCCAGTTGGGACCAGGGCGGGTAGGTGCGGGGTAGCTTACGCCTCCTTTTCGAAAGTCACCGTGGCCGACTTCTGGGCTTCGGCTTCGCTGGAAACTGGGGTCACAGAGATGGCGGTGATCTTGCCGCTGGATTGTTGTCAGCCGCAGAACTCAAGCAAGGGAGACGAATGTCTGCATCACATACCAGAAGCTAAAGAAGTCCTGAACCTCCTTGTCGGTGGTGGCGGGGGCAATGCCCTCAACGTGGACGGTGGAACGCTCAGACATGGTGGATGAGAGGTTGATTGAGAGAGTACTGGAAGAATTGAAGGTAGATTGAGCGAATACTGAAATAATAGGTCTGGGAGAGGAAGAGAAGAGAAGAGAGAAAGAAGACTTGTTATTTAATGTTTAGGGGGGGCCGAGCACGCCACAGATGACGTCGCGAGGGGCAGGCAGCCTCCGCACAGCCACAGTGGGGCGGCCGCGTCGCCAATTGAGGCAGACGGGCAGCACGTGAAACATTCCTAGTGCTACGGGGGTCATAGATAGTAGTTAGTTCTATCTTCGCTTAGGCAGTAGCATTCTAGTCAATCGTCGGGCTCCCCAAAGCGTCTAGACGAAGAAAAGGGAGACCGGAAAAGCAAACCGAGATATGCGCCCGAACAACCCACTGTCTAATAGATCGGGCTTAAAACAAAGCAAAGCAAAGCAACTGACAGCTGAAAGATCCTGCTTTCCGTAATTCATCCATATAACCGATCCCATTTTTAAACAAATAGCCAAAGAAGATTCCAGATGTTTCAAGCTCGTTCTTTAGTGTCTGCGCTAGATGACTCTTCTGGCACCTTCGTAGGAGTGGATGCGGTCTCGACTTCTTCTTGGTGAGTGGAATTCAACTCCGGACCCTGGAGTTTCGTGAAGGCAGACTCGAGTTCTCGTACACGCCGACGTAGCATCTCATTCTCGCGCTTGAGCGATTCTACTTCCCCGCGTTGGTGCGAGACTTCATCATGGCGAGCAGTAGAGCCGATGACGGGTGTCTTCTGAGAGAGCGAGCTGCGGTGTGGATAGCTGGCAGTGTGATGAGTTAACTGATCGGCCGGTTGCGTCTGATGGAATGATCCTAGTGTTGGCAACGCTCCTTCTGAATGCCGAGGAGAGGTGAGAGATGATTCCCGGCTTCGTCCCGGTCGCGAGGGATCAGGACGTGCTGAAGGGAGGTATGTGTCTCGCGCGGGTGCAATGCCAGAAACGCTCCCTGCTCTCGATCCTTGAACAGCTGGGATGTAGGAGGAGCTCAGACTCGATGATGAGCGGTGCCTTCGCGATGCCGTGGGGTGTGCAGAGTTGTTGATGTACGATGATGCATGGAGCACATCTACAGAGTCATTGAGCGTGGTGGATGTGGAAGATGCCGTCGATGCGACCGAGTTCGTCTGTTGACGAAGGAGGGAAAGCTCTCGCGATAGGCGGTTTACCTATGGTAGAGGTTGGTAAATATGGACGAATGGACGAAAGAATTGGAGAGTTGTACCATGGCTTCCTGTTCTTGCTCGAGCATCGAATGAATATCGGAGGGTGTGAGCGGCTTGGGATGACGCAGTGGACCTGGAGAGTGTCAGCTGAGGTACTTTGTGGACTTCCTTTGCCTCAATGGCCAGCTACTTACCAGACGCAGACATGATGTTTACCTGGTCACCAACTGCCGGGATAGAATTTATGTGAGTGCTCGACGTGGGTGGAGCAATAGAAGTAGGCATGGCTTGTGAGGGGCGTCGAGATGATAGTGATGTAGTGGTCGGTTGCATCGCGGTGGCAGCCCGAGGTCGCGATCTGGGACAAGGAAGAGGGACGGGGTCTAGTTCGGACGCCATATATAGCATGGAGGAGGAGATGATCGAAGGTGCTTCAGTGGTGGGAGGGACGGAGAGTGGAAGAAAACGGATCCGAAGCAGCAGCAGCCGATTTGATAGGTATAGCCAGCGGAGTGCAGGCAGTTGAAGGATGTATGGAATATGGATGGATGGATGCTGGGGAATGAATGGCCGGAGCAAAGCAGCACTAGTAAAGCAACAAGAAGAGGTGGCAGACCACCCCAGGCTGCAGGCCCCCCCTTGATTGGATTGCCTGGAATTTCAAAACATACCAACCACTAAGCCACCGTGGATTTGCGCGCGAATTCTTCAGCTGATGGAGCCGATGCGCATGGAACCTATCATCCATCATCCATCATCCACACTCACTCGGCCAGTTCCTGACCTTCACACTTCACAGCCTGGGACGCTTCCCCGGGTCCAGAGCTTAAACTTATCCATCACCGGCCTTCCGGATGGTCTGACCAGGGGGTATCCGGCTGAAAGTCGAAGTTTATATTTGGATCGGAGTTCCTGCCAATGGTAAAAGTATCTCAGTCATTGTCCAACGTCCACCGTTTCCCACTTCTCCCATGGCACAGCCGGTTGTGCGTCGAATCCATCTGACCGCATTATTACACTAAGGCTGTCGGTCGAATTTTCTTTACTCCTCTATCGCGCTATCCTATCCTGGAAACTTCGTTCGGGAATCCCTCGGATTGTATCCTCGGATGCATGGCTCTCCATCTATACATAGAGCTAAAGCAGGAGGACCCCATCCTGAGGCCATAGTGAGGCCCACTTAAGGCACCGATTAAGTTGCTCTGTCAGATCCCCCCAGAGGCAGTCTTGCCAATGATGACGTCGCATTTGCCATTTCCGTGTATTGCAGAACAATAATAGCAGTGCGTGTCTTCGCCTCCCACTAGACCCAGCCTGCGTTTTATGCGGCCTCGCACAATTGGTCGTGGGGAAACGAATGTTGCATGCTTATCGTACCACAAGGCGGTGTGTATGGGGTCCACCGTTATGGAGCCAATGTCTGCAAATGGGACCCGATGGTGTAAATTATAGAAGAATATAGATATACCTATGCCTCAGCAAGGCGCAATTCTATTTTAACCCAGTCCAATGAATTGGACCGCCTCAATCAAGGACATCTTCAAGGCTTCAAGCCAAAGGTGGGACTTGCATCCTTCATGCAAGCCCGGCCAGTGCGCCAAAAGCGGCACCGCGTCGGGCCGAGTCTCAGTCCAGTCAACACACAGAAAGGCGGAGGGAGCTCCAGCTCCGCGACTCCTCCGCAAAAGACTACAGGATAGCTCTCGACTAGTGCATACCACTGACACTACACCTGCTCACAGTCTGGCCCCATGGCCCAACCCCCCGAAGATACTCATGCGAGTCCCGCCGACATTCCCGATATTGTCAAACCTCTGGCGCCTTACATCAAGAGCCGCCAGGAGGCCCTCCGTATCCGACAAGCCTTGACCACCTACCTGCGTTCGCACATTGAGTTCGCTGAGAACGATCCCGAGCACCCAGGCTGTCACAGCCAGTCCCACCTCTCGCTTTCCGTGCCCCATGATGCGGTCGTCGGCGTGAAGCGCATTCCATCGGAGTTGACGGGGTTGCGGAAAAAATACCTGGAATCGCTGCGAGCGAATGTGGCTGCGAGAAAGGAATTTCAGTCGGTGGTGGAAAAGACAACTTCGATAAAGCACAAAGGGGGCAAAGCTAGAGCTGAAGAATTATCGGTGGGCTCATCTTCGGAACTACAGGAATATCTTAAACTCCTTCGTGACCGTCGTCAGCATGCAAAGCTCCAGGTCTTTCAACATTACTTGCAGGAGCTCAAGCAACGGGATACGTTCAAGTCAGTGGACTTGGAAGCTAACGCAGCCCGGTACCAGCAGCTTGCGCCGCCAGGGGAACTCGAGGATAACCAGCATGGTCCTAAAGCAGGAGAGAGCATCGAAGAGCTGATGCACAAACTGGAAAGAGCCATCATTCGCGCCAAGGCTCAGTTGGAGAGAGAAAAGGGGCTATTGGAAGAACTAAAGGCACGACGCGCATCTGAAGGGCCCCGGGATGTACCACCCGCGGTCAAAGCCTTGGCGTTACAGCGAACGCGGGACGTGTTGGTGCATTGGGTGGAGGAGAAACTGGTGAGTGTTGGAAACAGCGAAAACAGTGGAGCCACCCAGAGCTTCCGTCCCGAAGACATCGAGGAGTCTGTGCGCCTTCTGGAGGAGAAGAAAGCACGGATCGCGCAACAGTATGCAGCATATGCGGACGCTCGCAAACGCCTTCTAGATGCAGCCTCGAGGGCCTGCCAACCTATAGCCCTTCCATCCACAAGCCCCCCAACACGTCCTACTAGCATGGTCCAGGGTAGAAATGCGATGAATGAAACGCAATCTCTGGATGCATTGGAGCTTCTTTCATTTACAAGTGATGTACTTCAGCCGCTGTCCAAGAGTCAACGATCACTGGCCTTACAGAAGTTCTACTTGTCCGGCATGCTTGCCAAGGAGAAAGCCACAACCCTTCGCGCCCTCAACCGGCTGCGTGATGAAAGTCATCTACTCCCAGAGTATCCGATTCTTGCCCGTCAACCGCGGTTCAAGCACGCGACAGCAGCCCTAGCTTCGCGCCAGGGTACCAACACCGAACCTGCTAAACCAGATGAAATTGTTGGTTTGGCTGAGGCATGGGCCTTTGCTTCTAATGCAGCAAAAACAAGCGAGCAAGAATACGTGGAGCACAAGTTGGAAGAAGGAACTGAAGCGGCGCAGGATGCAATGCATGTGCTGGAAGATGTCTACAAAATCCTCAACCAGAGCCTCGAGGATACCCTACGAGACCGTGACGGTGAAATGGGCGAGAATGATATCTGGGCGTCGGAGGCGCGATTGACCCGGTCGCGAGCCAAAACACAGCGGACGCAGCAGTCAGCCAAAGGACCATGGTTTGGGCTGCATGGCAAAGTGGGTGTTGCGGAATGATATACCTACCTAGCGGCAGCGATGTACACCTATATAATCTACGAAGATGCGGTTGGAATTAACAAATATAAACTAGGATTAATGTTGACACTACTGGATAAAGTTCTGGTGAAGAACCATGTGCCGTTGAGTCCGGCTCTTATGATCACGGAGTATTATACGAGGAGTAGCCTAGGAAGTTCAGATAGGTAGGAGGTGGTTTCCGTCCCATGGAGACCCTCCGAAAGCCGGTGTTCGTCTGGCGGGATACTATTCGCGCGGTAGCGAGCAGCGCAGGCTGGGCGGAGACTAGAAAGGCATTGATTGACTTGGCGAACCACAAAAATTTCCTTGAAGGATTGACAACTACGGAGGACTAGTTGGTCTAGTTGAGCTTGGATGGTCTGTTCGTTGAATTGTTCATGAGTCAGACTGGCTTCAAAGGGGTGTCTAATAGCAATTGAATAATGATTAGCCTATAGCAAACCCCGTCCTGCACTGTTGCGTAGGAAAAAGCTGGGACCGCAACCCCTGGGAGCTGGTGACTGGGACGACTATCAAGCATATTAGTGATCGGTATTGCTAACCGCGGGCTCCATTTCTGCCGCTACTGCTGCTAGCGACCACTTAGACTCACCCCCGAACCAGTTAGACTGCAGCGCCCATCACCGGGGCTGCATCTACCCGTTGCCTTGGATTGGTTCATTCTCTAGGCGGTGAGTGACTGGGCCTCCTTCTTGGGGGAAATTCTGGAGTCCCAGCGAACCTGAAATGAAAAAAGGTAAAAAAAAAAAAAGATGGGCTCCGCACACCGGAGCTCTTATCGGCCTCCAAGGTTGGGGCATTTTGTGCTTTTCGGAACTCTCATTCGACTCGGTCGGCAAGCCTCCTCCATTTTGGCTGGTTCTGGTCTCCAGGAAAAAAAGTGCCGCATTGACTCATCGCCGCTCCCGCACCTTTTCCTTTACTTCCTCATTTCGTCCCCCTCTCCATCTTCTTTAGCCATTCTTCCTTTCACACTTCCTCCTCTGAAAAGTCCGCCTGGACATTCATCTCCCTTTAAGTCCTCCCCTTTGGTCGTGGGCGTGTGGCATAAAGCGGAACTTCAGGAGCTTAATACTTGGCCATCAAGGGTAAAAATCCCACAGAGCCGGACCAAAAGCGGAGTCTCCAGATTCTCCTCTCCGGATCTCTGAAGCAGAGAGTACTCCTCTCAATTGACTCATCCCCTCCCCTTCCACCTTTTTCTCCCGTCCTTTCCTACCAGCGCAGTGCGCAATGGTTCTCGCTACTCGTTGCGGGCAGGCTACGTCCGCCCTCCTGCGTCAGCGCTGTTTGGCCGAGTCTCGTCGTTCGGCCCTCGCTTTGCGCCCATTCTCCTCTCAGACCACCGCTCACTCGACGGCTTCGAGTCTCAGATTGAAGACCCCTTCTCCATGGCGACCGCAGCAGCTGCGCTCTTTCTCTAGCGCCCTCCGCCGCCTGGCTTCGGAGTCCTCGAACGCTCCCTCCGCCGAGAGCTACCTCGCCAGCGGAATTGTGAAGCCGGGCAGCAAATTGGTTGATGTCAAGAAGGTTCTGGTCATCGGTAGTGGTGGTCTGAGCATTGGACAGGCCGGAGAATTCGACTATTCCGGTAGGTTGGATGACCCATTGAAGCCTCAAATTATCGCACGATACCCCCTGCACGTCTTCTGATGGCTAGCGATCAGTCAAGCGAAGCCTGTCGAACTGAAGACGAGACCACCAAATGGGACCAGGCATAACTTAATTCGAGGCATTCCAATCGAGCAGCGTTGCTAACACCTCCTTTTCTCCAACAGGTTCTCAGGCTTTGAAGGCCCTCAAGGAGGCCGGTGTGCAGTCCGTTCTGATCAACCCCAACATTGCGACCATTCAGACCGACCACAAGCTTGCGGATGAAGTGTACTACCTTCCGGTTACCCCCGAGTATGTCACTTATGTTATCGAGAGGGAGAGACCCGATGGTATCTTCCTTTCCTTCGGTGGTCAGACCGCCCTGAACCTGGGTGTGCAGATGAACCGCATGGGTATCTTCGAGCGCTACGGCGTCCGGGTTCTTGGAACGAGCATCAAGACCCTGGAAACCAGTGAGGACCGTGATCTTTTCTCCAAGGCCCTGAACGAGATCAACATCCCCATCGCCGAATCCATCGCGGTCAGCACCGTCGATGAGGCCCTGCAGGCTGCGGAGACTGTCGGATACCCCATCATTGTCCGTTCCGCATACGCCCTGGGTGGTCTGGGTTCTGGTTTTGCTGCCAACCCCGAGGAGTTGAAGAACCTGTCGTCTCGCTCTTTGACCCTTTCTCCCCAGATTCTGGTCGAGAAGTCCCTTCGCGGCTGGAAGGAAGTCGAATACGAGGTTGTCCGGGATGCTGACAACAACTGCATCACGGTCTGCAACATGGAGAACTTCGATCCTCTTGGTATTCACACCGGCGACAGTATCGTCGTTGCGCCCAGTCAGACCCTGTCTGATGAGGAGTACCACATGCTCCGTACTGCTGCCATCAAGATTGTCCGTCATCTGGGTGTCGTGGGTGAATGTAACGTCCAGTACGCTCTGCAGCCCGATGGCCTCGACTACCGTGTCATTGAGGTCAACGCTCGTCTCTCTCGTTCCTCTGCTCTGGCCTCCAAGGCGACTGGTTACCCTCTTGCTTACACTGCTGCGAAGATCGGTCTGGGCCACACCCTTCCCGAGCTTCCCAACGCTGTTACCAAGACTACGACTGCCAACTTCGAGCCCAGTCTGGACTACATCGTCACCAAGATCCCCCGGTGGGATCTGAGCAAGTTCCAGCATGTCAAGCGGGACATCGGCAGTGCCATGAAGTCCGTTGGTGAAGTCATGGCCATCGGTCGTACTTTCGAGGAGTCTTTCCAGAAGGCTATTCGCCAGGTTGATCCCCAGTTCCTTGGTTTCCAGGGTGACAAGTTTGAGAACCTCGACGACGTCCTGAAGAACCCCACCGACCGCCGCTGGTTGGCTGTTGGCCAGGCTATGCTCCACGAGAACTACTCGGTGGACAAGGTCCACGAGCTGACCAAGATCGACAAGTGGTTCCTGTACAAGCTCCAGAACATTGTGGACTGCAACAATGAGCTCAAGGAGATCGGCAGTCTCTTTGGCCTCCAGAAGGAGATCTTGCTGAAGTCCAAGAAGCTCGGTTTCTCCGACAAGCAGATTGCTCTTCTTGTCGGCTCTACTGAGGACGACGTCCGCGCTCGCCGCAAGTCGTTCGGCATCAGACCCTGGGTTAAGAAGATCGACACCCTCGCTGCGGAGTTCCCCGCTGACACCAACTACCTCTACACCACCTACAACGCTACCTCCCACGATGTCACCTTCGATGACCACGGAATCATCATTCTGGGAAGTGGTGTGTACCGTATTGGAAGCTCCGTCGAGTTCGACTGGTGTGCCGTCAACGCTACCCTCTCTCTGAGAAACATGGGCAAGAAGACTGTCATGATCAACTACAACCCCGAGACCTACTCTACTGACTTCGATACTGCTGACAAGCTCTACTTCGAAGAACTCAGCTACGAGCGTGTCATGGATATCTATGAGCTTGAGGCCGCCAGCGGTGTTGTTGTGTCTGTCGGTGGTCAGCTTCCCCAGAACATTGCCCTCCGTCTCCAGGAGACCGGCGGTGCCCACGTGCTTGGAACGGACCCTAAGGACATTGACCGTGCCGAGGACAGACACAAGTTCTCTCAGATCCTGGACAGCATCGGTGTTGACCAGCCCGCCTGGAAGGAGCTTACCTCCGTGGCTGAGGCCGAGCGCTTCGCCGAGACCGTCGGATACCCCGTCCTGGTTCGTCCCAGTTACGTCCTGTCTGGTGCTGCCATGAACGTCATCTACAGCGTCGACGAGCTCAAGGAGAAGCTCCTCAACGCCAGTGCCGTCTCTCCCGACCACCCTGTGGTCATCACCAAGTTCATTGAGGGTGCCCAGGAGATCGACGTTGACGCTGTTGCCTCCAACGGCAAGCTTCTGTTGCACGCCGTCAGTGAGCACGTTGAGCCCGCTGGTGTGCACTCCGGTGATGCCACCCTTGTTCTTCCCCCTGCCGATCTGGAGGAGACTGTCATGGGTCGCGTCAAGGAGATTGCCGAGAAGGTTGCCAAGGCCTGGAACATCACCGGTCCCTTCAACATGCAGATCATCAAGGCTGATGTCGAGGGTGCTCAGCCCGAGCTGAAGGTCATCGAGTGCAACCTCCGTGCTTCCCGTTCCTTCCCCTTCGCTAGCAAGGTTTTGGGTACCAACTTCATTGATGTTGCTACCAAGGCCCTGGTCGGACGTGATGTTCCCGAGCCCGTGGATCTCATGAGCGTCAAGCGTGACTACCTTGCCACCAAGGTTCCCCAGTTCAGCTGGACCCGTCTTGCTGGTGCCGATCCCTTCCTCGGCGTCGAGATGGCCAGTACTGGTGAGATTGCCTGCTTCGGTAAGGACGTTGTTGAGGCCTACTGGGCTTCCCTGCAGTCCACCATGAACTTCCGTGTGCCCGAGGCTGGTGAGGGTATCCTGCTCGGCGGTGATATCAACAACCCTGCTCTGGCCCAGATTGTCGAGTACCTCCAGCCCCTCGACTTCAAGTTCTTCGCTGCCAGCCCCGCTGTCAAGGAGCACCTTGAGGCCGCTGCCAAGGTTCCCGTGCAAGTGATCGAGTTCCCTAAGGAGGACAAGCGGGCCCTTCGTGAGGTCTTCCAGAAGTACAACATCCGTGGTACCTTCAACCTTGCCAAGACCCGCGGCAAGACCCTCCTCGATGAGGACTACGTTATGAGACGTAACGCTGTTGACTTCGGCGTGCCTCTCTTCATGGAGACCAAGGTAGGACAACCCCCTCCCGACTCCTCTATCTGACGCTAACTGTTTCATTCTAGACCGCTCTGCTCTTCGCCCAGGCCATGAGCCAGAAGCTGCCCCGTGCGGAAGGCATTCCTTCCGAAGTCCGTACCTGGTCCGACTTCACCGGCGGCAAGCTGATGTAAACGCGAGTTTACGCACGAAAAGGACCAAAAGTTTGATTTGATAGATATAATTACGGTTTTGTATTCATTCATGTTTGCAGGCACAGAAAAGCCGCCGTGTTTGGCGTAGCGGATAAGGCTCCATGTTGATAGATATGTTTACTCAGCCCGGGCATTTGGGCTTTCTGTCGCGTCTTCCAAAAAGCGATGAGGAATACGGTCATGCGCTCTGTGGGTTCCTTTTTCTTTCTGGTTTGTTGGCCTTGTGGATGATCCTTTCTGGTGCCTTTTACTTCGCAGTCTATAGTCTTAGGCAGGCTTTGTGCTGGAGCGAAAAGGACAAGTTCTTTGATGATTCGAAGTTGTATGTAGTATAGCATGTTTATATCCCAATCTCTGCTTCTTATGACAAGTTCGTCATGGTTCATTTTATAGGGTCATACTCTTAATTACAGGCGGAGCTCTGAGCTGGTAACTTTCACGAAAGACAGGCATATAGTATATTGAGTTTCCACATGTAAGAACGAGGTTCGAGGACAAATACAGAAGACAGCAGAGTACCTTGACTGGTGATAGATCCCAGCTGCCCGAGTAGAAACGTTTTTCCATCCCGGGAATCATCCCGAGCCTAGACAAAAAAGGAAGTGACTCTATACCAACTGACACTATAAAATTGCAACAAAAGCACAAACGAGGAACCGCGTCCTCAGGCGGGCTACATACCTATTGAACCATTGCAGACGAACCTAACATACCCGATGTCGGCAAAAACCACCTCTCGTCCTGCCCCGGGTGGTCTAGGACGAGGTCTCTTCGCCTCGACAGATATTGCCGTCGGTGAAAATGTCCTTGATATCCCAATCCCATTTGTGGCGGTGCTAGATACCCAACGTCTCGAAGACACTTGTTCCGGATGCTTTGGCCAGAGACAGCTAGAAAATGAAGAAATCACCCTCAAAGCCTGCACCGGATGTCAGGTCGTGAAATACTGTGATAAGGTTGTACCTATCTCCCCAAACCCCCGTTTTTTACCCACATCACTAACACTCTCCTAGACATGTCAAGCAAAAGACTGGAAATTTTCCCATGCCCTCGAGTGTTCGATTTTCCAGCAACTAAAGCCCCGCGTGCTACCCATCAACGCACGAGCGGTGCTCCGCATGGTCTTACGCAGCGGCCGTCGCAAGTACTCCGACGAGGAGCTGGACCAATTCCTCCAGCTCGAAACCCACATCAAAGACATCCGCGACCATAACGCCCCTCAATGGGAGCGCATCTCCCTCTCCTCCAAAGCAGTCAAGACCTACTCCGGCACCGACATGAGCGAGGAAGTCATCTCCGCCTTTGGAGCCAAGGTCCGTATACCCACTACCCCCAGCCATCAAAGCCCTCAATCCTATCCTAACCACCCCTCCAGCTCGAACTCAACTCCTTCAATCTCACCAACGCCCTCTACGACCGCATCGGCGTCTACCTCCACCCCTACGCAGCCATAATCAACCACAGCTGCAACTACAACTCCGTCGTCAACTTCGACGGCCCCAACCTCCAAATCAAAGCCCTCCATCCCATCCCCAAAGACTCCCAAATCTTCATCTCCTACATCGACACCACAAACCTCTACTCACGTCGCCAATCCGACCTCCAAGACCGCTACTACTTCACATGTCACTGCTCCAAATGCTCAAAAGAAGCCACCACCGCCGCCACCACCACCCTCCTCACCCCCATCCAACAAAAAGCCTACACCCTCTTATCCTCCATCCCAGACCTCCCCGCTACCGAAGCCACCCAATCCCTCCTCTCCACGATAACCCTCCTCCAAACCTCAGGCGAGAAATCAACAACCCAACCATCTATCTCCCTCCGTGACGAACTCATCGCGACTCTCATCTCAGGAGGGAAATTCAAGTCCGCGTTCGCGCACGCAGCGCTACGCTATCTCCGCGTCGATCCGGTGGTTTATCCCTCCCAGGCGCATCCTATTCGGCAGGTGCATGCGTGGGCGTTGGCTAAGTTGGCGATTCATTTGTCGCAGGGTGTTAAGCAGATGGTTGTTATTGATGAGGGCGTGGAGGAGATTGCGTTGGAGCAATACGAGGTGAATTTTAGTCTGATCATTTGGTCTGTTTTGGGGATGTTGGTGGGTGCGGAGGATAAGGCGGGCACGGGACCCGGGTTTAAGAGGTTGGTTAGGAGGGCGTTTGAGGAGGTTAATGGGGAGTTTTTAGCGGGGGGGTTGGATCCGAGGCGAATGGGGGAGGGGATTAAGGGTGAGTGGGGGAAGGTGGATAGGTTGGTGGATGGGGTTCTCAATGGAAAATAAAGATTATGGGTTTGGATTATGGATAATGAACTGCAGTGGAGAGATAAGGAGTGGTGTACGAGTGGCAAGATATAGATTACGGGACGTGAATGAAATGTTGAAATCGTTAAATTAGACTTCCGTCCTAGCTATCCGACAGCGAAGTCTCTGCCCCAGTCTGGACGGACTGAGGCGTGGATCTTGATTTTAGGACCCGGTTGGTTCGTTCTCATGCCGACAAGACCTTTATATTGAGATGCAAACAGCTGACCCGCACTTGACATACAAGTAGATGAACCCAAAGAAATGCATATTGGTATCCATCCATTTTTTCGTAGATCCTCCCAGCACATCCGGACGCCCGATCCTCCACACGACACCCCATAAAGCTTTTCTTCTTTACTTGAGGGGAATGAAACGGGAAGAGTGGGTGGCACCGATACCGGGACGACCGTGCTTGACGGGCTTGCTGTGTGATTATTAGACGGATGTCTCTCCGTTCGAAGATGGGAGGAAAACGTACTAGGAGATGGAGAATTCACCCAGGTAGTGGCCAACCATCTCGGGCTTGACTTCGATCTGGTTGAACTCCTTACCGGAGTAGATGCCGATGACGCTGCCGATCATCTCGGGGACAACGATCATGTCACGGAGGTGGGTCTTGACGAGGTCGGGCTTCTCGTTGGGCTTGGCCTCCTGCTTGGCCTTGCGGAGCTTCTTGATGAGACCCATGGGCTTGCGCTTCAGACCGCGGTTGAAGCGACGACGAGCGCGGGCGTGGACGACATCACGGAGCTGTTCGGAGGAGAGGTCGAGGAGCCTGTGTTGCAAACTAGGTCAGATTCCATGTCTTTGTTTCCCCCTTCATATCGCCTGATACACCCTTCCTGAGCCGTCGACTCCCACGACGATTTCCGCAAAAATCCATATCCATGATGCTGATATCGCTCGTTCGGAGTCGGGGCCGGAGGGTGCACAGGAATGATCATAGTGGAACATACTGGTCGAGGTCAATACCGCGGTAGGTGAACTTGCGGAACTGTCTCTTCTTCTTCAACTCTGTTCGCGGATATACGTCAGCGCCTGTGTTCCTTCACTTCATAGCTGCGTGGTTTCGTGATCGTGTGCGGAAAAGGAGATAAGAAAACGTCGACAAAAATCCGGTCCGGTGTATCCGTCCAACATTCAAGTCGCATCATCGATATAAATATATGTAATCCATCTCATCGCATTTCCAATCGATATACCGTATTCCACAACGCGAATTGTCTTCGTCTCCGGGGTCCAGGGCAGTAAAGGGTGATTCAGGTAAAAGTTTAAACGTACCGGCAGCCTCCTCGGCGTTCTGCAGATAACAATGTTAGTTCATCTTCCCCCCCTTCCTTGTGATAGACTTTGATAGCGGAGGACTCACGTAGTGCTCATCAGCCATTTTTGCGGGTGTTCCTCTCAAGGTCGCTTTCCGATCGGGACTCGAAAAGCGAAAGGACGATGGGTTGTCGTGTCGTGTCGCTGATGAACGTTCGTCGGGCGTCTCTTGTGCCTCTGCGCTGGGTTGGGAGGTGGGCTGGAGCCTCGTCTAAGCGACTAGTCTAGGGTTGCGACCCTACCACGCTAGGCCGCTTTGGGAACCCATCTGTAGGGCCGTCGGTCCAGGTGCCCTAAACATTTGTATGGGGTATGGCTTTTGCATATCGATTCTGATGGCGCTCATTGGCTTACAGTGTTGGTTTTAATCGTCTTGAAAGTGCTTATCATGTATTTCATGTATCTGCAGGTCTCTCCAGACTTAGAAGTGGTGGTTACAAGGGCATAAAAAAACTGGGGCATGCATCCCATATTACATCTACGTCGTGGCACATCAACTCAATCGGGAGGTCAGACAATCTGTATTGGCTAAAGCTTTTTCCAGCTCACGTATGCATAGATCGTAACTGCATCAGAAAAGCCTGGCGCATGCCGGCTTGACTAGACCAATGGGCAATTTTCCTCCCAAGACTGAAAATAACCGCCAGATTCCGGTTCCCCCACGAACTGTTACGTTTTTCTCGGTTCGGAGCGAGGCGCTTAGTCGAAGAGACCGAAGCCCATGTCCTCGTCGGACTCCTCCTTCTCCTCCTCCTTCTCCTCAGCGGGAGCGTCGGCAGCAGCGGCGGCACCACCGGCAGCGGGGGCGGCAGCGGCACCAGCACCGCCGGAGGGAACGGAAGCGAGCTTGGTGGAACCCTCAGCGATCAGCTGTTGTAGGAAATCTCGTCAGTATGCAGTTCAAATGTCGCATTTCGTCCCTCTCAGGTTTCAAGGGTATAACTGACCTCCTGGAGGTCCTTGCCCTCGAGCTCGGAGATGAGCTTCTGGAGGCGCTCCTCATCGGCATCGATGCCGACGGCGGAGAGGACGCCGTTGATGTCCTCAGCGGAGGGGCTGGCGGTGCCAGCAAGGGACAGGAGAAGGTAGGCAGCGAGGTACTTCATTGTGAATCTGCAACGAAACTGGTCAGGATGATTGCGACGGAGGGAATGCGAAGAGAGTATGCGGATTGAACATACAAAGTTTTGTGATGAACACGAGAATCAATCGATTTAACCGCAAAGTTGGGCGGAGACTGAAACGTCGAGTTCGCGGGTTAGCGATGTGATGGACGGAAAAAGAGAAGAGTAGAATCGGAGCTCGAAAATCAAGAAAAGTGCGATGCGGCTGGTGGATGTGGCTGGTGCGGATCGTGCTAGTTCCGGCTAAGCGAGCAGGTGTGGCGCATGCGGCAAACTCCATGCCTTGGGCCCCGGTCACGTGGGGCCGCTGGTTCTAGAAGACAGGATGGCGACTTCCTGCATCGTTTTCGCCCAGCGGCCTTATCTGGACAACCTCGTTGTGTCCAGCTGTTGCTTCTCCAGCATCGGTTGCATGCCCCATTCACGTCCTGCCTCATTTCTGGCTCTAAATAGTGAAGTCGGCTTATCTTCAAGTCTGGGATCTCGATTTTTAGTGGTTCCGCAACGAAGTCATGAAGTTACCCCGTCATACGAACCACCGACGGTGAACCTATCCTCTTTGTGCCTACATAGATCTCGCGCATTCTTGGTTACCAGGCGACAAAATGAGTGTAAGAAACTCTTGCTTTCTCGCGGCTTGATGGCCCTGCTGACCTGACGCTAGTTTCTTGATTCTGTTCTTTCATCCATCGAGACGGGCAAACCGTCTCCAATCCCATCCACCTCTTCTTTACCGACTCCTCCTGTGTCCGGCCCGAGTACTAGGCCTCCGGCTCGCAGGCCAATCCATGTCCGTCGGGATGGCGCTCCCGAGCGCAAACCTATTGATACAGGAACGAAACGGAAGGCTGAGGAGCAGCTGGCTCGTCCCGCAAAACCTGTTCCCCCAGCACCCGCCAGGACAACTGCTACAACTACGATGAGGCCTGCCGTATCCACGGCCCCTAGGCCCCGTTCTAGTGCTCAAATTACATCCACATCCACAACATCAACCATCAAGAGCCGCTCGTCGACTCCGCAGAAGGCACCCCCTGTGTCATCGAAGCCTCCCCCTAAAGGCTCTTTTGCGGATCTCATGGCGAAGGCTAAACAACTACAACAAAAGGCCCCGACTCAAGTGGGCATGTTCAAACATCAGGCTGCGCCGAAAGAAAAGGTCAGTAAGGTGGAACGCAAAAAGAAGGCAGCGGAGACATCCTCGAAAGAGAAAGATGCACGGTCGGCGAAGAAACCCGGTGTCATTACTGGTCATGCAGGTGCTCATGAAACAGCTACCAAAACTAAACCTGGTGACAGCAAGGTCGTTAAGAAGCGGGAATCCGAGCCGTTATCTTACAAAGGCACTGCAAGACCGACTCCGAATTCGAATCCGACTCCTTCTTCAAACCAAAACGAGTACCGAGGAACTTCCGGCCTGCCTCCGCGAAAAAACCCTGCCGAGTGGAAGGCCCAATCTAGGGCCAGCAAACGGTCTCGAATGGATGAATACCTGGGGACTGACGAAGAAGATGAGGGGGAGTATGCGGATGATTACGATGACTACTTCTCGGAATCGTCGGATATGGAGGCAGGCCTGGACGCTATGGAGGAAGAGGAAGCTGCTGCACTGGCGGCGGCAAGACGCGAGGATGAAGAGGAATGGCGCGCGGAGCTTGCAGCCAAGCAGCAGAAGCTGGACCGCCGCAAGAAGCTCACGGCTTTGGCCGCGCGCCGATAAGGGGCGATGCTGCTATTATTAACAGATATATCCCGCTAGGAGATTCACCCCGATTTAGGCATTCCCTTTTGTTTTTGGAACCGGAGCATCAGCGAGGAATACCCCGAGGGTGCGTTACATACGACGTTACTGGTCTTCTTTGTTTTCATTTGTCCTTTTTGTATCATTTTGGATGAGCATCAGCGAGCGTCAAGGTGTCGATAGATGGGGGTCCAGTCTCTTTCTTCCTTTTCACTTTACATATTATTACTTCACATACAATAGCCGGCGTCACCGTCACTGTCCTTGTCGTAGCTTTGAATGAAATTGGATACTATGAAGCTGTGAATACTTTCTTCCCTCCGGAGGCAGTCAGTGGGGCTCCGGCCGGAACACCTCATAACAACGGATACTATCAAGCAAATATAGATATTAGATAGATACTAGGACGGAAGATTCCTGAAAGACTAAGACACCCAGTCGACACGATAATATTTGGTACTGTCATTGCTGGGATCATAGTAAATAATCCCCTATTTGTCCAATTAGTAAAGATTACTAACTTTATGCATTGCCAAGTTATTACTCCTATCAGACAGGAGTAGTACTGTAATAATTGCCATCGTCATTGCTGGTAAAGCAGTAAGAAGTATGTAATGTCCGGATTCTTATCGACCCAGTTGCCCCACCTGTAGGCGGTGACATCACTCGTCCCTCAGTTACTCTCATCTTGATCTTGACTCGAGCTTCCCTCGTCCATTGCTTTGCAGCTTAACAATCTCTCTTCTTCTCAGGAAGCAGTGTCTCTACTTCTGCGTCGAGTTTTAAAGCTAATTGATTGCTATTTCCCCCGTCGTCATGGAGTCGGTGCACCATGTGTCGACCTCTTCCAAGGTCTTACTAAAGAAGGTGCGCAATATGGTGCCTCCGATGCTTGAGAAATTCCACAAAGGTAGGCCCTTGATGAAAATGAGGATAGGAAAATAGTCTAGGAACTCTCTCCTGACAAATTGAAGGTCAACAGGGACGTGTTGCCGTCATCGGAGGCTCCTTAGAGTATGTTCTCCCCTTTTCAGCGCATGCAGCGCGGATTAAGCTGAACGTGTCCAAGTTACACAGGAGCTCCATACTTTTCTTCAATGGCATCGGCTAGACTAGGTAAAAATATATTCAGTGCTAGTATGATTGGTCTGTACGCTGACATGACACCACAGGATGTGACATGGTAGGCCACTGGGAACTACGACCGTTGTAGGGTACTTTCTGACAGGCTACAGAGTCATGTAATCTGTGATAAGTCGGCTGCAGTTGTAAGTTCCAGTTACCGATACGCTTAAACGGGTGGAATTGATCTTGAATAGGTCATCAAAACATATTCGCCGAACCTAATGGTCCATCCACTACTGCCAAGCAGCGACACCGTCAAAAACCCCGAGTCTATTGACGCCCCGTCACTCGCTAGCCCCATCATCGCTATGATTCCTCGTCTCCACTGTCTAGTAATTGGACCGGGTCTAGGTCGTGACGGAGTCACGCTCAAGGTCGTAGCAGAGGTGATGAAAGAAGCGCGGTCCCGGTCGATACCGTTTGTGCTGGACGCGGACGGTCTACTTCTCGTCACGGAGGACCCGGACCTGGTGAAGGGATACAAGGAGTGCATCCTCACACCTAATGTGAATGAGTTCGGCCGTCTCGCGAAAGCCATGGGTATCGACGTTCCTAGCCAAGCTGAGATTGGCTCCAAGTCCGACGGCGGCGACAAGACGAGTGAGGAGACCAAGGCCTGTGAACAGCTGTCTCAGGCGCTTGGTGGCGTGACTATCATTCAGAAGGGTCCTCATGACATCATTTCCAACGGTGTCACCAGTATTGTCTCTGATATCCCGGGTGGACTGAAGCGGAGTGGAGGACAGGGAGATACGCTCACCGGGTCGTTGGGTACTCTCTTGGCCTGGAGGGCGGCCTATCATAACGGACTATGGGATTCGGGAGAGAAAGACAACCAGAAGGAGGCGGAAACTAAGCAAGAGGTTCAGGCGGAGTTGGAATCGGAGAACCAGAGGATGTCACCCGTCACAACTTTGCTTCTTGCGGCGTTCGCGGGCAGCAGCATCACGAGGGAGTGCTCCCGGCGAGCGTTTCTGGCCAAGGGGCGGAGCATGCAGGCAAGTGATCTCACCGATGAGGTTCAAGAGAGTTTCCTCCATTTGATTGGGGAGCCGGAGGCGTCGAAGACACGGCTGTAGGGGCTTTTACGAGGTGGTCGGTAGATTAGGATATGACATAATGAAGGGTTATTTATAGCCTCATTTAAAGTGTAGATGGGGGCGGTGCCAATTGGCATATTGAAGGTTAATTCTTTGTCTGCCGTAGCGCATACCATCTTCGTTCCTACCACCTTCCGCTAGATAGTACCGCACCGCATCGTCAATTTCTTTCTCCTTTCAGGCTGGATTCAAGTATTCCTGCAGAGTCGGTCAGCAAGGCATAGACAGGGACTGCCCGGAGAGTTTGTCTTGACATCGTACTGGCCATTGAAGCTATGAATAATTTTGATGTCATTCATTGCAGCTACGATTGTCCAATGAAGAAAACACAATAGTACATTCCACCCAGCTTCAAACTCCGGAATAGGCCATGAACATGAATTGCTGTCATACCGATGTTACCTGATGGTTTGAAAGCCTCAAGAATCCGAATCGACCTCTTCGGTCCTTAACTCCAATGGTTCAACGCCGCCTTCAATAGCTCAGTCCAACTGAGACATAATTTCCACCGAGCCAGTTCACCCACCCAACCTTGACGTTGCGCCTAAGCTTCAGCAACCTCACAGTAGCCCTATCAACGTCAACAACGAGCCACTACGCAATGGTGCATAGATCCCCACATATCCGCAGTGAGTTTATTTTGATTGGCACCCCAACCAGCGCTTCTAACCTCCACCCAGTACCCATCCCCCGGTCAAAGAATGCTCGAGCCGTGTCCCAGAGCTCGTATTCCCTCGGACAGAACAAACGATATCATTGAGTTTAAATTCCCTGAAAGCAAAAATCCGCCTCGTTAGGCGTCTAAATGCGGAGATGCATGTCTTAGAGGACCCGAGATACTCCCTCGTGACGTCCACAACCTCCATCGATACCCAGCCACCAACTACCAGGAAGTATACATCGTATACGAACGAACTAACTGACCCAATCCAAGTTCTAGCCCTATCATGATCAATCCTAAAAGCATCATACCACACAGGTAGAAAGGTATATAACCATCCTTTCCCACCCCTATCCCTATCCCTCCGAAATACCCTCATCATCAATCACTCTCAACCACTCCACCACAACCAAACCTCAATCTCAATCTCAACCAAGAACCAAAAATGCACCTCCCATCCCTCACCACCACCACCCTCCTCCCTCTCTCCCTCCTCCTCCTCACCAACCCCCTCCCGGCCATCGCAAACCCCACCCCCGCCACATGCGGAACCTGCAATCCTCTCTCCGGCGAAAACCACTGCGACGTGACCACCTCATGCATCAACACCGGCGCCCGATTCCACTGCGCCTGTCGTGCCGGCTACAAGGCCTCGTACAATAACTACGACATCACCCAGCAGTTCCGGTTGAATGTCCCCGGGTATCAGTTTTTGGTCTTCACGCCCGAATATACCCAGTGTAATACGTTGTGTGATAATCCGTATGGAGCTAGTCCGCAGCTTTGTTCCGAGGTGAAGCTTTATGATCAGTGTGGGGTTTAGATCTGAGTGTTTTCGGGGTATTTTTGGGGGGATATGGGATGGTTTGGGGGAGGGGAAGTGGGATTGGGGGTGATAGATGGGAAATGGGAGATGGGAGATGGGGAGAGGGACGGAGAGATGAGAGAGGGGGAGGGTGGTATCATACTTGTACTATGTACTTGGGTACTGTGGTGGATGACTTGGCAGATGGTGGGAAAAGATGTACACTCCTTTACATTGATAATATCATTGAAGAACGTTCCTTGATTGATTGTTCCAAAACCCCGCGTTCAATGACACCGGAACACCGACCCATCCTTGAGAATCTCACACGGCCTCATATACGTCTCTCACGTATGAAGAAGAATAGCCAAAATAGGTGGCGAAAAGAGAAAACTAGTAGAAATACGATACTAGCCCCATATACGAACACGGTTGCCAGCGTGTGCTAGATTAAGTAGTAATAGCCTTTCACATTTCCATACCATCAATGAAAACCAGACGGCTGCCGTTGCCCATAACTTGCCAGACCTGTTGAGAAAGCATGTCAGTAGATGTCCACATATTAAACAAGAAACCCCGGTAGCACTCACGTTGCTGTTCTCGTACTCGTCAATGGCCAGGTTGAGCTGATCCTCCGTGAAACCCTTGGCAAGAACTCTTTCCCGGATTCTCCGCATGCTCAGCTCGCCCTCGTCTCCGTCGCCCACAGCCGCAGCGCCACTCTCCAACATGCTGCGGATCAGGTAGTAGATCTTGCTGGTCGGGCTCTGGTCCATACCCGACTGGCCATCCGTGGCCAGGGATGCCTTGCTGACCTCGACCAGGCGCAGCGCCTCGTCGACATCCTCGCTGACGACCTCCTCGCTGAACCGGAGACGCGCCAATGCCTGTGACAGACGGACAACACCGAGCAGCGTACGGGGCGTCACATGAGAAAATTGCTTCTTTTCGGCCTCGTCCTTCTTCTGCTGCTTCCGCATTCTCACGTAGGCTCCCACCATGTAGTCAGAGACCGACGAGGGAACAACGGGACGGTAGGTACGCGCCTTGGCAATGTACTGACGCACTTCCTGAGGCGTGAACATAATGCCAGCATCCTCGGTTTCGGGGTGGCGGTTGTGCATATGGACATAGGTGACGTGGCTTGCGAGTTCCTCGTCTGCTTCGCGCGAAGGGGTATCGAGAATAAGGAACATGACATCGAAACGCGAAAGCAGGGCAGCGGGGAGGTTGATGTTCTCAACTGGAGATACGCGGGGGTTGTACCGGCCGTACAGCGGGTTGGCTGCGGCCAAGATAGACGTGCGAGCATTGAGGGTGGTCGTAATTCCCGCCTTCGAAATGGAGATGGTCTGTTGTTCCATCACTTCGTGGATTGCCGTACGATCCGTGTCATCCATCTTATCGAATTCATCGATACAGCAAATGCCGTTGTCGGCCAGAACCAAGGCACCGCCCTCCAGAACCATCTCATCCGTTACCGGGTCCCGCATCACTGCAGCCGTGAGACCAACACCACTGCTTCCTCGACCGGTCGTGTACACGCCGCGGGGAGCGACCTTGGCGATATACTTCAGCAGCTGGGACTTGGCAACACCAGGGTCACCCATGAGGCAGATGTTAATGTCACCGCGAATGTGCATGCCGTCGCCCATCTCTTTCGTAACACCTCCAATGAGGAGCAGAAGCAGCGCCTTCTTCACATCGAGATGGCCGTAGATTTCCGGGGCGATCGATCGCGACAGGTACTCATACATATTACCGGACTTCTGGTATTGGTCGATCTTGCGGAGGGTTCGGCTGTCCATGTTCGTGTCGTTGTATGACTTCTTGTGCTGGGTGATATGCTGAGCTTCCATGTATGTATCAGTCAACAGGCCCGCGCGGATGGCTCTGAACCCTGTGTAAGGGGTGGGGAGGAAGATTCCTGCAATGTCGACAACATCACCGGGGTTAAGTTCGCGGGTAAGGCTGCCATGGCAGTGGATGGTCATGGTTCGTGGGATATGTCCAACAGGCACCTGATCCGCCATTTCCTGGATCTTCACTTCCTGGAAAGGAACAAACTTCGAGGCGCGAGTGGAGAGGAACAGCTGGCCCTTGGAGTTGTTCGTCTTGCATTCTTGGGACACACATTCGGACATCGGAAGGAACTGTTTCGTAGTGACCGGTTGGAAGACTTCGCATCCACAGCGATCACAAGTGTAGGCGTTGATTTCGACGGCCGGCTTGACATCAGAGACACGAGTTGTGATACCCCGGACAGTGATCAAGCCACCGATGTGCTCCGCGCGCACGTTGCGCACTGCAAGGGCCTTGGACTGGCGGTCGCTGCTTGACCCTGAGGGAGTGAGGGGCTTGAAGTTTATCGTGTACCGGCGGGTCAGCTCAGGGGGGAAGATAGACTGGGCAGCATCAGCATCAGCATTGGCCTCCGCAGCCATGTTCATGGCCTCATTCCGCTTTTCGCGCTGCGACATGATAACGTCAAGCACGTCATCTTTGAACCTGCACCCGATTAGCCTCAACTTTTTGAAGCATAGCCACTTCCTGCATACGTAATGTCCTTGCTTTCCTTCGGCATCAGATCATCAACCGCCCGGGAGAAAAGATCGATATAATGGTATGTGTTCTTTTGCACGTTCTCAACCAGTCGCAGGTCTTCATTGTCTTCCGAAAGGCCTTTTTCATACTGCAATCAGTTAGACTTATCCCTTTGAACAGTTTAGAAGAAAGCGTCTACCGTGGCGAGGTCATCCAGCTCGACCAGAATATTTGTCCGCTCGCGGTCAGCGACCTCCTGGAGTAGTTGCATATATTTCAGCTTCGGTTCCCGGCGTCTGCGGCCGGCTCGCTGCGCACCGCCCTCCTGGTCGACATCGTCCATGAAGTCATATTCATCGCTAGTGCCATCTTCGTCGATGTGAAGATCTTCGAGGGCCTCTGTCGCAGCCGATTCCGAGGCCGACTCAAAACTCTTAAAGTGCTTCAGAAAATCCTTGAAGGCATCCAACTGCGCTTCGTAGTTGACGTTGAGGGTGTAGGAGTTGAGAGCCATGGTGCGACAAGGCAACGAGCCAGTTCAATTGACCAACGCTGGCAATGGAGGCGGGTTGTGATCGTGCTAAAATCGCCTGGGGCCGAGAAGGTAAAAAGAAAGGCGGCGGTTAGGCCAAAGCGTCCCTTGGCGGAGTTCTCAGTTGGCGGTCGCCGTCCAAGAACTTGCGACTTTCGGTGCCGCAGCAACCCGTCACGTCGCGACGCGTCCATTTCGCGTCGCTCATTCCGCTTCGGGTGCCAGCCCAGATCGGGCCTAGCGCCCGATGCACGTGTGTCGGAAGGGAACAACTCTCGGCCCGACCATCGGCGGCGGGCCACCTCGGCCAACGGCGACTGGCTGGTCTGCGGAGTCAATGCGACAGAGTCCGGGGAGATGCTGAGGTCTGGTCTTCTTTTTTTCTCCCCAAGAACCCTGGTCTCATATCCCTTCTGCTCGCTGACCACACGAGCTTGATACTCCGCGCCTGAGAATGGCCCCCAGAAAGCCCTCCACCACAGCGGAAGTTTCCCTGGTGCCTTTGAAGAACTGCCTAGTAAACCTGCCACCTTCGCTGGTCGCACTGCTGGTCAATGCCAATACTGTAAGCCAGCCATCTCCTTCAGGACAGGCGCACGGTCTCCCTGCCCTAGCTGACATAGAATTAGGCCGCACAGAATGTAATTATCGAGCTACAGTACCGCTCGACCACTGGAAAGGCCAATGGCAGCCCCGCGCAGCGGTCATGCTATCTAGGATGGACGGGAATGCCGAGCAAGCGGAAGCTCGCTCCGGTCGTCGGAAGAGACGGTATCAGCAGTGCCTCCGCTGCCAGAGAGCAGGATATCTCCACCGTTGAGCTGGACACAACGTTCGGGAGAGTCCTGGGCCTTGCTGATGGACAACGAGTACGCGTGCCATTTGACCATTTGACCCGCGGGGCTCCCAATGATGCTAATGCGCCTAGGTCGGGATATACATCCATCTCGATCCACCTGTTGCTCACACCATCAACATCGAGCCGCTGACTCCGGAAGACTGGGAGAGTATGTTTTTGGGTCGTCATAATCTGTAATGCGCGGGTTTGGCTAATTTCTTGCAGTCATTGAGCTCCATGCAACGTTCCTAGAACTCAACCTTCTGTCCCAGATTCGGGCTCTCCCCAACCCAACGTACACCGCAACTCAGCCTGAGCATATGCACCCTCTTGCGCTGCACCTTTCCCCAACATCGACCGCGAATATTGTCATTACGTCTTTGACACCCGCTCCCCCGAATACCTCACCTTTCGCCAAGATTGCGCCAGATGCAGAAGTCATCGTTGCTCCAAAGACCCGTCCGAAGGCTACAAGAGGATCCCGAGGGGATAGCCGGAGCGTTACTGGAAGCAGCAAGAGGAGTGTTGGGGGACGGAGTAGCGGAAGCACGGTACGCCCAAAGAGCAGTCGGTCCGACTCGACAAGCAGGGGCTCTCTCTTCTTTAGAGGAATCGACCGCCAACTGTCCGAGCAATATTTTGACGAAGAGGCAGAGGAAGACAACAATGAGGGGTTCCGCGTTTGGGTTGATCCGGACATGCTTGCCACAAACGAGCTCCGGGGCGCCGGCTGGGCTTGCGTCTCTATCGTCCAGCCTGCTGGTCTGAAAGCGCCGCCTGACCCGCAGCAACAGGTAGAGCAGACGGAACAAAAAGGCAGCGAGGCTGGAACACCTGCAGCAAAGCTAATTGCAAGGTTGATTCCGTGGACGGATGCCCCGGATACCCAACATATTGCTGTCTCGACTCTGCTGTCTGGAGCCCTAGGTGCCGAGGGTCTAGTAGGCGGTATTGTTCGAGTCGAAGCGGCTCCCCCGCCGCTGCAGCGGTCTGCAGTGAAGGCGCTCAAGGTGTTTCCTTTCATAGGTAATGCATCTAAGAAGAAGGACGGGTTGAAATTCGGGTCTGATACCGCAGCCGCAAGGGATGCATTAGCAGAACGTATCAAAATCCTGTATGACAGTTCTGGAATGGATAAGGGGCTACTAGCGGGACCTTTGACCGATGGGATGGTCCTGCCAAGTACGGACTACCAGGTTACAGGGACCGTGTTCGATGGTGCTATTCTCCGATTTGACCCTCCACTGAAGGGCACGTCCGAGACAATCAAGCCAGCGACAGGATGGGTCTTGGGATCAGACACCAAACTGCCACTGGAAGTGCAGGCTGAAATACCCCGTCCAGCAGAATCGAGTTCGTCCGCCCAGCCATCGGACGATGCACTACCACCCGTGGTTCCCGAAATGGTTGGAATCGACCAAATCATCTCGCAGTCCATCGATAACCTGACCAAATCATCCTCTATCTTGCTCACCGGTGGTCTCGGGTCTGGAAAGACAGCCTTGAGTCATCTCTTGGCCCACCGTGTGCGGAAGGATTACCTTTTCAATGTGAAGTACTTCTCTTGTCGGAAACTTGTTACTGACGAAACCCGCATTTCGAACATCAAAGAAACGCTGAATCGCCTTTTCATGTCCGCTTCCTGGTGTGCCCGTCTTGGCGGACAGTCAGTTGTAATCCTGGACGATCTTGACAAGCTATGTCCTGTAGAGACAGAGCTCCAAGTGGGAGGAGACAATGGTCGCAGCCGCCAGAACAGTGAGGTGATCTGCTCCATGGTACGCGAGTATTGCTCCATGAACTCTTCGGTGGTGCTGCTGGCCACAGCGCAATCTAAAGAGTTCTTGAACAATGTCATAATTGGAGGGCACGTCGTCCGAGAGATAATCCACCTGAGAGCCCCGGACAAGGAAGGCCGGCGAAAGGTTCTGGAGCAACTTACAATTCAGGATCGGGGCGCCCCGCCTGCGATGAATGGCCATGCACGAAAGTCCAGTTCCTCGACTCAGGATTCGTGGCTGAACCCTTCCAATCCCGGGAGTCGTCCCAGCTCAGCCGGAGCAGACGGCTTCGTGCTTGGCAGAGATGTAGATTTTCTGGATCTCGCTGGAAAGACCGACGGATACATGCCCGGCGATCTGGTCCTTCTTGTCTCACGCGCTCGAAACGAGGCTCTAATTCGATCAGTTCAGGATTCCTTGGCCTCGTCAAGAGCCATCACGCTTGGGTCAGATGATTTTGAGAATGCCATCAAAGGCTTCACTCCTGCTTCTCTTCGAAACGTTACACTCACCTCATCTACTACGACCTTCTCCGCCATCGGTGGGTTAACTGAGACCCGCAAAATGCTCCTCGAGACGTTGCAATATCCTACCAAGTACGCTCCTATCTTTGCACAGTGCCCATTGCGTCTGCGCTCAGGTCTGCTGCTCTACGGATATCCTGGTTGTGGAAAGACCCTTCTCGCTAGCGCGATAGCAGGCGAGTGTGGTCTGAACTTTATCAGCGTCAAGGGACCGGAGATTCTGAACAAGTATATCGGTGCGAGTGAGAAGAGCGTGCGTGATCTATTTGAACGAGCGCAAGCTGCTCGACCATGCATTCTCTTCTTCGATGAGTTTGACAGTATCGCGCCAAAACGTGGTCACGACTCCACAGGCGTCACAGACCGTGTGGTCAATCAGCTCCTCACCCAGATGGACGGTGCTGAAGGTCTCTCCGGAGTCTATGTTCTCGCTGCGACCTCCCGACCCGATCTGATCGATCCCGCTCTGCTGCGACCGGGACGTCTGGATAAGTCTCTAATTTGTGACATGCCCAACCATGCGGACCGGCTTGACATTATCCAAGCGGTGAGCAAGAAGCTCGTGATGAACGAGGAAGTTGTTGCTCGTCTAGATGAAGTGGCAGCCCGTACAGAGGGTTTCTCCGGTGCTGATTTGCAGGCCGTCGTATATAATGCTCATCTTGAAGCAGTTCATGATGCCCTCGGAGACCATTCAGTGAACGACAAGTCCACAGCCAAGAATGGGACGAAGCCGTCATCGACGGGCACTAGCACCAAGTCGTTCATCCAGTTCCTTTACTCGGCTTCCGAGCAGGATGCTGGAAGAGTGTCGATGCCTTCTCCGGCAGTTGTGGCGTCCAAGCTCGATGCCATCAAGAACGCACGACGGCGCCAACGACAGTCGGAGCAGGGCACATCCAGTACCCAGGCAGTGGTACCCAACGGGGCCGCTCAGGAGGAAACGCGTGAGGAAATCATTGTTCGGTGGGAGCACATGGAACGCTCTCTAAACACCACACGCAGCTCCCTCAGCCAGGCTGAAAGACGACGCCTGGAAGGGATCTACCGGGAGTTCATCTTCGGTAGAAACGGCGAGATGCCCAACGGTGAAGGCAGCCAAGAGATAGGAGGACGAACGAGCTTGATGTGATGAACGATGTACATTATTTATCATGCCTAGTACATATACTGCTAAATGTCGAACATACATAAAGAAAATAACATTATGCAAACAACCCCAAGTACATAGCAGACAGTCCCTCCCAAAGATATACATATAATACAAAAAAAAAAGACCACCGAGTCAGGGAATCGAACCCACACCCTCCCTAAAACCCTACCTCAAGACCCCAAAACACCACACCTCCAAAAACAACCCGGTAAAGGTGCAAAAAAAAACTGGTAGCTTCTCTTTGATTGAGCGTGTCATCCTTAGTGCAGGGGCCATGCTAATCTTCTCTGTATCGTTTCAAATTGACCAAATGCCCGAAGGCACTTGGTAGTATTTTACAATGAATTATATAGGACAAATTAGCGGACTTGGAGCTGTTTTATTGGCCCGCTAAGCGAGGTGCGGGAAGGGAACATCAAAAATCATCCTCACTACCTCACTACCACAGTGGTAGCATCCAGCCAAAGTGTCTAGAAATTTGGATATACCATTCTATGTAGAGGATAGTAGTATTCATCTAGAACCGACAGATAAGGAAATTAAATAGTTTTTAGAGGAAGCTGGTTGGGCTCCCTGGTCAATATCTCGCCAGCCATGGGGACGACCTTCGTCACAATGGACAATGAGTATCTCTAGCACGACCCGGAGAAGAACACGCGCTATAAATCGATCACATAGCATATGAACTATGAAAGTGCTTATCAAAGACATAGAGCTCAGGGAACATCGAAATACCAGAATGATTTTCTTGACATCTTCGCAAGCAAATTATGTCGAGGAAAATTAGTACCTGACAATTCTACAATCGATCTAGTATAAATGTCCATTTATTTCAATTGCAACTGGGTTATCTCAACGATGGATGTCTGTCTTTGATGAAGATATACCTCCCAAGACTGATTGTGCTTCTCTATCCATGGTTCTGGACTTGGATGGTGTAGCGTGGACTGATGATGTTTCTTTCAAGTCGCAGCAATCACGAACGAGGAATCGCTTGCCACAATAACGATTCTTATTCAGTCTACTCCTTATGCAAACTAGAGTCATAATTTACACTGACATGGGTGGAGTATATCTTCTTGGACTTATGATTGACCTCGACGGTTTCCACCGCATGAAAACCACATTGAAATATTCCCCCATAATATGTTAGACTTGATCAAATCTATTTCCGCAATTACTCAATGAATACCGAAAACACTTATACAGTGACTGCCGACTGCCGACTAGGTTGCTTCAATCTTCCAGTTCACCATGTTCTATGTTCAACCCTCCCATCGATCGAAATGCACCACTGGGTCCAAGCCCGGACAGGTTTAGTTTATCAACCTGCAAGACACCAAAGTGGCTCCATTTCGACGACGGACCGAGTCCCCGCATCCTAGGCTCCAGTCTCCACACCCGTCTTGCTAAAGGATTTGGAGTCTGGACACCGGCGATCTAGAGATGTTTGAGGGCTTCAAACTCGATAGCGGTCTGGACATGCTGCCTAGCGATTCAGAAGCCGATAGTCCTAACGCCCCGTCTGATTTGCTTGGGCCAACTGTGGACGGTCTGCGGGTCAGCGAACAAATTATCGGTACGATTTCTACTTATGTATCCTGGCTATGCAAGCCGGCATGCTAGATCCATAGAGGATGATATCACCACTGGACCGTGGTAGCGTTCTCGCGGCGCTAGAGCTGACGAGAATGCACCTAGGGAAATTCAAGATACAGTCGATCTATTGCTTAAGTTGTCTCGCAGTATAGTTCGGCTTATATCTTGAGGGTGTTGCGTTTATGGAGAGAAACACATTTTGCTTGATGATCGATCTGCGATCCCCAACCGGGGGTTGACATACGGGGCAGCCAATAGCAACACCGTCCGGTCAACTCGGTCTCCAGGGCGACCGGTTACTGCCATAGTATTGCCCCTGTGTAACATGATCTATTCGATTCAGCTCAGTGCTCACGATCCTATCGCAAACGAAGGTCCTTTCAACCCATTGTCGTCCACAAGAAACTTTTCAAGTCGCCTTTCTAGAAAAAGTCAATCCCCTGATGACCATCTCGTTTCATTGAACTCGAACAACGGTGAAACAACAGCTACACCAGTATGGCAACTAAGACGCTTGAGGCTCGTCTCAGGCATCTGTCTGTTCATGATGAGAACGACAGGCATGAGGGAACCATTTCACACCAGAAGTCCAAGGTAGGTCCGGTTTAAGTAATCCTTCCAGGCATGCGTTGAGGGCACAGTTGATGATAGAGAGAAGGATACAGCCACCAGCACACGTTCATCCGATTGAGTCGGGCCGCCGGAAAGCTCCAGGTCTTTCGCTTCCCAGATGACTCAAGCCAAAAGCGGACAATCACCTCGGCGAACTCGAAAGCCCCTCTCGGTTGTTTTGACACAAATACCTAATAAAGCGGCCAAGGCGGAAAAAAACGACATCACCAGTATCAAGAAACAAAGCACAGTCGCCAGCCATGTCATCTCCCAAGTGGCCCAAGCCAAAGGCGAGGAACCCTATTCTTGGGATCGACAACCCTTCGCTGTGGTCATTGTGTCGCAGAAATCATCAAATATAACGTCCGAGACAAAAGAACATCATGTTGGTGATGCCAAGCGACAAAACACCGTCGCCAAACATGGCGCTTCCCAAGTAGTTCAAGCCAAAGGCGGACGACCTCTTTCCCTGGTTCGACGCACTCTCTCTACATCCAACGCCACGGTGAAGGCAGAAGAGCACCCCATTCAGATTATCACACAACCCGTCCCCAAGCTATTCCATCTAGGCATGTTTGAGATTGGCAGGCCCCTAGGAAAGGGAAATTTTGGACGGGTATATCTTGCACGAGAGCGACAGACCGGGTTTGTTTGTGCGTTAAAGGTACTACACAAGGATGAGATCCAACAGGGAAGAATCGAGAAACAGGTGGCTCGTGAAATTGAGATTCAGAGCAATCTGCGCCACCCCAATATCCTACAACTATACGGCCACTTCCACGATCGGAAGCGAATAATCTTGATTCTCGAGTATGCTGGCAAAGGGGAACTATACAACCATTTGCAGAGAGAGAATCGTTTCCCCGAGTGGATGGCAGCTCAATACATTGCACAAATGGCGAGTGCATTACGATATTTACATCGCAAACATGTCATTCACAGGGATGTTAAGCCTGAGAATATTCTTGTTGGTCTGCACGGAGAGTTGAAGATGTCGGACTTTGGCTGGAGTGTTCATGCGCCAAGTGGGCGCAGGCTCACGAAGTGTGGAACACTGGACTACTTGCCTCCCGAGATGGTCGATCCGAAGAGATACGAGAAACCTTATGATGAAAAGGTGGACCTATGGGCCCTAGGGGTTTTGATGTACGAGCTTTTGGTTGGAAGCGCACCTTTTGAGGATACACCTGTTATGACACAGCGGAGAATCGCCAGGGGGGATATGACGATTCCTTCTTTTGTCAGCTCTGAAGCCAAGGACCTTATCAAGAAGGTAGGTGTCTTCTCCAAACAGGAACAACGAAGTACTGACTATGTTCTAGCTACTGGTGGTTGATTCGGATCAGTGGATTTCTTTGGAACAAGTCCGACAACACCCCTGGATTGTCAAACACTGCGAGGGCGCGGAAAAACAAGATGATAAGTCCAGTCGAGTTATTAGTAGACGGTAGCTTTAAGTCAATGCTATCAATAATATTCCAGCCAATGACAGTAATACACCGGATGTCTTGTTATGTCTGCCTGGGAGTTCAAACCTTGGACTTGTGGCTGAAAAAGGAAACAGGGGTCCCCATATTCTGTCACCGCCCCGGAGCCACTCGTAAAACGGTAAGAGTAAGACACCTCCACTTCCCGCCGCCGTTAGCTACGGGGACCATAATAATCCACTGCTGGGCCTAGTCTCAGCCGTGAGAAATAGTAACCGATAACCAATATGCTAACCAGGCTTCCGTCAGAACTATTGGATGCGATCATCAGCCTAGTAAGTCAGTGCCTACTTGAATCTCGTATCAATGGCTTATCATATGAAGATCGCTAGCCGTAGGGACCTGAAGCGCCTTTGTGAAGTCTGCACGCGGCTTCATGATATAGCCATTCCACATCTATACCAGTCTCTTGTTGTGTCCGCCCCCGAGCTATCAATAGAGGAGTTAGTTGCGACTTCGGAATCTATACCACGGAGATACTTGAAATATACACGAGAATTTGGCTTCAGTGTTCCAATCCATGAGCGAGTCGAAGCCCGCTGTGTCCACTACGGGCCAATGGACACTTCATGGATGATGCTGTACAGGATGGACTTGCTGAAGTTCCTTCAGATGATGTGAGTGTAAACTTTGACATTATGGGCGGTGAGGATATAGACGAGGGCCTGGAGAAGGTGAGTGCTTATAACACCGGACACTTGAAAGTACGACGATTGATAAACTAGTGCAGGATCATCCGGTGGACCCTCTTGCTGATTTGAATTCTGCGTTGGGTTCTCTGAGGCTTCCAGATAATCAACTGCGGAGTTTTCGGTTCGTATCGCCTTTCTCACTCTGGGTAATCTACTTACGTGATTGTAGGTGGGAGGTAGGAACATGTATTCCAGAGGCTATATTCTGCGGCAACAACTCTTTTCTTGGAAATCAAAGACAGATTCAATCAATTACCTTAATTACAGATGGAGAATGTGCTGCAAGTCAGAACGCGCAGCACTTGGTGAATTTTGTCCAATTCAGAGAACTACAGTCCCTGGATTGGAAGGGTTTGAGCCGATATTACGACTTCGAATCTGTCCGAGAAAGCATCAAATACCATGGTCATCAAATCAAATCACTCACTCTTGACCTCTTGAACTGGGCTCATGCGGAGAAGATCTGGGCCGACGGATTTCGTCAACAAAGTCCCCAGCCCGCAAGGGTTCCGGACAATTTCTTCTCGCAAAGAGTGCTCAATATCCACCCTGGAGACCAGAAGGTCATATTTTCGTCTCTGGAGAATCTTCATTTGTCAGCTGTTTCTTTTGAACATACCGATATGGAAATGGCCTATGCTTTCAATGTCGAACACCTAAAGAGTCTCAAGTTGCGGAACTGCCCAGGATCACTCGACTGGTTACGAAGGCTGCTCAACTCTGGAAAGCCAATGAAACTGAAATCTCTCGAGTTGTCTCTTGATCTCGGTAGTCTCCAGAAAGATGCATACATGTATATCACGGAGACAATCTGCGATTTCATTGTTCACGCTTCCGATTTAAATTGTCTCTATTTGATGCTCCCTGAGCCCATTGACTGGACCGCTCTCACAGAAAGGCTGTCAAGCCATCGTCATCTCAAGCGCTTTGTGATGCACAATCTAGTGGATAGAGGTGGTCAAAACCTCATTGATGGAGACATACCATGGCCGTTGCATTTGGAACATATCATACAAGGAAAGCAATTGGCTTGCTTTGGATCTTCCATTCCACCTAGAAACTTGGTATGTGTTGATCACAGATCTTGGAATCTATATGAATTCTAACAGAGTACTAGGCCACCCACTTGCAAAGAATGAAGCCAAGGCCGTCCTGCAAATTGGTACATGTTAGGACAAGCGGGGTAGTCCTTGATAGACTAATAAGCTCTGGGCAACCGAACTGGTTCTCTGAGTCTCTTTATACTTATAAGTATGGCAAAGGTGAGCTGATATCCCTGATTGGAGGACTACAGCCAAGGTGCATGCAATGGAATCTAAAGTCGGAACAGATCTGCCCTACCAACCCGAGGAAATATACGATCTCGCACAGTGGGCATTCAGTGCTGATGGACTTCCAAACCTCCAAGTCCTCGCCTGGGGAGACTTTTCATATAGAGGCCGCTATTCCAAATCCAATATTCTGCTTTGCAGATCCGACGATGGCTATCAACCCCTGGCCCCTTTCAACACGGTCCCTTGGGGTATTCTCCAGGACAATCTAGATATGCTGGCAGCCTGTCCCCTGGACGACATCCTGGAATGATTTCGACGCTTCTTGCCCATGCAATTTGGATCCCGCAATTATTTTCACTCTTCAAGAAGCCTGCTGTCTCGACCAATAGAGATTGTAATGCTACTATCTATTAATAGAGAGCTGATACCGGGCATGGAAGAAAAGCAGGAAGAGCCCACCGGAAGAGTGTGGGTATCTCCGTAATTTCCCGAATGAAGGAGTCCCAACCCTGAATGATAACCTAGGTTGTGCAAGATTGCAAGGCGGCACGCATGGCATACCAACCATAAGGACGGTCTACTTAGTCCTGCTAGGCATGCCTGCACTACTAGTGGTTCTAGGCCCAAGTACACCGGCTGCTCGTGGTAGGGGTAGTAGTAGATGTGACAAATTCCCGGTTCCGGGTAGTTTTAGGCTCCCTGTTTTATTTATAAGCCCGTACCTTTCACTTCTCTGCATTCTGATTCAGATAACAGAAAAGGAGGCTATATTGCTTTAAAATTAGTTATTTGGTGGCCGACGTCCTTCTATATAGATCATCCCATATCATTATACTCGGTGATTATCCAGGCTCCCCTTGGTGGTTCTGGTAGCAAGCCTAGAGGGCAACCATTATTGCTTGAGTGCCTTCTGTACAATGTTTGGTTTCCTTGTAACCGTATTCCCAACACCACCCGAACACCACCACCGTGCGAGGATCTTGAAGGCAGACACGTTTCTGGACTGAAAGTCGAAAAGCTCTGTCCTATAGATGACCAGTTTGTTGCCATCATGATGGGCTAAAAGAACGCGACCATGTCGCGGACCCATGAAGGATAATAGCAATACCTGAAACAAAGGAATCAGTCCCGGGAATTAGATGGCAGGATAAACAAACATACGGGAGCCATAACATGATTCTCATATGTTCCAAGACCTTTGATCATGATTTGGCAAATACATAGTAGTTCCCCGCGCGTGATCTTATCACTTCCTTGGATGTCATTGAGAATCATGCACTTAAGCCAGGGACCGTCAGGGACTTTGGAAGCGGATGTAGCACGCCAGTTGAAGTGATAGTCATGTTCCCAAAGATTGTAGTCGAAGTTACCGGGTCTGTTGATCCTTTTAGCTTGCCCCTGTAGAGAAGTGCTCTTATCACATACTGCATGAGCTGAATATGATCATTGGGGTTTTCCTGGCCCGCTATGTCCATTAGGTAGGCTCGGAGATACTGATAGATGTCTTGTGCCCAAGCTATCGGGGTGCAGAAAACACCCCCATTCTCATCAAAGGGAGGATACTCCTCTTCGGGATCAGGTTGCGGTAGTGTGCCCATGTAAGGCTCGAAGAACGAAGATTGGGATGGAGGCTGTCTGTCGCCGTCAAGGCGCATCGTACTGACTTCTACATGGTGAGCTCCTAGATCACCCGGGGTATACTGCGTAAGAAAACCCGATGCCAGGGACCTCTCAATCGCCGTCACAGCATCTAGACGAGCCCTGTTTTCGGTAGAGCAATTCATCGTGGTTGGAGCCTAGAGGGATTGCGGTTCAGAACGCAGTTGGATGATTCGCTGGTTGAGGCAGTATTGTTTACCGCCTGCGAAGCCGCTTTAGGATTATTAGCTTCAGCTGGAATTTTAGGGATAGGACCGTTCAAGCACGCAATGAAGCATCTTGGTCTTGCTCTGCTTGTTCTACATTCTTCTTGAGATTGGATCAGGATGGTGTCAAAGAGCAACGTTGTGACAGGACCATGGTACATGGGAGACGGTCACATTATAAAGCTTGAGGATTCATTGGCATTAGAGGATGGATTTTGTTTCGTGGTGGTATAGCGCATCCAGTACTCCGTACTCTGCACGAAAGCCAGGATAAGAAGCGATAGGAGATTTCGGTCTGATGATTGCTCTATTTTCATCAAGGGAAGGAAGGATGGCGGGGACTAACGGCTTAGTGACGGGCTTTATACCGAGGTTGGCAGTACTGCCGTGAGGGCTGAGACGGCAAGTTTCATGGGTGGTACGTAAGGCTTGCGCGGGGGATTAGATTAAACGTCTTGGCTGGCGAGGAATTTATGCATCTTGCATTTGATTTCGAGTGCGATGAGGATAAAGGATGATGGTGTTAATAAATGGGAAATGGAAGAAGGATTAACTCGATGACCTTGGGAATGATCACTACACGGACGGAAATTGTATCCGTTCGCTAGATATGTACTATGTAGGAATGGCATGTCTGTAAATGACGACAGGGGACCAGGGTCTGCGGAGTTCTACCCTATTCGAGTAACCTTCCTCGACTCCCGTTCGTTCCTGGCTAATCGGGATTGATACCTAGATACCTACCCGTTTCTCGGAGATGCCATATCGACCTAATCCCCTCGGTGTTATGTTTGATACTATTGAAATGCTGTTGCCATGAAGTGCTGTTGGTCCAAATTATCGGCATGAATCTGAAGATCTTTGGTAATTCAGTTATTCGCCTTTCCTACCAGATTATCACGTTGGCTGGTAGGAACCGCAGATAATTGTTGACATACAAGGACTGACTAGCATTTAGCTATGGTTTTTAGTCGATAAGTCGTGAGATGCTTAAATAATTCATGGAATCATTTGTGGCAAGTGAGAACCTTATATTAAACAACCAACAGTATATCCAGATGAGGTTGCTCGCTGAACTCTGTCTGAATAAGGTCATCATGAGCTTTTTGATTCCCCCGTTGACGGCTGCCGCTCCAAAGCTTCTTCAAGATTGGACCCTGGAGTTTATCCAACTGAATTTCTAAGCAAGGCGCTCGGTCAAACCTGCTACAAAATACAGGCTCGGTGAAACAAACCGACTCGGGGCTAGGGAGGAAGATGATGTATTGATGGACATGCTTGGTTTCCCCGTTGGGTCGGTGGGGACGGGAGCGTCTCACGGAATCTCACGAAACGCGCGTTGAAGGAAGCCGCTGAAGAACTGGCCACACTGCGGCCAAACTCTAATCAGATATGCTTCCGTTCATCATTGATGATCCAAAGGACGGAGACCGGCGCGGTGGAAAATATTATAACCATCATGCTCATGGCAGGCAGGTAATAAACTGTCTGGGTGGCCACCGTTTCTCATGGACGGCTGGCTGGCTTTGCCTCCCATGGCGTTAGGCTCTCCTCTCTTGTCTTTCGCATATGTCCAGATATGTATTCTACCTGCGATCCGGTCCATATGCAGGGGTCTGATTGCAGTCCCCCGCTGATGTCACCTGGATCCTCTTCGTACAATGCAGGCCCCGGCATTCTGGCTCTCAACTGGGCGGCGGCGGCCACCGCGGTTCTGGTCATGACCCTAAGAGTCATTGCCAAGCTGCGAATTCGGCACTATGCTCTGAATGACACGGTCATGCTATGTGCATTGGTTTGTCTCCGGTTTCTTTATCTCTGGGTAGTGTTAATGTATGTTAGGTACTGGCTTTGGCCGCATCGGTTATGATCACCTTGGCCATCGGACATGGTTATGGGCAACACTATCAGTACCTGAGCCGTGCGAACCAGGTGCTGTCTCTCAAGTATTACACCGGTTTCCAATGTTTGTCGATTGTCGCCACTGGCTTTGGGAGAGCGGCTTTTGCGCTCTATCTATTGAACATCCTCCGCCAGCAGAGATTTATATGGTTCCTCTTGTGGGTCATATTCGCGCTGCAAATCATCATCAACATTGTCTCCGTGATCACCATCCTTGCCCAATGCAAGGATATCAGCTCCATCTGGGACACAACTGTGATCACGACATGCTGGGATCCAAATGTCGATCGTATCTACGCATATGTACAGTGCTGTACGTTTTCTGGGTCTGGTTTGTTGCATTGCTCTGGAAGGAAACTGATAGATGTGGCATAGCGATCAATACTGCAACGGACTTTTTCCTCGCCATCTTCCCGACATATACCTTCTGGAGCCTGAGCCTGCAGAAGCGCATCAAGATCAGCTTGGTAATATTGATGAGTTTGGGCCTGGTGTTAGTATACCACCGTCGAGCAATCGACACTCTGGCTGGGCTGACTAAAATTCTACAGAGCCATGGTGGCCTCGATCATGCGGGTTGTGTACGTGGATTCCATAGCCGAACGTGGCGACCAAACCGCAGCAACAGTGAAGCTCTCCCGATGGGCTCTGGCCGAGTGCTATCTGGTCATTGTCACAGCCTCCATTCCCTGCATTCGGTCCTTGGTTATCGCGTCAGTCCGGAATATTCACAGCGACAACCGTTCGCGGGCCAGAAAGTCACTGCCCAAGATCAGTGGGCCAACTCCGGATCGAGCAGGATTCAGTGCTTGGACGGCTGCCCAGCAGTCCCACAGCCGCCGGCGGGAGAGTGTAGAGTATATTCTCAGCAATGCCGAGCTGGTCCGGTTAGAAGGGGGCGGGATCCCGAAACGGATGGATGTGATGCTTATCACGAATGACTCGAGCAGCACCAAGAGCCGAACCTAACATCGGGGAGTAATGCGTTATGTTATGTAAATATATCCTGGTTATGTATGATGGAATTCAAAATATAATGTGACACGGATCATCGAGAGACCCAAGCCTGAGTTGAAGGACATCTACAGATCATAGACCCATCCAGTGGACACCATCTCCGAGTTAATGGCTGGGTCGATCCCCACTTCCCCGGCCGCCAATGAAGCTTGGCTGGGGACCAACAAGGTCATGCGTAGTCATGCTGTCTTTCCCTTGCCATCCATCACCCATGGTCCAGCATGAATGACAGCAAGGGGGTGGCCCTCGGCTGAGGTAATCCTGCCCGGCTTCAGAGGATTCGGAGGAACCGGAGGAAGAATCAAGGCGAGCGGTTATCCGTGGCAATCTCCAACAGGCTTATCGGCGACACTGCCGAGGGCCGAACCTCTTTCTTACTTCTTAAATGCCTCTCCTCCCCAACCAGCGGTCTATCTGGCTCACGGACATTTCTTTCTTTTTCTCCTCCATTGGACCTTTTCCCCTCTGTTCCCCGTATTTCCTTTTCTCCGCCCCGTTCTAGCGACCTCCTCCTGCTGTCTTTGGCCTCTCCCCGGATTTCCCCGCATTGTCGCCATGCCCGTCTCCTCACGTTATCCCCCGGTTCAAATTCCGGACGTTGATGTCTGGTCTTTTCTTTTCGAGCGGGAAGATCGGGCTTTCCCAGACGATAATGGTATGTCCATTCTCCATGGCACTGGAATTGCGTCCATATCGAGGAGACGTACCCAATCCATTGATGCACGCGACCGGTTTATTTCTCCGCTGACCTCCGTCAAGTTATCTACCAGGATGCAGACACACAGCGATCGTATACCTATCAGCAAGTCAAAGATGCAGCCCTTTCCTTCGGCAAGGGTCTCAAAGCCACCTTCGACTGGAAGAAGGGAGACGTGCTGGCCCTATTTACCCCCAACAGCATCGACACCCCGGCCGTGATGTGGGGAGCTATCTGGGCCGGCGGCATCGTCTCCCCATCCAACCCAGCCTATACAGCTGAAGAGCTGGCCTTCCAGCTGAAGAATTCCGGTGCCAAAGTCCTGATCACCCAAGCACCGCTTCTCCCGGTAGCCACGGCTGCCGCAAAAGAAGCCGGCATTCCCGAGGACCACATCATTCTCATTGGCGACCAGCGGGATCCGCAAGCTCGAACCAAGCATTTCACCTCCATCCGCAATATCTCTGGGGCCACACGCTTTCGCAAGACGAAGATCGACCCATCCCGCGACCTATCTTTCTTGGTCTACTCCTCGGGTACGACGGGCGTACCCAAGGGCGTGATGCTCTCCCACCGTAACATTATCGCCAACGTCCTCCAGCTCTCCGCGGGTGAAGCAGGCAATCTCACCTGGAATGGTGGCGCAGACGGCAAAGGAGATCGCGTTCTAGCCTTCCTTCCCTTCTTCCACATCTACGGTTTGTTCCTCCATCCTCCAGTCCATTCATAACTCAATACTAACAACCCACCCAGGCCTGAACTGCCTCGTCCACCAGACTCTATACCAAGGCTACCAACTCCTGGTAATGACCAAGTTTGACATCGAGAAATGGTGCTCCCACGTTCAAAACTACCGCATCACATTCAGCTACGTCGTCCCTCCCGTTGTCCTCCTCCTGGGCAAACACCCCATCATCGACAAATACGACCTCTCCACCCTCCGAATTCTCAACTCCGGCGCCGCCCCCCTCACCCAAGAGCTCGTCGAAGCCGTCTACGCGCGCATAAAATGCGGCATCAAACAAGGCTACGGCCTCAGCGAAACCAGCCCCACAACACACACCCAACCCTGGGAAGAATGGCGCACGAGCATCGGCTCCGTCGGTAAACTCCTCCCCAACATGGACGCCAAATACATGACCATGCCCGAAGACGCCTCCGACCCCGTCGAAGTCCCCGCCGGCCAAGTCGGCGAACTATACATGCGCGGCCCCAACATCTTCCAAGGTTACCACAACAACCCCTCCGCCACCGCAGACTGCCTCACCCCAGACGGATGGTTCCGCACCGGCGACGTCGGCTACCAAGACCCCCAAGGCAACTTCTACATCACCGACCGCGTCAAGGAACTAATCAAATACAATGGCTTCCAAGTCGCCCCCGCCGAACTAGAAGGAATCCTCCTCGACAACGACGCCATCGACGACGTCGCCGTCATTGGCCTCGAAAGCGAAGCCCACGGCACCGAGGTCCCGCTCGCGTACGTGGTCCGGAGCGCAAAGAGTCTCAACTCGGGTGTCGACGGCCCTCAAGAAGCAGCAAACATCGTGAAATGGATCGACGCCAAAGTCGCATATCATAAACGGTTGAGGGGAGGCGTGACTTTTGTAGACGAAATCCCCAAGAGCCCGAGCGGTAAGATTCTTAGACGCTTGTTGAAGAAGAAGGCAAAGGAGGAGGGTCTGGGCGTGGGTGCTGCTGGGCCGAAGGCTAAGTTGTGAGGCAGACCTTCATGCTTTTCATACTCCCTCCTTTCTTTTTTTTGTTTTACTTTCGGGTTAATTGATCATGTGAATAAAATCTTGTGTAGAAGGACGTTGTACATAATTACATCTAATGATGGTATTTATCATGGTTTGGGGTGATGATATATATTTTGTGGGAATCGAGATCACGGAAGCTATATCCGCGGAGTAGACTGTATTATTCGGATTTGTGTGGGTAAAACTGACTGATCATAAAGTACACGTTTGATGGTCAAACGTGACAAATAAGTAGTGCTAGGTAGATAGGTAGGTAGGATATTCGATCGATGGAGATACAAAGTGATATGTATAGTTTGATTGATGAAATCCATTTATTGCAACTAGGTACGGTCCCAAGTACACTTACCCGTTGAACAGTGTTGGGCCAACTATCAACGGCATCGTAGGATAGACAGTCTACATAATTACCACTAGATCTGTCAAGTCTGTTCTCACAAACCAAATCGCTTCACCATGCCTTCGACGTTTTCACCATCCACCGCATCGATCTTCTCCCGGGCCACCCGTTCAACGGCCTGATCGACAGGCTCCTCGCCCTCTAGTAGATCATACCAGCCATCTGTGTCATCCCGGGCGAGCAGCTGATCCGCGACAATTGCCACGTCCTCCCGAGTCACCTTACCCATGCCCTTTTTGGTCTTGCCTAGGTCCACCTTGCGCGTCGCCGATGTATCAGTCAATGTCCCCGGTCGCAGATTGATGGCTTGCAGGGGCCGCGCGGCGCCCGCAGCAACAAGCTTTTTGCGCTGCGCTGCCAGCGCAGTCATGTACTCGTCTGCTTCGAGCTTGGCTTTGGCGTATGCAGGTAGGACGTTGTAGAAGACGTTTTGCAGTCCGCTCCACTCGTCATCGGCGATCCAGGTAGGCTGGACTCGCCGACTACCGAGCCAGGAGACGAGGAGGAATTTGGTCACGGTGGGGTGGGCAAACGAGGCAGAGAGGAAGTGTTTGGCGGCGCGTTCGTCGATAGCAAAGGTACGTTCGGGACCGCCTTTCCCGCCAGCGCCTGTGTTTCAGAAATGGGACTTGGGGTTAGTTTGAACGTTATTTGCATGGGGTTTAGGTTGGTTGGTTGGTTGGATGAATGGATTTATGGGCAGATGTGATGTGTGGATTTGATCTGGACTTGCAGGGAAGGATGCAGATGGCCTGGTATTTTTTGGCTGTGGGGGTGGTTTCAATCACAACCACGGTTGCATACCTGCCGACCACACTACATAGTCCGGGGAAACGCTGTCTAGGATCTTCTTGGCATCGGCGTCGCTCTTGACATCGTCCAAGCTGGAGAGGAGGACGTTCAGTTTGCCTCTGGTGCCTTTGCCCAGGGCAACGATCTCATTTTCGTGCTCTGCGTTGCGGATGACGCTGGTGACGTTCCAGGAGCGGGCGAGCAGAAGCGGGGTCAGGTGCAGAGCCACTTTACCATGGCCGCCTAGGAGAAGAACCTGCATTGTGGTGAATCAATTGATGGATGTGCTGGATAGATTGTAGATAGATAGATACGGTGCAGCCTGGATGAGTTGGAAACTGATCGCGATGTCATGAAGTTTTAAGCTTTGAGCTTTGAGCTTGAGCTTGTGCGGAGAATGGATTAGTAATGCCGAGGGGTTACACGCCGAGGCAGCAATGGCGTCATGTGGTCGGCCAGCTTCAGTTTCTACGGGGTTCAATGCAGCCGGAAAGTGTCACGCCCTGCAGGCTGCAAACGGGTCGCTGCTGCTCCTACTGAGGTCGTGCACAATGTCTTAGGCGCTGCAAGGAGGGTGGGATCCCATTGTCTTCTGATCAAACATCTCCATGGCAGCCTCCGTTTTAGATCTGTCTGGCGATGCCCCTTGATAAACAAAGCGGTGGTGGTAGTGGTGGTGGTGTACAGGTGGTGGTCGATCATATGGGCCTTGAAAGCCGGTTCAAACACTGGAGTCGCTCGGCAGTCAGGGCGCCCATAAATGATAAAGGAGGATTTTCCACAACCAGGCACTTGCCCAGGAGAGCCCAACCCATTTCTTCGTGCTGCTGAGCGCAATAATACTCCGTGGAGTCCAGACCAAGAGCTGGAAGGATATGAAAGGACTTGGATTCGAACCCCGCTGCGAGGTGAAACACCGGCCGATCGGCTGGAAAGGAGGCCTATTTCCGCGCAAAGCTTGAGCAGCGACGATTGATCGCAATCCCAGTCGATTGGGGGGGATTGGCTCAACACGAAGTCCGTGAGAAGAGATCGATGCCCATAATGCCGGAAATTATTAGTGGTGTTTCGCTGGGACCTTGGGTGAGATTAGTCAGTCAGACTTCCCCTCATGGATCTCGGAAATTGAATTAATTAACGGAAGGTCGAAAGGACTGATCTGGATCCTCGGGAGGAGTCGAAGAATCTTGGTTGGGCGCTGGTCCACCACCGGCAGCGATAAATCAGCGTGGGAGTTGGTCAACTTGGCAGCGCGGCCTCTTTGTTTATACAGGGGACGCGGGATGGAGGAGATTAATGACTTCATGATGATGTTGCCGACCCTTGGATCGCGATGGTTTACCCATTGGATTGATTATTATTGGAGAAGAGAGCACCAACCGACGTCGTGCCTGTGCCTGTGCCTGGGCTTGTGCCTGTACCTGAGCCTAGTCTCTGTCTGTGCCTGACTTGTACCGAGTGAGTGGGCGGAGATAACCCGGACCCGTTTGCACTTTGCACTTTTGTGTCCCGTCCGGCCAGCTATCTACCTGGAAATGGCAAGTAAGCAGGCCTCCCACTACTAGTACCTAATAGTATTAGTAGCACCTATCCCACTTACTCCGTACTACTAGTATTTAGTGTATAGTTTCCGTACCACTGGGCGTACTATTCACTAATCACAAGGTGGCCTAGTAAGGGGCATCCACCATCACCGGCAGGAAGGCTGGCTGACGGGCGACCGTCTCTTACCCTCTTACAGCTTACTTACTAGATACTAGGTACTTACTGACCTGGGGGAAAATCCATCCTCCCGCTACTCCGGACTGGGTGAGGCGCTTCTCAACCGAGGATCATAGTGTAGGGCGGTACAATACCGTATTCAGGGCCATAGACTCCCGACTGAGTAGGTTCGACTATTCAACGGCTGTCATTTCTTCCCGAGACACACTCAATCAATCATCACACTGGCTCTGCCGTTCGAGTCGCTACAAGCCTCCACCAGATTTCTCAGATACATTGAGAATGGCTAACGCGGAGTCAACAGATGACGTGTTGGATCTTCGATGACAATGCCCAATGGTTCATGAAATTCTGGACCTTGCAAACCGGTCCACACCAACCAAGAGAATCACGAACCACCTCGCCTAGTCCGTACAAGAAACCGGTTCCCAGAGCCCCTGCTTAGTAACCTGGACGCGACGAAGGTATAGAGTAGGCCACTACGACTACTGGCTATTTTCTACTTGGTTCACCAGGATTATGTCCATCTTGCCTTGCTGATGCCCCCGGATGATGGGCGAGTCAAGTTACGCCTCTTACTTTTCCCCAAGGAGGGGTACGCACTACTTTATGCAGGTTTGATGTTGCACTGGTCCCCTCTGCTCCGGACTCTATTCGAGGCCGCAGCCATCCCTGTATCCCTCTGAAGGAGGGCTCCATTGCGGAGCACTTCGTATGCTTATTGCTTGGATCTCAACTAGCTGCATAAAATACATGTCCACGCGGGATGACTGCACGCCATGTACTCCGACTTCGTCCGCGAGTCTATCAAAATGACCCGATAACCGTCTACTAATGCCAATAATATCAAACACTCGCATTCAAGCAGCGTGGGGACGACCATCGACCCAGTCATGATGGATCATGGGATGCCCGACGGCAGTCGAAGTGATCGTCCCGCTCGTCCAAATTTCCGGAACCCCTCTAGCGGTCCTGGGATAAAGTTCAAAAGGCATGAAACAGCATCCGATAGACAGGTCATATTTCGCGAGGATAAAGGGGTCCAGCTCAGCTGGTCGCTTCAGAATGTGCCCCGGATCTTTTGATTGCCTCATCCAGAGGACCACTGGAGGCAACTGTTGCTTCACTAGATCACACACTGCCAATGAATTGTTCGAGGGGCGCACATCACACAGTAAAGGGTGCCTAGAGCTGCTCGAGATCCCGAGGACTTATTGAGGCTTAGGCTTCAGCCTTCAGCCCCGGATCGGCCCACATCCCGCGAGACGCGGTCATAATAGATCATACCAATCTGCTTCTGCTTCTCATCGTCCGGATTGGGTTTCGGGTCGAGGTGAATGGGAAGATGTGTTTTCCTCGTATTGACACGGCGATATAGCCATCAACATTGCACATCTATAGTGGAAGCTCGGCGCGAAAGCGTTGTCATGGGGCAGGCAGTCCCAGGGACGGACGATACGGTATAGGGAGGTAAGGTACCCGACAGGACCCAGTGGCAGAGCTCCATCCGATTTGCAGTTCATTCATCGCGGGTGGAGCCTGCAAGGGGCATTGGGCCCTAGTCCGCGGTACGGTAACGGTATGGGAAGGCGCATCCATGGTTTCTGTGACAGTTTATTATTCTGGACAGTGGCCTGTCTGTTTACTGTTATGATCCAGGCACCAGAGCAAGTGGATCCAGTCGCTCCAGCAAATAACCTTGTTGCTGTCGGAGGGGAAATGGTAATGCGGTCACCCCCGGTGACAATGATGGGATCAGCTCGAGTCGGTCTTCATCAGTCCATTCATGCAGATTTCATTCATTGTCCGTATATGCGGAGTAGATGGATAGTATCGGCTGCAATGGGAAAAAGAAAGCAATGCGGCACTGAAAATTCGGACTGCAGGAGGGACACATTGAGATGGATTAGAAAAGCCGGCCAGCGAATCTCGTGTCGATCCGCTTTTCTCCAGGACCACCGGCGTGGCCAATGGGCCCCAATAATGCGCTTCCACTCACTGGACTGGTCCGTAATAATCACCCAGAACAATTGTTCATGGAAAGCCCAGGACGGACGGAGTTGTAGTAAAATAGGGACCGGGAAAAAAAAAAAAAAAAAAAGAGTGACGATCGAATGGAATCCAGATCCCTTCTCTTTTCTATCGTTCCAATCCTTCCACATTGATCATTTCTTTTTCCTCTTCACCTCTCATTTCTATTCTTTTCTTTTCTTCACTCGGATTACTTCTCGTGTCGCCGACACTGTCTCTCCTTTTCCTCCTCCCCCCCCCGTCAATTCAATTGCGCTTTCGACCGTCGACTTGAACTATCGACGCGATCCATTGCTTGGGGGCCTCCACTCGATATCCGGCCGGCCTCAGCATCGCTACTCGAACTCCGCTCCCGCTGTCGACGGTGCAGCCACATTCCTTCCCGGCTCATGCAGACGCCGAATCTGTCCAATCCGACCGATATTAGCATCTGCACTTAGTACATTCTACTCCTCAGCCATTATTAGTATTATTATTATTATTATCCTTCTTTCCTCACGCGCGTTATCGACTTTAACCCAGCCCACCCTGCAAGCTACGCCCACTATTGGCATCCTGTCGTCCCCGTGACTCTGGCGCTCCCAGGGGATGACTGGTGATTTGGAATCGCATCCATTGCCCTAGCTTTTCCACCATCATCCGTCTCCGACTCATTCGTTCGTTTCCCCCCTGTTCCAGTCTTTGCCTGGTAGGTCCATGGTCCATCCAGCATCAATCAATTGTGCACGACCTACGGATGTCTGACGGGTGTGATCTTACACAGCATTGCGTCGGTGTATGTGTCGGAACGACTGCCACTCCTTTACCCGGTGATTCTCTACAGTCGAACATCGATCTCGCAATCGCCTTGCCCGTTGCTCCACACATCTGTCCAACACCACAATGAATCGATTTCGCAAGACTAAGAAGGAGAAGGTGAAGGAAGATGGCGAAGGTCCCGAAAGCAGCTCCGTCAGTCTCAGCTCTATGCTATCGAAGAAGACCAAGAAGGAGGAACCCGAGGAGAAACAGGACTTCGACCTTTCCAGTGCATTGCCCTCGACTGATGACTTTCGCACCAGTCTTCTGATGCCCAAGTTATCGGCACGATTCAGCATGCTAAGAGAGCAAGATGACCCCGAGTCAATTATCGGCAAAGCTAGCGACGACAGCGTTCTCTTCCCTAGACGTGCCTCGCGTCTGAACCTCTTTGGCCACAATCCAGGCTTGTTGGCCGATATCGATGAAGTCTCTCTCGACAGCCGTCGGCCATCCATGGCTCTCGGGCGCACACACTCACTTGCATCGGATAACAACGGCTATGGCACGGACGACGACCGCTCCCAACAAGGGAGCATCATGAGCAGGGCTCGTCGGACTGAAGGAAACAACTTGTTCGGTGGACGGCAAAAGGTGTACAAAATTCCCTCCAAGACGACATCCTCAACAGGAGAATCGAACTCTGGGCGCATGGGTGGCCGGGCGCTCTATGAGCACGATCTGACCATGTCGGCTTTTCAACGACTAAAGTTAAATGAGCGCGAAGAGGCGGCGATGGATGAGACACAGCAGGATAGCCCCTCTCAGGAGTCAGAAGACGCACTGTCCAATTTTGGCTCCACGAAGCGGACGACCTTCTCTTCGACTGCGTCTGGGCCTACGTCGAATGCCCGTACATCAACTGCGGCGACATCTTTCGATGAGCAGTCGTTCATTGCGCCCACGTCGCAATTGGAGACACATGTTTCCTCGTCCAAACCACCGTTACCCGGCATGGCCCCAGAGCGTGGCTCGGTCAAATCCCGCCGGCTTTACGGACAAGGATTGGCGCAATCGGCTCAGAACCAGCAGACATCGACCTTGCAACGACTAGAAAGTCTTAGCCGCCAGCGCGCAGCAGCCCCAGAGTTGCCTCCCCTGAGCCGCGCTTTTTCTAGAAGCGCCACGAACTTACGCGACAGATTGCAGCCACTCACCATTGCCGAACCCGCCGCCACTTCCCGGCCGACCAGCCCTCCATCGGTGCCCAGGTCGCCAGAACACTCGACCAGGCTCAATCCCAGGGAACCGCAAACTCAAGCGAGGTCTGCGTACGGAGCCCCTCCGCTGAGCCCCCCGGCTAGCGAGCATGAAGATAAAGCCCCCTTGATGGCCGCTCTACACCCCGAAGACCTCGGGAAAGCCACAGCATTAGGCCTGTTTAACAAACCCAGCAGCATGTTTGACGAAAGTCAGTTCACACGTCGTCAAGTACAGATGCACCAGGGAAGGGACACGCCACCCTTGACGCGACTTCCACCGCTCCCCGCTCAGGCTATTCCCCAGGAGCACGCTGGCCGTGCAAGAGGGCTATCCAACACGAGCTATGTGTCCAGACCAGGCTCTGCATCTTCTCATTATAGCGAGGCCCAACGCCCAGGGAGCCGGTCCGTTGTCCACGCCTCACCTTCAAGAAATCCCGACGGAACGTTTTTCTCAAACATCAGTCCCAGTGACTCCGAGGATGACAGCGGTGCTTCGCGCTACACCACGGACGAGATTCATCCTGCTCTTCGGCCCGAAACCCCTTCCAAGCCATCTACGCCCACTAGCGAACACCGGAGTCCTCTGCCTGAAGTTCGATACTCGGACCTTGGGGATCTGAAGCCTATCGCGGAACACGATATTGTCGAGAACCGGCCCGAGCATGATGATCTTCCTGAGAAGCCGGATTCTCCCACCCTGGGACCGGCCGGCCTGGGTCTCAGCGGCCTCGTCCGCACTCATCTACGATGCAACAGCGATAGGTCGTCCATTTACCCTCCTCCTTCTCCAGGCCTCCCCCCGAAGCCCACCGAAGCTGAGACACCAGAAGAACCCGCTCTACAGCACCACACGGGCGCGCAAAACAGTTCAAACTGGCAGAGTGAGCTTGTATCAAGACATAGACGTGAAGGGAGCACCGAGACACAGAGGGAACGCGAAGAATTTGCCAACGAGCTGGCAGAGAGACGGCGGAAGGTGCAGGAGAAGCTTCGGGGATTTGCAGAGGGCGAGAGCCGGTCAGCCAGTCCGGTCTCAGGCCGTCAGACTCCGGATTTCACCCCCAGCAAACCCGGCAATGCCTTTTCCTTTCTGAAAAACAAGTCAAGCAAGCAGCATCTGTTCAACCGACAGGAGCAGAAGAATGCGAGGGGCTTGAACCTGGCCAATGCATCTACTCCTGCTTTGGTGTCGGAAGACTCGTGGCGTGAAGAGGAGGAGCGGCCATCGTTCAATTTCGCAAAGCACGCCAACTCGAGCTCTCCCCATGTCGCGACTGAGAGGTCCTTCCGGTCTAAGATGTCCGTGTTCGGACGCAGCAGCCAGGAGGATTCACGCGAGTCCAGCCGGAGCCGCGGTGCCTCTCCACACTCCAGCTTCCGTTCTCGCCGAGATCGCTCAACCTCGGATGCGTCTGGCCGTTCCAAGAGTCGCACGCGACGAGACCGCGAGGGTCTAGAAACCCTCGAAGAGGTCGCTCACGGTGCCCATAAGCCATTCGCATTCCCCGATTATGACCACCACGGTTTGGCTTCCGTCCCTTCTTCCACCCGCGCCTCTGCCGAGGTCATGGAGCCGGTCATGTACGATCGGTCTTCCTCTGCCGCGTCTGGAAGGTATCGCAGTGATAGTCGATCGGCTGTGTCGAGCTTCCACGAGCGCCCCTTCTATCCTCCAGCTCCAGCTGCCAGCACGACCTCGCTGATCGGTGCTGCCCCACGGCCTTCCCCCATCGCTCCTTATTCCGCAAATGCCACACCACCCTTGGAAGACATGTCTCAGGGCCACTCCCTCACCCCAGTGCCTACCAACAGCAGTACCAACACCGCGCCTCCCCAGCGTGCTCTGGGAAACAACGGTCTTCAGAAGCGGATGGTCAGCAAGGCGCTGATCTCCGAACCCCGGTTCGTCTCCTGCACCTCGAATGTCCCAACGGTTGGCCTTCCTCCCGGTGCAAGCTTGAGCAACGGCATGCAAACGCCACCGATCCCGCCTATGAACCCTCGCCGTCGCCGTCAGACTACCACGCAGACCATCCTCGGTGCCCTGAAGGGCGAAAGACACGAGTCGCAGTATGCTCCGTCTCTGGATGCCGCCATGATGGAAGAAATAAGCAATTTCTCCGATGATGGCGAGAAGCGGCCCCGATCCCGAGCCCGGCTGCGCAAGACGTCTAGCGAGGGGGGCAACCTGAATGCAAAGGCTCGACAGCAGCTTCAGCAGCTCATGGCAGAGGCGCCCCCTGCCGTTCCTTCTTATCCCCCGCCAAAGATCCCCATGGATGGCGGGATGTTCTAATCCTTCCTCCAAACCCCTCATTCGATCCTTTTTCACTCAGCCCTTCCTTCACATTTCCTTTTCCTTTTTTCCTTCCTTCATTACCGTTCTCCGACCATGATGTATTACTCGATGTCCTGAACCAGCATTCTGCATTCTAATGTTCGATACCTCTCGTTTGGAATTCTCGCATACATCATGATATACCAACAGCGTTACGTTGAGCGGACAGGACATGACTGTCATCTTTTTCCTATGCTTGTGTGATCCATTCTTTCTGTCTAGCGATTTCATTGTGTTATATCCAGATTAGAAGACTCCTATAATCAGATAGGTAATAAGCAGAAAATTGACCATAATTCGTTCCCTACATGATTTCGATGATTTGAATAGCATTCCTTGATCTCCTCTCCGCTTATAAGACAATTAGCTGTTCCTCACAACCTCCTTCTACTCATTCTCCCCCCCCCTCTCTAGAATCACACAAAAGCTCAGCCCCACCAAGTAAGTGAACCCGGTCACTGAAAGAATCGCATCGTTCACCCCTCGCCCTGCCAACCACCTGGTACTATACTCACAATACGAGAGCGGGGATCACGTGTATCACTCAATCCTCGGCATGCAGGTATTCTACAGCCATGAAAAGCAACATGTAGATGAACATGATACTCCCTTTCCCTATACTCACACAAAGAAATAGAGGTTACATACTCATATAGACGTGAATTTTGCTCTACGAAATGCACAAAATCAGATAGTCAGTGCTAAGGCCCGTTTTCTTCCCTACTTAGGCCATGATGCCAACGATACTAACATGATACGCACCCCCCCTTCAAATGATACGCAGCTAAACCCCATCCATGCGTTGCAGTGAAGGAGAAGAAAACGACAAAGCTTTGTTTACTTTCTATCTACTAGAAAGGTCACCTAGTTCACAAATTCTCTCTCTCTCTCTCTCTCTCTCTCTTTCGTGTTTCCCTTCCCCATCTTCCTTGATATCGTGTTCTCCTTTCGAATAACTTTGAAAGCGAAAAAATCTCATCTCGTTCGTTCATCGTTCTTGCTGCTATTGTTGTTGTTGATGGACTTTGGTCTTTCACACGTCATTGCATACGAAACATTCTGAACTTATCTTCCTTGCTATTTTGTGCCGTGAAGCGAAAAGAAAAAGCTGGTGTTGTACGCCGGTAGAGAGAGAAACAATACTAGTATGCAACGACGCGGTTCCTTCTGCACGTCGGAGTTGCCTTGCTTCGTTGAATCGTTGGATTGTTTCTTTTCTGTGTCCCGGACGGGTGACAACCTGATGGGACCGAATATTCGTCGGACGAGGTCTTCGGACCCGGTCCTGCCTTCTTTGCCTCAGGTGGATGGCTCTGGGGAGAAACGCAAGGTGAAGAAAGCGAAGTCGAAGAAGAAGAGTAACAAAAGTAAGAAGAATAAGGGTAAGGGGAAGAGTGTCGGTGGTGATGGTGAGGTGGTGGGTGTTGCTGCTGCTGCCCAAGAGGAGGTGGTGGTGAAGGTGAAGGTGCAGGTTGAAGGGGATTGTGGTGAGGGTGTTGAGAAGGGCCAGAGTTGTTCACCTCCGTCTTATGCCAGTTTTGCTGGGGATCAGATTGTGGACGAGAAGACCAAGACTGCGTCGGAGATAGCTCATGCTGCTTCCCTGAGAGAGCGCATCTTGGCCGCGCTGAGTGTCTCGCGTGGTGATGAGCGTGCTGGTCCGTCCGGTGCGAAGGAAAGACGTGACACTGATGCATCGGCTACCAAGGTTCAGTCGGGCGGTAGTGGTATCGACAATGACCGCACTGCTAATGCTGCTGAGGGCAGTGCGAGTCCTGAACAACGTGCTGCAGCAGATAAAAACCCCACCGCTGGCAATCCGAACCCTGATCCTTTTGCCTCGCTCGCGGACGACTCTTCGGAAGGCACAGTCCGTCATATCTTGGGTGGTCTCGATATGGGCCACGACTCCTCTTACGCTGACAGAGAGGCCTTGCTTTTCTGTCAGGTCCACGGACGCCCACTCTGCCGATTTGACCCGTATTGCTGCGTGCATAAGCCTCTGACAGGCTGCGGCTGTCCTCCAAAACAGTCGTGCTGCTGTCTACATCATAGCGGCGATTGCTGCAGTTGCTTGATGACTCGCAAGGCGGGTTTGGCTGAAAATGATGCTGAGACGCCCGGTAATACCGATCAGGCTGTCGTTGACGGTGATGTGGTGGCCGCGGAAGGCAGCACTGCGGGTGGAAAGAAAAGTAAGTTGGATTTTGATGGAACAATTTGTTCGTGATGTGAGACTGACAAAATGCCAGACATGGATGACAAGTTTATCGGCGTGGAAACACTCTCATCGCATTTCATTCAGCTGTATGAGAGACGTGATCTCTGCGACTTTCATTTCCTTGTGAAATCGAGCAACGGAATGTTCCACCCCGTCATAATCCCTGTTCATGTCGCCGTTGTGGCCCGAAGCCCGCTCATCTCTGCGCTTCTACCGACTCCGCTGTACCGGCAGGGACATCGCGAGGTTATTGCTGTGCTCGGCGATCAGGTCAATCTGATCCATGGCTTCGAACACGCGGTCCGTAGCTTGTACGGGATGCCTCTCCTCCAAGGCAAGCGGCTCAGGACTGCAGCCCTGGCAGTGCTGGGGTACGCTGAAGAAACCCAAGGATCATATCCATTCCCAATCAACATCGCCATGGTTGATCTCGCCTTCTCGTACGCCGCATCGGGAGCTTTTCTACAAGTGAACAGCATTCTCGAAGCCGGTGTTCGAATGGCGTTGACCCTTGTTGACTGGGATACAGTCGAACCAATCTTTCATTTCGGTCTCTGCGTTGACGACTTCTCTATTACCTTAGAGGATAGTGTCACTCCGCCAGACTCAGGGGCCGGCAACCCAAGACACGTCGTGACTCGGAGCCGGGAACTCAGAGAAATCTGGGCTCCGCTGCTGGTCAGGGCTGCGCTGGGTTTCATCGTTGATAACATCGATTCTCAGTTCGTCTTGTACCCTCGAGCAGTGAGCATGTGCATTCCGAATCGTATCCCCGAGTATCTTACGGCTGTGCCGGGAATCGCTCGATCAACGCCAAACAGACTGCCGAGACGAGAGACTGTGACCATCTCGAGTGTCCTGCTCAATCTCCCATATAAGCATCTAAAGGACGTCTTCAAGATCTTGACTGAGCGTCGGGTACTATCGAACGATCTTGCCCAGACAATCATTGTCGAGCGGGAAGCACGGCGGCTGAAGGGACTGCGAGCATTGGTCAAGAAAAGCGAGCTGATCGACTCGGAGATACCCAGGGAAATCAAAGAGCTGGGCTATCAAGAGCTTCTCGTGTCCAGAAGTGTTCACTCCGAAACGGAAGGCCCAGAGTCCGTTACGATGGAGATCAGCTTGGAGAGAGAATGGACTGGGTTGGAGGTATCGGAGGCCACTGCAAGCCACACCCTCTCTCCCAAGTGAGAGGGAAGAGAGGGTGTGGCTACGACTTCCTTCTCTGTGTTGTTTGACTTTGTGTGAAGCTGTGGGGGTGAAGAGGTTCAACAGAAGAGGTTCAACAAACGATGGTTGGTAGATGGTGATCGATAGGGGGGATGAGAGGACCAACACAGAGAGGAAGAAGAAGTGTAAACAGTGTAAACACCAGGGGCGAGCGGTGAGTGACAGCAGTACAGTGTGTTTTGATTTTTCTTTTTCGTTTTCGTTTCATCTTGTGGAGGATTTCTCTGTGCGTGAATAGGACTTGCTTGCTTGACGAGGCGTTGCTGGATTCACTGGAAGAGGTGCATGTGGTCATGCGGACAGGATTATCGGACAGTTGTATTTGTTCTGTTTCTGCACGGGTTTGTTAAGATACCAAGTGGATATCATAATCAGGTCATTTCATTCATGCAATGGAAACATCAAATCATGTACAGGTGCCATGGTTCACTAGTCTATCCTTCTATGCCCTGTCTGCCATTCCTATACCAACCGCTACTCACCAGGAGCTTATACACGGCCAATCTTGTCGGGGAATCCAAAATCGAGCCGGAAAGGAGGGAAGACGAAACGCTGGAAAGCATCCTTGGCGGCCAGATCGTTCGTGTATTTGGCAATGGTAGCCATGTCAGTGTCATCAAGTGCAACCAGGTTGCGGTTGCCCTCGATACGAGAAGGGTTCACAGACTTTGCAAGTACGGAAGAACCACGGCTGACTATAAGGCTAGATTAGTGGTTTTTTCCAGGCAGCATTCGATACGGGGATACATACTATGCCAGCTCAGAAGGACCGTGGCGGGATCGACACCCTTCCTCTTCGCAACCTCTACGATAGGCTCTGCCGTCAGCAGCGGACTGCCCGTGCTTCCGAGAGGGCTGTATGCTGTGACATGGATGCCCTTCTCGTTGCAGAAGTCGACTGCCTCCTGCTGGGGGAGACAGGGGTGGTTCTCAATCTGGTTGACGGCTGGGACCACGTCGGAGTTGGCGAGGAGCTCCTCGAGATAGGGCCTGCTGTAGTTGCAGACGCCAATCGCCTTGGCCTTGCCGCTCCCGACCAGCTTCTCCATACTCTTCCAGGTGGTCACATGGGAGTGGTTAAGATGCAGGTCCCGAGAACCGTCTGGGAGGGTCGGGATGTTGGGGTGGTTCCCTTTGCTGCGTCAACATGTGCATTCTCGTATTCTTTCTGGCTGGGGACTCACCATTAGGGTTCATGGCAACGGGCCAGTGGACCAGATAGAGGTCGACATAGTCTAAACCCAGGTTCTTCAAGCTCTGGTCCAGACCCTCTTCCACTCGATAGTGCCATGTGCTCCACAGCTTGGTGGTCACAAAGAGGTCCTCTCGCTTGACGACTCCAGAGTCAATGGCGGCCTTGATGCCCTTGCCGACTTCACCTTCGTTGCCATAGGCAAAAGCGGTATCGATGTGTCTGTATCCCACCGAGATGGCGTGCGCCACGGCCTTTTCAACCTCTCCGGGACCCGATTGCCAGGTTCCTAGACGAAGATTAGCTAGAGCTTTCTGATGATTATCAGGGAAAGTAGTGACATACCGAGTCCGAGGGCGGGAATTTCAGCCCCGGTGTTCAGCTTGAAGCGGGTGTCTGCGACGGTAGTAGTTGATCCCATTTTGGCGGTATATAAAGAGCAATGGATTGGACGACGAATGCAAGGTCTGCGCGAGGGAATAGAAGAAGAGAAGAGAAGAGAAGAGAAGAGAGTAAAGACGAAGCGAAGGGAGGAGGGAAAAAGAAGAGAACCCCCACGCGGGGCATTTCCCCGCTATTCGGACCAAATGGGGCCGAGTCACTTTCTCTGCCTCGCCTTCTCTGCTCCGAGTCAGGTTTTCACAACTCCTCTCAAGTCATTTCCATCAACAAACTCACTATCTCCATCTATCTCATCAGAGCTACCCAGCTTCATTGAACCTCCTTTGTGTACCTCAACCGTTCACACGCCGACTGGCAGAGTACAGGAGTAAGCCAACTGCATCCCTCACACGGCGGGAAGTTCAGTGCTCCAAGAGTCGATAGCCGTCGTTTCGCGTCACCACAGCTCCACTCTCAGGGACACCGAACCAGAACACGCAAGTGACTGCAAATCCGACCAGGCTCGATGGTCGATCGTAGGAGCGTCAAGTGATGATCGGATCAAGATTAGGATCAGGCACAACACTGGCCAGCGACCATGACAATGATCGCCTCAATGACTCCCCCTGCCAGGGATGCTGCAGAAAATCCCAGTCCCGTCCAGACTGCAACTTAGCAATGAAGGGGATCTCTTTGGTCGACGCCGGGCCGTGCGTGAACCCGCGGCTCGTCCGCCGTCGGAAACCAGTATCCTAAAGGACGCCCACCGCAGCAGCCAAGCCGTGGCTGGAATGGGATGATTTCACTTCTCCGCAATGCTGAGCGGATCCGTTGGATCCAGATCTGTACGACCGATCTTGCCATGTTCCACAACGGTGGGGATGACCCCCAGAGGCGTATCACCGACTTCCCTCTGTTGCGGAAGCCACTTTCCGGCTCCAGACTTGCTCGCAGGCTACGGCGCCAAGGGCTCGAATATTATTGATTCTCATCGGATTTCTAGAATCACACAACGTCATCCACACAAAATGCGGGCTTCGGGGGTTCGGAAATACCATACCTTTTCGGCCACCTAGTGCATGATCATGTATTTATGCTCCCTCTCCTCGAGCGGTTTCTCTCCCAGCAACAATCCTCAGAGCAGCACATTGATACCCCCAAGCTCAAAGCCCAATTCTTCCACATTTCCCTCACACATTCCATCACAATGGCACCAGTCGCAGTGTCCTCCGAAGCCCCGGTGTTCAACACCAAGCGTGACGGACAGGCTCTCGAGGAGCTGTCGGACGCCATCGATACCGTCAACGTCCTCAAGGACAACATGAAGAAGGAGAAGGGCTTGTACGAGGAGTCCGAGTTCGACAAGAACAAGGACAAGACCAAGTTCCGCCAGTATGAAGATGCCTGCGACCGGGTCAAGAACTTCTACAAGGAACAGCACACCAAGCAAACAGTGGCCTACAACCTTAAGGCCCGCAACGAGTTCCACTCCAAGACCCGCGCCGAGATGACCATCTGGGAGGCGATGGAGAAGCTCAACACCCTTATCGATGAGTCCGACCCCGACACCAGTCTCTCCCAGATTGAGCACCTCCTCCAGTCCGCCGAGGCCATCCGCCGCGACGGCAAGCCCCGCTGGATGCAGCTGACCGGTCTTATCCACGACCTGGGCAAGCTGCTCTTCTTCTTCGATGCCCAGGGCCAGTGGGACGTCGTCGGTGACACTTTCCCTGTTGGCTGTGGCTTCGATGAGCGCATCATCTACGGCCGCGACTCTTTCAAGGACAACGAGGATTACGGTCACTCCATCTACGACACCAAGTTCGGCATCTACAGCCCCGGCTGCGGTCTTGACAACATCATGCTCTCTTGGGGCCACGACGAGTACCTCTACCACGTCGTCAAGGACCAGTCCACCCTCCCAGACGAGGCTCTGGCCATGATCCGCTACCACTCGTTCTACCCCTGGCACAACGCCGGTGCGTACCACGAGCTGATGAACGACCACGACAAGGAGATGTTCAAGGCCGTCAAGGCCTTCAACCCATACGACCTGTACAGTAAGAGCGACGATGTCCCCAGTGCGGAAGAACTGAAGGTGAGCTCCCCCCCAAACAAACCTCCAACTCACAAGGAACCAAACACATACTAACAATCTCAAACAGCCCTACTACCTCGACCTAATCAACGAATACTTCCCCAACCCCGTGATCAAGTGGTAAACAAGGAACCGATATGATGTATGATTCTAGTTGATACATGTATTGCTTCTACTTATACCTCTTGCTATTTATTCCCCTTTCTCAACACCAGCATTCACGCAAGCGATGATTTACGAACAACCCTACTTATATACTCCCCGAATCAAACAAAAGGATTGATTCCCTCCTTGTCTCTTCACCTTCTTTCTCCTCCTTAGTTACATTCTGATTCCGTACCTGAAGTAAGCACCGTAGATCATATCCTACAACGCCTCGACGATCACTAAGACTACCCCTCCCTCATCTCGTATTCACGCGCGGCTAAGAACTTAACCTTAGCCACGTACCACGTAGGTACCTACTTACTCAATGGACGATCAATACTACACAAACCAATGGGGAATCCGGCTTTGACCCAAGAATACCTACTCCGTATGTAAGAGTAAGACGTGGCTCGGAAACAAGGTCCCGAATCGATCGGTCGGTCGCCACGAACGGGGAATGCTACCTTGCCGGAATTGGAAGGGTCGAGATTGGTTGGTTTGATTTGGTGGGGCTGAGGAGCTAGGGAGCTGTGCATGGCACTAGATAAGTATCTATGCAGTGAAATGTATGTAGGTAGGTACGGAGTAGTAAGCTAGATAATGCAGAGTACCTAGATAAGGGAAATAGATGTAAGGTTTGAGATTCCTTTTTTCTGGGCAGGGGAAAGGGGAATAAGATCTTAGGTGGGCGTTGATTGTTAGTCCTTGTATGGTGATATGACGTAGTACCTGTAAGAGCACTGTGTATGTGGCGAGTGCTGAGAGTGGGTATAAGTATACTACTATGTATGGGTTGAGTATATCGGATTCAAGAACAGCGAATGCGCTTTTCATTAACATGGACTAGTCGTAACATGGATCTATCGTGGTCTATCATCTCTAAAGTCTTGACTTGGGAATCCGCTCGCCAGCCTCGTCGAAGAAGATCTTCTCGCCGGTGATCAGGGATTCTTGAAGGGCGCTGCCGATGCGGACTGCCTGGACCGCACCCTCGAGCTTCAGGGGGACAGGGGTGTTCTCGAGACAGCAGGCCGTGAACTCGTTTGCCTCGGTGACGAAGGCATATTCGAAGCGATCGTAGTAGTGCTGGGGAATCTCGCGACGGACTCCGTTCTCGTCGAAGATGTTGACCAGGTTCAGAGCGGGCTGGGTGTTTACTGCCAGCTTGCCCTTGGTACCGATGATCTCGGTGGTGTCTTCCTGGCCAGCGGCCATCATGCGCGAGGCGTAGAAGTAGGCGATCTTGCCGTTGTAGAACTCGACCAGGCCGACGGCGTTGTCCCGGTCATTGTGCTTGCGCAGATCGGGCTCAACGGCTGTGATACCCACCGCGGACACGGACTTGACCTTGCTGTCTTGTCCGAAGAACCACAGGGCCAGATCGATATCGTGGATGGAGCAGTCCACAAAGATACCTCCGGAGAACTCGGCGTAGGCGACGAAGAATCCCGTCGGGTCGAGCTTGTCGCAGGTCTGACTACGCATGACGGCGGGGGCACCAATTGAACCGGCAGACATCTTGGTGTACGCATCACGGTAGGAGGCATCGAAGCGGCGGGAGAAACCGCACATGACTTTCAGGTGGGAGTTCTTGGAAGCTGCGTCGAGGACGGTTTGGGACTATGATCGGACATGTTAGTCATGATGGTAGGGTAGGGTGGGATGGGGAGAAGGGCGAGACATACAATTTCGACACTGGTTGACAGAGGCTTCTCACAGAGAACGTTCTTGCCGGCCTCAATGGCCTTGATGGCCTGTTCAGCATGCACGGCTGTTGCGGACGCAACCACGACGGCCTCTAAGCCTTCATGCCTCAGCATGTCGTCATAGTTCTTGTATAGCTTCACTCCGTAAGGAGCAAGGTGCACCTTGCCCCATTCCAGCTCGGTGTCATCTGGGGTGCTGACGGCAACCAGGTCCGCGCGGGGAGTACGTTGCAAGAAGTTGAGGGCGTGACGCTTGCCCATGCGGCCCAGACCGGCACAGCCAATCTTCAGCTTTCTGGCAGACATTGTGATGATAGAGGATTGTATTGAGGGAGCAGGGGAAGAATTGGGTTGAGGGAGGGCTTTGTGTAATCACCTGAGGAGGATGAGAGTAGAATTGAGACGATTGAGCAATGGAACACAGCGAGGACGAGGAATTTAACCGGTGCGACGACCCCAGCAAGAGTCGGTCTAGCTTGCTCGGACGAGATGCGGAGAAGCTGGAGCTGCCAAGTACTGCCTCAGCTCGTTGGCCAAGCATCGCCAGCAGCGCTGCTCCATTGGCTGGCTCCGGTGGATCGCTGCTGCGACCCCGGATATCATCCTCCAGGCGGATCCTCTGGGTCGGAACACGGTCGGAAATGGGGTTCCTGAAGGGGAAGCATTCGGAGCACCAGGCAGTCGGGCTTCCACCGTGATAAAATGGACCTGCCTCCTCGTGAGGGGATTCAGTGCCAGGCAGCGTGCAATAATTCTCCATCCAGGAAGTGCACTTCCGGTTTGAGCAGAACTGCCCAAAGGGGATACACGGGGCGATTTCCCCCGCCGGGGTTGGTCCGCGGGGATTCTTCCCTTTTCCGGGGTCAGGCCTGGGGTTGGATTTACTCCTCTGTACATCCATCCCATGAGGTACTCTCCTGGCTGGCCAGGCACCTACATGCTGTTGCAAAATGATTATCTGCGATAGGATATAGAGTCTACCATCCATCAAAGATTCGGTTCCCATTGGGATGTCTCTCGAATCTCGATGGGATGAGGTCAAGTAAGGGTAAGTTGTGGAGAACCGATAGGTCGGAACAAGGCCTAGCTGGTATAGCATAAAGTTGAGCGGCTTTCCAACACCATCCATTGTAGTGTAACGGCTATCATACCTGTCTTTCACACAGGAGATCGGGGTTCGATTCCCCGCAATGGAATCTTTTTTTACTTTGCCTAATCCTTTTTGCACTTCCACATGGTCAATTGGCAATTGTTCCATTCCAACCCGCTAGTTGACAACCACAGAAACCCTGGCCTGGCCAACCTTCCCACTGCCCTTGACCCCAGCCCTACTGTGAGGTCTCGCCGCCTTTCCGACCGCCATACAAACCGTTCGCATTCTGCCCAGATTCCCGATAACGACTGATAAGCCATTTCTCCTCCAACTCGAGCACCCATCTATGGTGAATCTTCAACAACTTCACCATGGCGACAAGTAAATATCTCTTTTGCCCCTCTTTCTGAATCAGGTATCTTTTGTTACGACCTCATCATACCGCGTTTTCACCACACCCTCATCTGACCTTGACCTTCATCTCATCGAGGTCCTTATACTCCTTTCGTCTCAACTTCCACCTCTCCCACACTTACCTTTCGCACCTTCTCAATTTTGAGTCTAGCACCTCACAATGGATAGTGGTGAGTGCCCTCCCACTAAATCCCCAATGACGCGTGGTTCAAAATTGCAAGGGAGATTCAAATGGACCCGCGAAAGACTCATTTCCTACCTCGGTGGAGATGAGAACGATCTGGGTATCCTCAAAGTCGAACTGACTGACCTGCTACTGGAGCACGACAAGATGTATCTTTCCTGCAGAACCAGAGACGGCAGAGCCCAACAGAGAAAGTTCATCTTAGCCAATATAACCAAGATCCGACCCTATGTCCAAGACTGCAACCTCCGACGTTTGGAAGGTCTCATGGGATTGGCCCGCGTAGTCAAGAGAACCTACAAGGCGGGCGAGCGGTACAAATCGGTTACTGCACAGATGAGCCAGAGCCGCCAGGATGATGGAGAAAAGAACAATGGTACAGAGGGTGAACTGAAGGACAAGACCGACATTGTCATCAATACAGCAACCGAGCCCGGACCCGAGCCCGAACCTGACGAACCCAAGCAGGGAAGTTCCGTTGATGATGCTAGGATACTGCCCCGACGTGATAATATAGAGGTAGTCTATATCGACGAGGACACAGTCAATACTGAGACTATTAGAAATGAGGACTCTGTTGTCGTTGTCCCTCGCAGCGATGTCGAGATGGTGTCTAGCACCACATTGGTTCCCATCAAGCCTGACCATGAGAAATTTCTGAATAACATTGAGGAGCAACCTCTGCACAACGATATCGAAATGATATCCACCACCACTACATTCGATACCCGAGAGCCATTTAAACCTGGTCATGATGATTTTCTCAACACTGTTGAAGAACAGATTTTACCTAACGATGTCGAAATGCTATCCTCAATCCATAACCGAAATCCCATTGAAGCAACCCATGAGGACTATATCGACACTGCTAAGAAACAAACCTTACCCAAAGATCTCGACATGAGATTCGCCACCACTACATTCAATACTTGAAATTCCATCGAACCAAGTCATGAGAACTTCATCAACACTGGCGAGGAACAATCCCTACACAACGATGTCGAGATGGTGTTCACCCCCATTCCCACCCCTACCCCTACCCCTACCTTGAACACCCCCAAGCCCAACCAACCCATCAAACCCAAACCCCAACTCCCCCGAACCATAGCCAAAGCCCGGAATCTCCTCGCCAAAAGACAAGTCCCAACCCACCAATTTCCAGATTTTGGCCTCAACCTCCTCGCTCGGAACATCTGGGTCGTGAACGAGACAGATCCCAACAGACACGGATTATGTGCAATCCAGGAACTTCAAATCGGGCCTTACTATCCCACTGACAGGATCCCATGTCTAACTGACCTCAACTTCATCGAATGGGTGATAACTACAAAGGAGCAGTGTGGTTACAACGAGGAACTCCATCGCTTGGAGTATCGGCCTTCGGCTACGGTTTCCCCCTTGGTGGTGTCGGGTCAGGTCCTCACCGTGCCTGTTGTCTCGTTGAGACAGTGGCGTGGTGCGCTGAATGCGCAGTTACGGGATAACCCTGATAGGGATCCGGTGTTTTACTTGATTTTTAAGTGTGAGTTGGTTGGTTAATTGTTGGGTTCTTTGGGTTGGTAGTTTGGGTTGCTGACTGTAGTAGAATTATGATTCATCGCGACCTGAGTCTCTGGATTATGGTGGTGATGATTCTATGTGATGGGGGCATGAAAGGGGTTACCCCCCCCCCCGGTACAGAATGATTGTCACTCGTCCGAGAGACGGCAGTGACAGCTGGGAATAAACTCTCATATGATATTAGCTATCAACACCGACTGTTGCCCTTCTGGCAATTGATAATTCCTAATTACATACCCATTATCGCTGTAAGTAAAAAGATATAAACATGGCATAAAAAATACAAAGAAAGACGAGGTCATAAAACATGCTAATAGAGTAAATAGTAGATACCACAAGCCAAGCTCCCTATGTCCCTCATGCCTCATTCTCAGCCTTCTTCTGCGCTGCCGCTTTTCTAGCCTTCTTTCTCGCGGCAACCTCAACCGGGTCTGCGAACCCATCACCCTTCAACCAAGCCAGGGCCTTTCTCACGCCCTTACCCTGGACTGCGGATGGTCTAGTCTCGAGAATAGCACCCATAAGTGCCCACGCCAGCACGATGATGCACAGTTCGCCGCCTTTCCACCCCTTCCATAATCCGTGCTTGACACCTGTCTTCCAGGCCGAGTCCACGGCTGCCCGGAAGAAGTACATGAAGATGCTACGGCTGTTTCCGAGGAAGGCAAACGGCACGCCTGCAAGTGCGCCACTAAGGAAAAATCGTTTGGCGGGGAGGATGGAGCGCGGAAGCAGGCTGTTCCAAAGGCAGATGCTCCCCCATGCGGAGCCGCTAGAAGCGGAGAGGATGGCTGTCAAAGTGATGATTTTCGTGGAAAGTTTGTTGATTGACGTGATGGGCTCCGTCATCAGGCTCTTGATGTTGCGCAAAGACAGGGCTAACGTCACAGTGGTTAAGGAACGGGCAAGGGGTGGAACTGAGAGGAGGATGTGATGTAGGAAGGCGGTGCTGCAGCTGGGACTGGTCGGGTGGAGCAAGGCGCATGACAGACTGGAGATAGCTGGATGGGCAGGGCCAGTGATGGGTGAGATGGATGCTAGTGAAGACGGTAGGGTGTTCGGACTTCCTGGGTGTAAGATGGGTGAGGCAAATGCGCTGGTAGAGGGTTAGCTGGGTAATATCATGGATAGAGGCAGCTGCTGAACTTACGGCCACCGGAGGTTGGCAATGTTAGCCAGCGAATCAACCACAGCTTCCTTTTCCGGCCATGGGATTTCCAGTGGCAAAGAATCGGGCCGACCACGCACGTAGCTGGGGGAGAGCCTCAGGACAACGTTTCCAAACCACTGTTTGTTCGAGTCAGGATATGTTTTAGATAAACCCTAAACAGCTTCGACGAACCTTGGGTGTAGTCTCACGATCGAACACAAAGGCATGGAAGAGCTGTGCGCACGCAACCGGCATTAACAGCCAACTTCCGAACCACTGTGGTCGATTCTTGAACCAGCCCTTTTCCTCCAATGCATTGAACAGGAATTCCAAGCTACGCGTAGCTGTGTAGATGGCCGCTGTTAGCCGGAGCTGATTCTGCGGACAGATCCCCAGCGCAAACCCCGCGATACTTGCTCCGACGGCGGGCGCATAGCGCGAAGTCAGCGCCTTGGAGATCCGCGGGTTACGGTCCCGGAAGGGTCGTGCATCGTCTGTGCGAAGGTTTGCGCGCAACTTGACGAAGAAGCGATAGAGGAAGCGGTGAAAGAGAAGTAGAAGCGACAGAGAGATGGAGAGGCGGAAATTCGGGGAACGCACAAGAGAGGTGCGCGATGTTGTCTTTCTACACAGCGTGCCGAACATCAGTTAGGCTGCTATCCCAGACATCTGGGAGGAAACTCACTTGGATAGGTCACCGCGGACCCTGTCGGTCACGACGTCAACGAGCTTCAACAGGGAGCTTGACAGGACAAAAATGCGCAACGAGGCCCGGACCGCGGCTTCATTGTGCTTATTTTTAGAGCGAACGATAGCCTCGAATCTTGAGGGGGAAGGGAGCTTGTTCCGAATGGCAGAAGGGGATTGCTGGATGGCGGACTCGTGGAGCAGCTTGTATTCCTTGGCGCTGAGGGAAATGCGGAGAGCGTTGCGAACCACCGCATGGCAGTCGGGGTTGGGCGTGGAGTCGGGCGCCATCGTGCGGGAATTTCTAGCAGCAGCGGGTCATATACGTGGGTCTCGGCAATTCATTCATTCAGAACACATTATTATGAGTCAGGGGATTCTGGTAGAGACACCAAAAGCAAGGGACGGAGAGAGAACGAGAGAAGAAGAGGAATAAGCTCCAGCGTCCGGCGGATTTCCAGCTGGCGGTCCTGCGCTCGTGACCTCGGCTATTTCTCGCTATCACCTGCAACTCCCCCGATTCCTTACTACTTATTCACCATCTAGATATACCACGGACACTCTCTTTGCCCCTGCTGCCATGCAAAATGTAGAACAATATTATTACCATGAAAGCAGACCCTGCTGGTCCATGTTTCCATCGCGAGTACACGACAAATGGTACCTGGGGGGAGAATAGACAAGGAAATAATGCTACACAGAAGGTAAGAGCAAAAATGGGAAGAATAGAAGTGAAACTGAAGGGGGAAAAGAAAGGTGTGGATCGACGAATGATGCCATGCAAAATCCCTTGCCATGAGTTGCGCCATGATAAGACCCCAGAAAACACAAACGGCACCACAAGAGAATCACCAGAAACTGCACCATCCAATCCAATGCTGACAGATGTTCTCGACACTAGTGGCTTGAGCGAGAAGCTTGTCCACCTGGTCGCTGACGTTGAGTTCCTCACTCTGCTTGAAGTCTCTTCCAGTCAATTTCTCCTTGACTCGGGCAAGCACCTGGAGCGCTCGTGCGTTTTGTGCTTCCCTGGCTTCGTTGGGAATCCCCTCCTGCGCATCCAAGATACCACCCTCGAGAATAGAAGGCCGGCGGTGACGCGAGAAGTTGCTGGGCTGGACCCCATGGTCAAGATTGATGTTGGAAACAACCGATTGACGGCGCTCCGCCGAGAATGGCATTCGGTCTGGCGACTCGCGGATCCCTAAACGCCAGTTGATCAAAGGATCGTGGATGAACTGGAGGATTATAAATGAGCAAAGCCATCCTCAACAACGAAATATGAGAGGGCTACAATAGACTTACCGCTTCCAACACAGCCATCAGAGAATCCTTGTTCTCTCTCAGAACACGCATAACCGCCTCACAAGTGATACGGTAACTTCCTTCAATGTTGCTGACTTCCATGGCAAACGTCAACATACGAGTCAACCGGAAAGGCACCCGCTCGGGGTACTTCTCTCGGTGCATTGCCACCTCGAAACAGTCACCGAAGTCGATATGGACCACTTTGCCAGTAACCCGATCCAGAAGCAGGTTAGATGGATGGCGATCGCCCAGGCCGAGGATGTACCCCACCATGGACATGACACCGAGGGAACGCGTGTAATTTGTGCGGCGCTCAAGCCAGGCCTCAGAGCTGCTACTCTTGAGCCACAGGACGCGATATAGGTCCTTTCCAGTGGTATTGTCCATGGCGTATCCAAACACCTCCACTTTTTGCATGAGAGTGAGATTATCATAGTCGGGTGCCATTTGCAGCATGATGCGGTGCTCAATGTTCAGCAGGATTCGTCGACTCTCCCGATATTCCTTGATCAACGCATGCAGAGTGTCACTATTCGAAACCCACCCTAGAATTCCGGAACTCTGGGACAACGGAATAGCAGGGAACCGTTGTACGGACAGGTGCCGCTTGAAACTCTCTCCATCGTTATCAAGGAGGGTGTTTACCAAGCCAAAGAGCTGCATGACTCGTTCGTCTTGTCGGATGTCTTCATGCCCCTTAACACAATACATGTAAGAGTTGCCGTCACTACCCTTCAACGTCATTCTTCGCGGTCTCTTCTTGGTTTGTAGGACATGCAAGATCGGATCGAAGCTGATGATGCGGATGATGGGTCTGCCGCTCTGATATGTACCGGGAACAGCAAGATCAAGATCAACACAGTCTTTGAGTTTGGGGGAGACGTATTTCAAATCAAGCGTAGAGAGCTGTGGAAGCTGCCGGCTGATCTTGCGGAACACCGTGTAGTAGAGATCCCATGCTTGGTTCAAATCGCCGATCTCTTCAGTCTCTCGGTAAAGCATGCAGTAGTGCTTCGCCTCTGCAAGATCGCGACCGAATGCCTGGGCAAAAGACACCTCGCGCAATGTCTCAGCTCCCTTATCAAGCATTTCATGTAGAGGTGCTAGAGTTGCAAACATTCCTTCCACATTGTGATCGCCAAAGTAAAGTCGAGAGGCTTCTTCTAGGCCTTCATGCCAAAGTTCGTGCCACAAGACCGCAACTCGAATCAGCTCATGACTTACAACGTCGGCCTGCTCCACGAGTTTGGCACTGTGTTGCCGCATGCTGTCCATAATATTGCTGGCGGATTGCGATCGCCGAGCAACATTAGACTTCATTGCAACTGTCAACGGATATACCAAGGCCTGAGGATGTACCTTGCCAACCTCAGCCAGTAGCCGATGAACCGCACTCCTGACTCTGATATTAGGTTGGTTGATGCGAGCTATGAGTTGAGGTGTGACTGCAAGCCAGGTATCAATGTTCACTGCCGTGAAGCCCTCTGCGACAACGCTGTTCACTTCTTGGTCGCCACCATGGGTGAACCAAAGTGTCAGCAATCGTAGTGTGTCCTGCAAGGACGAGGTTGACGAAAGTGAGATGGACCTGAGGAAGCCGCGAAGAGCAGGTATTACGTGCTCCGTCACAATGTGGCCGGGGACCATGGCCATTGTCGTGCCATCTCTGCTGGCTTGACTAGCGATTGTTGTAACAACTTCAAAATTGGCCAAGGCCCACGAATGCCACGCCTTGTACGAGTCGCGATTGTACTTGGTCGCAGCAGCATATGCGTTGAGCACTTCGCGAACATGTTCCGGTCTCCAATCGCCTCGTTGCAAGGTTGTCTGCCATTCACCTTGTCTGAGGTAGCTCTTGGCAAGTAGCCTTCTGAACTTAGCAACATCACCGATGCGTTCACGCAGCCCCATGACATCTGCGTGGTTTGCATCCGCAATACCATTGACCCCATTCACCCCGTTGACCCCGTTCACCCCATTATGATCCGGCTGCGACATCATGAGGGCATTGAACCGTGTGAATTCTTCCGTGAGGCTTGAAGTGAATTCTTTCAACATCTGAAGAGCATCTCGTTGGCGTCCGGTAGCCCAGTTGAACTTTAACCGAGCATAGGTAACCTCCGGCGGAGCAACTGCCCGTGTGCCATTGCTGTCAGAAACAACGGTTTCCAGTGATGCGAGCGATCGCTCGGCGAGACCCATTCGGTTGGATTTGCGGCACAGATTGGCAAACTTGATCCACATGTCGAGATTCTCTCGAGGGGACGTAACAAGTGCCCTGACCTTAAGCATGCGCTGCCATACCTCCACGTTCTGTTGGCACCCCAGCAGCCGTTTGTTCCATGTTTGTCGCATCGAGTCCTGCTTCTCCGGATCGCCGATATTTTGCTTGTAGGTAATGATCTCCTCAAGCTCAGCAAGCATCTGGACACGTACAACAACATTATAGGCACGATTGTATGACTCTCCCAACAATGCTGAAAGTTCGGTGTCCAAACCATTGCGTGCCTTTTCAATATACATGGTTGCCTCATCGAACTGGTTCCGGTGGATGGCAAGAATGGCGCCGAAGAAGGATCGATCTGGCGACTGCTCCTTCATGACGCCGAGATAAGAATCCATCAATTCCCACTGACCGCGACCCCAGGCAGCCGCTGCTGCTAGAGGTGCAATAGCCCTGCGATGCTCGAGGGATGCCTGATTCCATTTTTCCTGGGCGAGGTCAGACAGCACCTTCCACTCACCAAGGGCGTGAAGACACCGCATCTTGCCCATTGTGACTCCGAAGGAGTCGGGATCAATCTTTTCACGCCGTTTGTATGCAGCAAGGGCTTCCTCCCAACGCTGAAGCTTCTCGAACCAAGTTTCTTTGAGCTCCACATCTCGGTACGCCTGAGCCTTTCGCAGAATACCAATAGCGGCATCAGATTGCTGAAGTTGGTTATTGATGGTAATCAAAGCCTCCACTGCGCCTGAGTTCTGGTCTTGCTCAAACTCGAGTTCCTTGTAATGCAAAGCCTTTGCGAATGCGTGACATTTAGCGGCATACTTGCCAAGAGTGCGGATATCGATGGGAAGGGCCTTGTCATCATGTTCCATGAATTCTGCTAGATTAAGAAGAACCTGCAGGATTTCGGGAGGGATATTTGGCGAAGTCAGAGCCTTCTCGATTGAACGGACAAGCTCTTCTTGGTACTGGTCATACAGCTCAGTCCAACAAGATACGAATGCCGCATTGAAGAGATCCCTTGCTAGTGGTTGGTAGACACCAGCCAAACTAGCGCATGCTCGCAGGGCTGGAGAAGGTGATTCTTTCAGTAACTCCACACTGAATCGTCGGATCCATTCCTGCCAGTCTTCGCGTGTAGACTTCTGGGAGGCGTCCCAAGCGTTCTTCAAGTGCTGCTGGTTGACAACCATCTTCTTTTGCCCAATCTCGGCGTAGTTGGTATCATCAGCCAGCGCCGCGTAGTTTTCATCGGGATTAAGATCTTGTGGAAGCGGATCTCCCTTTTGTAGCTTGGTTACCAAAATGTGGTAGTTGACATGGCTTATCTGATGGTATTTCAGAACCTTGTTCAGCAGGTGTATGTAGTGATTGAAGTCCTGGCCAAGCTGGAAGATCAGAGCACAGATGCAGTCCATAGCAGCTTGCCGTAGCAAGCGATCGTTACCTGCAACGACCCGGGATAAAGAATGAACCATCAATGATGCGAAGTCCGAAACATTGACCTGCCGCGAGAGTTTGGTGAGCGTATCGATTGCAGCCTTCCGAATGTTCTGTGGGTTTTGAGTCCTGTCAAAGAGGCGGACGATAGAGGGAACAATCAAGTGCATGTATTCCTCTCCGCTCGTACCAAATATCAAGAAGGTGTGGAGAATCCTCTCCGAAGGCTGGCGACGTGCCGTGCTGTCCGTCTCAAGGGTGTCGAGCATCGGGGGAATGAGACCAGCGAGGTATTTCCTGAATTCGCCCTCCAATGACTTGGCGATTGCCTCCACGAGTGATAGGATTGTGGACTGCACTTGGTAGGATGCGGCCCAGAATTCTCGGACGACCTCGATGATCTCAGGCAAAAAGGCTCGGATGTGTTGCCTCACGATATTGACAAGGATCGCCATCTGATTAAAGTACGATTCAAGGCGACTGACAGGCGATACTCTGATGACGGATATGAAACCGGGTATTATCTGACCAAGGAACGGTACACATTTCAGGCCAAGTGTCTTGAAGATCGTAACAATGGCATCAATGACTGCAGAGTGATGCTGAGCAAGAGAGGTCTCACGCAAAATGTTCTGCATCAGCGTGTTGATGACAACAGTAGGATAATATTCCTCACTGGACGGCGTGAGTCCTTGCATGATAAGAGCAACATCAGATACGGTCTGCACCTCATTGATGTGATGAACTACTGGTGCTGTCTCGCTGATCTGCTGGTATTTGTACGGATCCAATGCTCCAAGAATTCCAAGCAACTTAATAGTCTCTTTGCGGAGAGACCCAGTCTGCTCAGTCTTAATGATATTGATGAGCACAGCAAGAAGGTGGGAATATTCGAGGTATGGGTCAATAACGTAGCCAGAATTGCTGGCCAGCTGGCCTAGAGTTCTCAAAGCCGCTTCTCGCTTGGCATGGGAAGAAAGATCCTGTAAGGCATCCAGGATTATTGGCATCAGCTGTGGTAGGTATGTTTTCATTTCGGTGCCGCCAACGTTCGCGAGTTCACCGACAGCCCTTAGTGTGGTTGAGGCAACGCCGGGATTCGCATCGGTTGCCTTCGGAAGCAGCGTGGTCACCATAGGATCAACATAGGATCTGATGAGTTTTGTTGCATTCGAAACAAACAGACTGATAAGCTGGGCGCTTTCTTCCTTTTGACGCGCAGTGCTTGCAAAGCCAAGACTTGTCAGGAGATTCACAAGGAGTTTACGCAACGGCGGGAATACATAGGCCGGGTTGACACTTGAGAGGCGACCTATGATGCAGATCGCTGCCTCTCTGACGGGAAATACCTCGTCATTGACTGCCAAAAAAAGGCATCGTATGTTTTCCGGTCTGGCCAAATGCCGATCGAATTTCCGATCCAACGACCACAGAACTGTACGTCGGATCTCAGAGTCAGGGTCTCCGACACCAACAGTCAGGAGCTTATCAATAACTTCACTGACAACTTGGATTGAATGGCTGCTTGTCTGGTTGATGATCGGGTCGTGGACAAACAACTGACAGCAAGTAAGTGCCGAAGCTTTTCGGATCTCAGGATTGTCATTCTCAACATAGTTGATTGCCACATCACGGACAAACTCATTGAGGATATGACCCGAGAAGTCGAAACTACCTAGCGTGTGCAGTGCAAGCGCAATTTCCGTGTCGGAGTGCAGCTCTTGAGGAGCGAAGTCTCTCATGAATGAAGGCATTGGAGGTAGCCTGCTCTCCGGGCATCCCAAGGGCCGAAAAGGGGTGCCATAGAGGATCAAACTTAACATGTCCAGCAATTTCTCTTGAATTGTGGGTTTTATTGGTGGAATATAGTGGGCCATGTCGACCAGCGCTTGTGTAAGAGACTCGCTCAGCCCGCAGGCGAATATGGGATCGAGCAATGCTTCCATGTATTTGCTGAGCGCCTGGCCTACGGCTAACGACAGCATGCTGATACACTCAAACATTGGTGCTTCATTGACAGCAGCTCGGTTCCGTCTGCTATACATTAGCTACTCTGAAAGCGAGTCCACATAGGCTGAGGATTCTCTTACGCTTTCATTGCAAGACCCTCCCTGATGTATACAATGATGCCATCGAGATATTGTGCAATAGCAACCCCAACGGCATTTGCGATCTTTCCAATGGCGATGAATGCAGAGTTTCGCTCCTTGTCTCTCTTGAGCTGCGCCTGGAGATAGATCATGAATCTATGGAGATACGTCTCGGTGAAGTCAAGTGGGGCGTAAGAGGCGAGAATCGGAATCGTCAAGACGACTTGGGTGCGAATCTTCGGATCACGATGGTCCTTGAGACGGAGGACTATTTCGCAGGCGTTCCGATAATGTTCGTTCATGAACATTGCGCCCTTCAGAAGAAGCTCCTTTAACACCAACAACGAACCATGTATCCAATCCATGTTGCTGGATTTGAGGCATAAAAGCGCTTCCTCGTATATCCTCGCAAACCACAATTGTCGCACCTGCATATCTCTAGCCGCAATGATTTCAAAACATTCACTAACCGCCTCAGCCGCAGTTTCCCGTATAAGGACCTTGGGGTCTCTCAAAGCGACCCATATGAGCTCGAAGATCTGGGGGACGAAGCCGTAAAGGAGCGTCGGTGAGCCTTTGGCGAGCTCGCGGATAACAAGCACAGCAGCAAATCGGCGGCTTTCTTGCCTTTCTGATTGAAGAGCCTCTAGGGCAGATTGTATTTCGCTCTCCACCAACTCCGCGGTGAGAGCTCCGCCTGGCTTAGCCAAACGGCCAAGAGCCCTGGCCGCATAGATCAACACCGCATTGTCGTTGCTGCGGAGGGCGTTGCGCAAATAACTAGCAAATCGAGTAGTCTTTTGCGCAGCGTCCACTCCATCAAAGTCTATCAGGCGGTCGAGGGCTAGCAGGCCACCGATCTTTTCGTGTGCGTCATTGCCGGTAACCACCAGTTGTGCTATGCGCTGACTGACCGTATTGAAAAACTCAAGGAACTTCTCGGGGGACCAATCTGAAAAAGAGACAAAGAATCAGCGCCAGCCAGTATGTGATCCAAAGCGACATTTTACCTCGAGAGATAGCAACAACGTTGTCATAAAGCTCGTAAGCGGCTCGCACCCGTGTCTCCTCGTTCTTGGACTTCAACTCGGCGAAGAGCCGATTAGTAAGGTCCGTAATAGGAGCTGCTTGCGCCATTTTTGCGAACCACACCCCAGGGTGGACATTTGAAGTCAACCTCTAGGGCATGAAAGATGACACAAAGTGAGCATGGGCAAGAAAGCCGTTGACGGGCGGCGTTCAGTGATGCGGGAGGTGAGGTCGAGGGCGTTCGGAAATTGGGCACGGACCAACTCCGTCTGGCCTGGGGCATCCGATGGTGGCGGCTGGGTGAGGTGTTTTCTGCCTCAGAACCTACATTCACCGTCCCTGAATGATTTATGTTTGCTGGTGACTTTTCTACACGCCGTTTATTCCCTTCATACTCTGTACCTTTTGCACTCCTTCCTGAGAGAAAACTATGCCGTCAGTGCGCCCAACTGCAAATATGGCCTTGTTCAACATTCCTATCTCCTAGGAAAAGTCCCATGTACACAAGTATCCATCCTTGCATAAGCGGAGGTCTTCTGATGCCTGAAATCTATGTCCTAGATGTCATGGGACTCTCTGACGGTGGGACAATGCAGATCTCCAGCCACATGCATGCGCTGTAGCTAGTATTGGCTCATTGAAGCACTATGGAGTCCAGCACCCGGATATCATATCCTGGCTCCGGCATGTTTACACTACCAAGCGTAAGCAGACAGTTGTCGGCGCTCGCGAATGGCAGATCAAGATACTCCGCTATCTGCCCAAAAAAATATGCTTTCTTGTACAATGCTCATGGAACCTTCGCATGTCATTGGCGCTCGTGCCCTACAAATACGATCCTATGTAAGAAGCCCAATATCCGAGACATTGTGTACGTTGCTTCCATAACAAACAGCACCTCCATCTATGGTGGCTGTTCTTCTTAGCTATACTGCTGCTTAGGGGTTGTACTGTCCTGTCGTGGAGGCTTCCAGCCTGTGAATACTGTTGCATCGTTGTTGGTCGACGGGTTTAGTCTCCGAGGTCGTTCTGAAAAGCTCGCATCAGCTCGACATGATGTAACAATGATCTAGCGGATTTCTAGAAGCCTGGCCTATCTCCACCACTAACCCTTGTATGATATTATAGAGAAACACAAGCGAAGAATTAACAGATCGTGTACCGGTCATATCGGAGACGAGGGCTGTAGCTTACCATGAACTCTAGACTATCAGCTATCAGGAAGCTGAGTTGTAGCGGCTTAAATTGAATTATGACACTATTTTCTTTGTTTAATGTTGTTCATGTGAAGTCTTATCGATTTGTCCTCGGGCTTTAGTCAACCAACCATCATGTTCTAAGGCGCGCAGGGGGGAAGGCCAAATTTAAATATACTTCGTATCAGTAGCCCCTTTTCTACTACTAGACTAAGAACAGTATTCCATGTGTTACTCGGCTCTTTAGAAAATACTCTATGACTGCCAGAGTAATTAGAGTTAAATTGCAGTCATGTGATATATCACTAGGCCCACGCAACATTCACTACCGCCTAACTTGGTCATCTCGAAAATCCTATCCGTAGATGAGATGATACTACCTATATAGTGATTGCAGCCCTGCGAGACACCTGACGTCATCATCTCAAGGGGAAGACCATATCATCCTCCAAAAACTGTCTGCGATTTTCAATTAGAGTCTCAAGCAATTAAGTCATAGAAACACACAGTTTGAGACCCCTGTCAACAATGTCCGAGCGTAAGGTAAGTCAAGTTCGGGCTTCTACCCAAGTGGAAGAAAGTGATGCTCATCTTACTAGATCATTTATTACACCTTCGACAGTCCAGAAAGTTGGCAAAATCATAATAAGAAAGTGACGGAGTGAGTATGATACTTCCAGTGATACCGACTGGTATACTAACGCGGATAACTACCAGAATCATCCAGGGGGATACTAATATTGACAATTGGATTTGCAATAGAGCACTGCCTCCCGCATGCCACCCTCCGTTGGTACTTCCTAACAAAAGATGCGACAGGCTCTCACTGACTATTTTACGTGAATTAGACCCCTGACAACAGCGGCAATCGAAAAGTTGAAGGCACTTGATGGCGTGATTGTTAGTGATGATTAGGGATCAATCTTATTTTGTTTGTCCCTATGAGCGGGTTCAGCGCCGGGCTTCACTCCATGGCTATAGCGCAATCTCTCATCATAGGTCCTGGCCACACTACAGTGGGGCAAGCATCCCGGTAGTAGATAAGCACACAATCGGACTTCAGCGCGATCCAGGCATCATCCGCGTTTCCGAGTAAGCCAGTCGTCAGCGTTTACCGGACATAACGACAATGACTAGCTGGATGACTTCATCTTACCGGAGTTAGCCATATACTTAATTCCAGTGCCATAATTCCGCTCGATTGGAATTTGTAATCGGGGCGGGCGCCTATCATATCCGCACTATAATGAGAAGGGTGGACCTCAGTGGGGGAGATGGGCCCAGGTTTGAAGAGGGGTAACAGTTCGGAGCAAGTATAAATGGCAATGGAAGATCACTGCTTTCCTGGAAGACATTGAACGACACGCCTGCATACTATATAGTAGCTTCAATTGACAACCATATTACAGTAACCATGGGCAAGGTTCTTTTGACTGGTATGCATCTTCACCCTGACCCTCAACGATAGTTGCCAACTATGAAGCTAATAACACTCAACAGGAGGCAGTGGCTTCATTGCTGCTCACATCATTGACATCCTGCTCGCACATGGGTATGTTGGAAATGTTTCTTCTTTGCTCTTAAAACTCACTGACCGGGCTACCCCAGCTTTGACACCGTAGTCACAGTCAGGTCTGAGGAGAAGGGCCAGAGAATACTCAATGCCCATCCCGACACATCAAAGGAAAAGCTTTCCTATGTTATTGTCAAGGATGTCGCCGCAGAAGGGGCATTCGATGAGGTATGGTTCCCTTTTGCCATCTCTTTCCCCAGTGATCGTATTTATGAGAGGTGCTTGCCAATCTCCATGCTAAGACATACATATATATAGGCTGTCAAATCCGATCCGCCCTTCGACTATGTCCTGCATACCGCATCTCCCTTTCACCACAATGTTCAGGATCCAGTGAAGGACTTCCTGGACCCAGCCATCAAGGGAACCACCGGCATTCTCAAGGCAATCAAGGCCTATGCTCCAACAGTGAAGAGAGTCGCGATTACATCCTCTTTCGCTTCAATCATCAATGTCAAGGAGCACCCCAAAGTTTATAGTGAGGAGAATTGGAACCCAGTGACTTGGGAGGAAGCCCTGGATCCCTCTCAAACCTACCGTGCGAGCAAGGTGATACGAAACCTTCCTTTGTTTGCTCCTGCTTAAACTGACACCTGTCTACCTTGAATTAAACAGACATTCGCAGAGAAAGCCGCATGGGACTTTGTCGAGAAGGAGAAGCCGAATTTCGATATCGCAACTATCAACCCGCCTCTTGTGTTTGGGCCTGTCGTGCACTACCTGAACTCTTTGGATTCCATCAACACTTCGAACCAGCGAATCAGTAATTTGATTCAGGGGAAATTCAAGGACGGCCTTCCCCCGACCGTCACATATCTGTGGGTGGATGTTCGCGACGTTGCACTCGCACATGTTAGGACTATAGAGGTCCCAGAAGCTGGTGGCCAGCGTTTCTTCGTCACTGCCGGCACATACTCGAACAAAGATCTTGCGGATATGGTCCGGGAATCATTCCCCGAGCTTGAAGACAAACTCCCTCCGAAGGACTCCCCGAGCGATATTCCGTCAGATGTTTATGGCTATGAGAATAAGAAATCCATTGAGATTTTGGGTATCCAGTACCGAACACTGAAACAGTCGGTTGCTGATACCGCCAGATCATTGTTGGCCATTGGCGCATGAGAGGTATCATGACGCAACGTATGTACTTAGAGCAGATAGGCCAGATGAGCGAAAAACATATTTAAAAGACATTGAACACCACCAAAAGTACGATGATCCCATAGTTACTCCGTACTCAAGGGAGGAAGAGGCTGCACATTATGTGATTGTAGTTCCCCGTATCACGTGGCTTGGCGCGCCTTAGGTTATTGCAACCAAGTTTTCTCCAGCTTCCTCCGGGTATAGAACATCCGTCGAGACACCACATTGCCAAATGCCCGCCATGGCAACAGCCAGGCTATCCCCGACAGCAAATTTGCTGCGGAACTCTCGCCTTTTCGCCCTTCCACAGGCCTTGACGCCACCCCCGACTCCGCCGACCTCGAAATTCGTCTTTGAGTCCGAGACCGCGACCCTTCCTCATCCTATCCGAGCGTCCATTGCCACACCAGCATCTTCTCTGTCAAGGGGAGACTGGGGTCTGAAGAGGCCTCTTCCCGCTAAATCGACACACGAAAAGTCGTCCAGGCCCGTGGTCAGAATCAAGGCACTCGATACCTTCGAACACATCACGGATTTCGAGTCCGCGGCTGATCATACGGTGACCCTGGAGAAATTCCAGGAACTTAATATGCCGATGTCACTTCCCGGGCAAATCCATTACGCAACCGCCTCGACTCCTAGACACGAGAGTCCCTTCGAGTCGCACATTGACAACACACACACCAGCGAAGGCCGTAACGAACCCGGAGCGAAACAGTTCAGACAATCCGGCCCTTGGCTTGCTGGGCAAACGGAGGCCGAGTTCCAGGCATACTTGAAGTCAATCCGGAAGAACAAGCCGGAGATCTTGCAGAAGCTGCGTGGATACTTCGTCGCTAAGCGCGAAGCGGAGCAAAGGAAGCAAGCACAAGATAACGGAGCAGATCTGGAGGCGCTCGAGCCTGTCGAGGTTACCGATGAAGAATTCCAGGCTTATCTCAAGGCCCTGCGTAACGATCAGGCTTCACTAGGCCCTGTCATCTTCGAGCTTCTTGACCTCCCATCCCCGCCCACTGTGCCAACTGAACGAATTGGCAAGCGTGGCTACCCATCCCCCGGGAGCAAGCTCTCGTCGGGGGAATATGCAGTATCCGGACCCCCGAAGACGCATCCCTCGGCGGGTCTTTCTTACTCTAGATCACACGCATTGATCTACAACCATCCTAAGTATGGGCCTCAGGCCTATCAGCGCCCAGTGGAGGCACGTATCTTACGGCCCAAGGGACGGTTCAAGGGCAAGAACTCGAAGGCCATTGCGGGTGTTGCTGGTTTTGCAGTGGAAGACATTAATGCCATGACTTTCCACGAGCAGGGCGCTCCTTACGGCCTTAAGACCTTGGACACAACTACCCCTGGTGGTTCTAAGTACTGGGTCACCCCTATCCGGGCCACCATCGACTCGGCTGGCAAGGTTGGGCTGTTTTCTTACCGCGCTAGCACTACTGCCAAGGCCCCTTACGGGATTGAAAGCCCGAACATGCCTGTGTATTACAACATTACCGACAAGGCTCGGGGCCGTCAGCGCGTGGTTCCGAGATTGGATGGACAGCCGGGTCCCCAAGCGCCTAGGGAGGAGGTTGCAAGAAACCTTATGAAGAGCCTTAGCTCATAAAGCACTGGTGTCCCGTCCTCCAACAATCTTTCATCATGTGCCAGACACATCCACTTAAAGAGAGTTTTGCTGTATGATTAGGTCTTCGGATGGTAAATGTATAGTTGTTTCATTTCTGCTCCTTTTTTTTGTTATAAAGCCGGCTGTATATCATTTGAAGCATAAAACAAATCAATTCATCACCATGTATCGAGAACTATATTGGAAAAGTTATTATCTGTTTACAGCGGGCGTCGGGTTATAGGTAGGAGCTTGGGCCAGCGTTGGCACCAACCACTGATACTATATCTTGGCATGTAGTCACGTGGTTCAATTAGGGCTTACAATCAGGGTGTATATAGGTCACGTGTGGCGCACACGGCTAAGCGAGGACGGGTAACTTGAAGATCGAGAGACATAAGGGTATCTTGGACGGTCTTTCGAACATCCATCCAGCCAGCAACAACCGCCAAAATGGGTCGCGTCCGCACCAAGGTGAGCAGAGAGCACGCCGCCGCAGCCGCCGACGGAAGGAAAATATTGGTTCTAATGATATCGCCGTACAGACAGTCAAGCGTTCCGCTAAGGTCATCATCGAGCGTTACTACCCCAAGTTGACGCTCGACTTCGAGACCAACAAGCGTATCTGCGATGAGATCGCTATCATTGCCTCCAAGCGTCTCCGCAACAAGGTTAGTTCCGAGCGCGATCTGCGCCATGGATGAAGAAAAAAAAAATAGTGGAACAGGAAACTAATGAGAACTCATTCTAGATCGCCGGTTACACTACCCACCTTATGAAGCGTATCCAGCGTGGTCCTGTCCGCGGTATCTCCTTCAAGCTTCAGGAGGAGGAGCGTGAGCGCAAGGATCAGTACGTTCCTGAGGTCTCTGCTCTGGATGTCTCCCAGACCGAGTCCGGCCAGCTCGACGTTGATGCCGACACCAAGGACCTCCTCAAGAGCCTTGGCGTAAGTTCCTCCCATATCTCATGAAGACTGTTGGGAGTTGTATGGCTAACATATTCGCGCTATAGTTCGACAACCTGAAGGTCAACCTCGTCCAGGTCTCTCAGCAGCAGGCCCAGGAGCGCCCCCGCCGCTACCGGTAAATCATTTCGCCGTTGAACGGAAAATGAAAAGTTTCGATTGTCTTCGGTCGCTCCATGGCGTATCCATGCTTGTTCTGGCTGGCTCACCAGCTATCGGTTTAGCTTAGAGAGGCAGTTTCCGGATGAGAAATGAACACGAATTCCGTCGAACAAGGTGTCGCTGATTCCCCATCAGGGGATGATGCTTGATTGCCAATTTTCTTCCATTGTCCGGTCTTCCGGCTGGATGACGTAGAAGAGTCTACGGGGACGGCTGTCTTGCGATGACGCCCGTTTACGGAGATTCTTTCGTAGAATATCAACCTTATGTCGATCTAAATTTATCTGATGCTATCTTATCACCCGGGTATCAACCTTTAAACGCCCCATATATACCAAGTTGCGTCATTTCTGCCATATGCGAGAGCATATCAGTTCTCCTGAGGTACGTACCCTTCGATGGAGCCACCCTTCTCGTCTCCGGGACGCATCTGCGGCGCCATAACTGGACCGTGAGCATTATTATTCTCCTGGACCTGGATATTCACTCTCCCGGTGTAAAGCGCGGGATGGGCATCTCCGCGTTCCATAGCTAGCTCACGTGAACGAGCATCGTCGTGAACAGAGAGCCTTGCAATGTCATCTGCCATATCAGTTGAGCGTTGGGGTTCGTCCACGTGCATGCTGTCTAGTTGACTGACAACCTCTCGGACAGACACCGGGTTTCTTGTTTTGCCCTTGCCTTCCTTGGCCCTGCCCTCTTCGAGCAAGACGAGATGTTTGCCGCGCGCATCGTCTGCTCGTCTTTCCCACACGGGCTCCTCGGCCAGCTGTACTCGTATATACATGGCTCTTTCGGCGCATTCGTTAGAGCACCACATCTCGATCTTTTCTTTCGGAACAATGTTCATCTCGCGTCCGCGACCGCCAGGCCCGCTGCCCTTGGCGCCCCAGGTAATGCGATAAGTGCCTCGGGCATCCTCCTTGCGGTGCTCACGAGGGCACAGACCGTAGCCACAAAGACCTTCGATGTTTCTCTCCAAAATTAAGTTGTCGTAGTCGGCGGGCTGGAAAGGAACCAAGGCAGATTTGAAAGTCCGAGCATCGTCGGGGGACGGAGAGGCAGGATCTGCTGAGGGAGAGGGTGGGAGGGTGACAAGTTCCAGAATGCGGTCCAGGATCAGACCTTCCGTGTCTTTCTGGGCCTGAATCTGGTGCGCATGATGTAAAGCGATCGCTAGATGGCGGGGGTCGGCATCTGGACGGTTTGGAAACGAACCATGTTGCTGGGACGCTTGAGAAATGATGGGTGGCGCTCGTCGATTTGCGGCGGGATTGGAGGGGCCTGCTGCAGTGGACGCCGCGTGAATCGAGGGCAAAGAGGTCTTCAGGACTGGGCGTCCTGATGACATTTTCAGGAAAGGCACAGGCAAGAACAGGTCCGGGGGTGGGAAGATGGTGTGCGTCACAGGTGGAGGTGAGAGATTGTCTTATATGTATGTAGTTGGTAGAAGAATGGATTGGACCAAGTTCGAAGTTTGGTCGGGGCGGCAGGAGGCAAACCCCGGATTCAACAGGCAGGCAGGCAGCTACGGAAAATCTATAGTTCACGCAGTGAACAAGGACAGTGGCACTGTGGCAGGGCTGCACCACGCATGCCCCCGTTACAGGAACCACCCGATACACACATACTACATACTACCAATATCTATCAGGAATTGCACGGCCCCCAGGCGGCTTACATTGAGCATGAAGAATGAACCAGTTGGCCTGGCGGTATCTAGTGGGTGGCAGGATGGTCCTTCTGACAATCTTATTAGCCGCCGATCGCCCCGGGGTGGAGCAAGTGTCCCGCCAGACGGTGACGCCCGTCCAAAGGAGGGCCACTGCTGGGCTGGTGTGAAGTGTGAACTGGTACGCTGTTCCTTACTCCCTCCGTCCTCTTCCCTTCTCTCTCTTCCTCCCTCTCGCCAGTTCCCCTCCCATCATCCATTACCTACTTACTTCCACTTTGTCCTTTGTCTTCCCTTCTCTTGTCTTCCCTCCTAATTCCCGTTTATCGCGGATATTGTTGTCTCCCCTGATTGCAGTAAGTTTGGACATTCCATTTACCTCCCCTCCTCCTCCCCCCCCCTTGCGGTGTTTCCGATCTCCGGAGGGACTATGCTCTGACTACGTCAGTCCACCAGGCTGACATATTACTATTGTTATTTTTCCTGTCTCCGAAGCATACCTCCTTAGCCTTGCCGCTGTCAAAGCATATCTGCATTCTGCTGCACATGTCTCTGCATTAGATAGTGTCCAGTCTAGTGCTCCACCACCTGCAATTATTGTTCTGCCGTGTCATTTTTGTTCCGCCAGCCTCGCTCTCGCCCCGTCCCCCACGTCCTCCGTGACAGGCCCGGCTTGCCAGATGTCCAGTCCGCCATTTACGGTCAAAGCGGTCTTCGAATACGCTTCGAGCCACGATGACGACCTCAACTTTGCGATCGGACAAATCATAACCGTTACGGCAGAGGAAGATGCGGAATGGTACTTCGGTGAGTATACCGACGACTCGGGGCACAAGCAAGAGGGTATTTTCCCCAAGAACTTCGTGGAGAGATATGAACCCCCGGCTCCTCCGCGACCGACACGCCCGAGCAGACCGAAGAAGGAAGCCGATGTGGCCCCGCCCCCGGAGCCCGCTGTCGCTGTCGCTGTCGAGCCCCCTGCAACTGAGCCCCCCCGCGCACCAGAGCCGGAAGTAGAGGAGACACCTGCACCTGTGCCCCAGCCTCCTCAATCACCGCCTCCTGCTCTAGCGTCACCTATCCGCGAGTTTCCATCCCCCCCGAAGCCGGTTCCTGCCCCGGTTCCTCAAGCCCCTCCGAGTCAAATCAGTGAACCAGCTCCGAAGACATCGACCAAGCCCCCACCTCCCGCTGTCGCTGAGAAGCCAACTGGTTCATCATTCAGGGATCGCATTGCAGCCTTCAACAAGCCCGCTGCACCGCCAATTGCACCCTTCAAACCCGGTGGTCTGAGCTCTCAGAATTCTTCCTTCGTCAAAAAGCCGTTCGTTGCGGCACCTCCGAGTAGAGATGCCTACGTTCCCCCGCCCCGGGATCCTCCCCGCAAGATCTACAGACGGGATGAGGATCCAGAAGTCCAAGAGCGTGCTGCAAGAGAACCCCCCGTTTCCGAAACCCGGCCACTGTCGAGTGGAGGAGCCGAAGAAGGAGCGGAGGATCAGCCCAAGCCAACCAGCTTGAAGGAGCGGATTGCCCTGCTACAGAAGCAGCAGATGGAACAAGCTGCTCGTCACGCCGAAGCTGCCCAGAAAAAGGAGAAAGCCAAACGCCCCCCAAAGAAGCGCCTCGAGTCTCATGAAGAAGCTATGCCCGCGGAGGACATGGCGACTGAGGAACCTGCATCCACGGAGTCTGCAAGAGACCATAGTGTTGATACCTTGAAGGCGGGTCCCCCTCCGGCTCCCCAGGCACCCATGTCTCCCCCACCTGTACAGGAGTTGGTCAGCGATGCCAATGATGCCGATGACTCGGCCGCTGCTGATACGGAAGATGCGGAAGAGACATCTACCAGCAAGGAGGACTATGACGAGCGTGCCCGCACAGAGGTTCAGCACGAAGCTCAAGCTGAATCCCAACAGGTGGAGGAGCAAGTTGAAGAACATGAGGCTCCTGGTGACGAAGAGGAACAGGAGGAGGAAATGGAGGAAGAGGAAGAGATAGACCCCGAGGTCAAGCGCAAAATGGAACTTCGGGAAAGAATGGCCAAGATGAGCGGCGGAATGGGTATGATGGGCTTCTTTGGAGCTCCGGGTGGTATGCCTGTGCCGGGCGCAGCTCCTCGCAAGCCGAAGGCACCCGTGGAAGCGGAGAGGCCATCAGGAGAGTACGAAAGAGCAGGCCCAACTGCTGCGCCTCCAGTTCCCGTCATGGCTCTACCGGGGATGAATGTAGCCAAGCCTACTGTCACCCCAAGCGTTGAGAAGGAGGAGGAAGAGACCTTGCCCAGTCCTGTGACCGAGCAGCATCCTCCGCATGAGATCCCTGATGTTGAGGATGTTGTAGAGGAGCCTCCTCGACGCATGTCGACCGATAGGCCACCTGCGCCCTTAGGTATGGAATAAGCCAGTGATCGACAATATTACCTGCGTTCTAACACTACACCTCCAGAGCGCGCGGCTCCTCCGCCTCCACCACTCCAAACACGACCGGTTCCACCCCCTCCCCCTCACGACGCGCCTTTGTCTCCTCCGCCTGTTCCAGGACGTAAGTTCGCCGACCTTTGACCTGAACTGCGCACGCTGATGTATAACAGATCAATTTGTCCCTCCTACCAAGAGTGTCGGACCCGCTGATCCGGGCGAGGAATCGGATGATGAACTCTCCATACATGCTAAGAATCTCTCTTTGAATGCTGGGGCGGCCGACCAACCTACAAGCCAACCTGTTTCGGCACCTCCGATTCCCGATCACCTCGATTCTCGCCGCTCATCGACATACGAGATTACGTCCCCGAGATCACCGACTCTCCCCGCAGACAAGAGACTCAGCCGCGCTCCTCCGCCCATTCCAGGGAATCCCCAGTGCCCACTCAGACTCGACAGGCCCCCCCGCCACCTCCCGCTAATATTCGCCGTAGGTCAACCGCTGACAGTCGGACCAGTGTGGCTTCACATCCCCGCCAAGCCGGTGAGGAGGTAGAAGGAGAGGTCACCGAGTATGACGGCGACTACGACACGGACATCGCATCTGGCGCCAAGTTCAAGGATGCACTCAAGGCGCATGGGCGTGAGTCCAGCTTCGATGAAGGGACGACGACCGACGACCATTCTCTTCAATCTCCTTGGAGCCCGCCACAGGGCCGTCTTCCTCCACCCCCTCCCCAAATGCTCCCGGGCAGTCCCGCCCCGCCTCCAATTCAGCCCCCAGGAGTGCGGGCAGGGCCTCGGTGGAATCACCTAGGGCCCCCCTCCTCCGCCTCCTCATCGTGAGTTGTCCTACGGCGGAGATGAAGATGAATATGACCCGTACCGTTATTCCGCTCCACAGCATGGAATGCCTCCAAGAGCGCCTCCCCCTATGCCCGCTGGGCCACCGCAGCTACCGCCTGCCATCCCTGCCCAGGCTGCGGAAGAAGAATCAGATGACTTCTATGAAGCATCGCCGGTGCTATCGCAGCCCGAGGCATACACCTTCCCGCCGCCTGAGAGACGTGCCTCGATGGCGCCTCCGCCTCCCACGTTGCCTCCACCCACACCGCGAAGCAACCGTGCGTCGTTGGACATCCCGAGAGCGCAGCCTAGCATGCGGCGATCCATGGATGTCGCTCGCCCATCCATCGACCAAGGCTACATTGCCATGGATGTTGACTTGGCAGAGAACACACTCTGGTGGACACAGCATAACACTCCTCCACCAGTGTTCCAGAACCGCCGGGATGTCCTGCTTGAATTCGAGGAATCCAGTTCTTCCAAGCGAGGTGGCAAGAGTATGGTGACCAAGGATATCTACGTCCTATTCATCGATCACTCGCAGACGGTGATTACGGTGAGCTTTGATCCTCGGAATCCCACCGATGCCGCTTTCGAGCAACGTCACGAGGCTCCTCCCATTCAACCTCGCCAGGACCAACTGGAGAACGCCCATCTACAGATTGGCACTCGCATCGCGTCTGCCGTCAATGCCATCCAGAACACGACTGTAGCGGACGGCACTCCCTTTGGTCTCGTGCAGCACTTGCTCAGTCCCCTGTCCGATGCTCTCCTGCCGGTAGGCACGCGAGCCTATGGTGCCTTGGTCTACTCGAACCTGGCCAATGCATCGGTGCAGCAGAACGACGAGATCCGCGCGGGCGATATCGTCAGCTTCCGAAACGCGCGCTTCCAGGGGCATCGTGGCACGATGCACCAGAAGTACAGTGCGGAGGTTGGCAAGCCCGATCACGTGGGTGTTGTGGTTGACTGGGACGGCACGAAAAAGAAGATCCGTGCGTGGGAGCAGGGTCGCGAGAGCAAGAAGGTCAAGGTGGAAAGCTTCAAGCTGAATGACTTGCGCAGTGGCGAATGCAAGGTGTGGCGGGTGATGCCGCGGAGCTATGTGGGTTGGGAGAAATAGATACAGCGCATGAGCGATGGTTCGGTCTCCTGGGATGACAGGTGAAGTTCGGTGGAATGGCTTGCACGGTCATTCCTCAATCTTGGTACGCCCATGGGCACCGACGAGGCTCAGCCAGATGGTCGCGCTGAGACGAGTAAATGATTTGATTCTGGTATATCTAATTCGCTAGTACATGACGCAGGCGCTGTCTGCGGGGAGACACCGTTGTGTGATGTACTCCGATGTTACATTCTGTTGTATGTACCTATTGTTTACCATTGTGCTTAATCTGCTGCCGATGGCTGTTTGTTACTATTAGGCATGATGCGTGATTGCCAATTTATTGTGATATATATCTACTGCCTGCTTATACTCCATAGACTGACTGTCTCTACTCGTACTACTTCTGCTTCTGTGCTTGTCATACAATCTAAATTAAATATATCTGCCTAAGGCACCGAAGCGGCAAGTCCAGCGCGCGCGTGGCAACCCCCATTTCCTCATCGGGACCGTCCATCCATCCCCCATCTCACTCATTTAAACCACCACCTCCTCCTCCCCTCCCCATCCATCAAACCACCAACTCTACCAACTAAACAGCCCACCACCAAAATGGGCGGCGACCTCAACCTCAAAAAGTCCGTCCCCTCCCCCATCCCCATTCCCCCCAACCCACCCCAACTAACTACCACTAACCACCCCCACAACCAACAGATCATGGCACCCCTCCCTCCTCCGAAACCAAGAGCGCGTATGGGCAGAAGAAAAACGCGCTCTCGAAGAACGCAAACGCATCGACCAACTCCGTCGCGAACGCGACGAAGAGCGCCAAATCCAAGAACTCCAACGCTTGCATGAAGATTCAGGGAAACCGAAACAAATCCAGCGGGTGGATTGGATGTATCAGGAGCCGTCAGGACAGGGGGGCATGTACGGCGAGGAAATGGAGGGGTATTTGTTGGGGAAGAGACGGATTGATGGGATTTTGTTGAAGGGTGGGGAGACGGAGGGGTTGAAGAAGGGGGCTGAGGTGGGAGTTGCGATGCAGGCGCAAGATGGGGGGGTTGCGTCGGGGACAAATCCCAGGGATACGATGGCTAAGGTGTTGGCGGATCCGTTGTTGGAGATTAGGAAGAGGGAACAGGCGGCTGTGGAGGGGATGGTTAAAGAGGTGGTTAGGAGGGGGAGAGGGAGAGTAGGAGGGGGGTGCGGGTGGGAGGGATAGGGAGAGGGATGGGCATAGGGAGAGGAGGAGTCATAGGGATAGAGAGTCCAGGCGGTATCGGTCTAGGTCGCCTGAGGAGAGGAGGGAGAGGAATCATAGGGATAGAGATGGAAGGAGGAGTGACCGTGATCGTGATCGCAGGGACAGGGACAGGGACAGAGATGATGATAGGCGCAGAGACAGAGACGACAAAGACTACCGGTCCAGACATCGCGATCATCGCGAAGAACGCTATGACCGGTCTACTCGCCGGGGATCGCTACAGGACCGCTCGCCTGAGCGTCATCACTCTGACAGACGCCGGGACGATAGGAGAGACACTGATGGGTACAGAGATACTCGGGACAGAGATTCGCGGGACGACCGCAGAGACAGACCTCGCTATCAGGATAGAAGGGATTACCGGGGTCCCAGAGACTCGTACCAACGCGAAAGAGCCCCCAAGGTCAGCGCGGAAGAAGCAGAGCAGAAGCGCAAGGCACAGGAGGAAGAGCGTCAGCGCAAACTAGCAGAAATGCAGTCGAACGCGAGCGAGATGGAGGATTCTCGGCGACAGCGCATTGCCGAGGTCACGGCCATGGAGGAGAAGAAGCTCGAAGAGGATGAGAAACACCGCTCTGACAAGGGTCGGTTCGTGGGTGGTCTCCATCGACAGCTGCAGGAAGACAGTCTGGATGATCGCATCAAGCGCAGTCGTGGTGGGCTGGCTCGGCTGGATGAGGATTGAACTGATGGGATTCCCCTCCCCTGTGCTCTGGAAGCACTCCAGCTCGTATGGCATGATGGCAGTTCCTCTATCACGTTAACAAATTGATGTATCATATACCAGTTTCTTTTATTTTGAGCCTTGGCAATGCAATAATTACCTACAACTAATAGTAACAAGAATGAACACAGTAAAGGAAATATCACCCTGCCTGCGAATGATGGACCGCTTTAAAAAGAAATTAAGAAATGTAAATCTATGACAGAAACAAACAGAATGAAGACGTATTACAGCAACAACAACTCGCCTGTAGCCGCTCCACCCGCCAGCTGCGGCTGATACACCTGCTGCTGGTTCTGGTTGACGACATACTGCGTCTGCAAAGCGCCGCCGCCGCCAGACCCGTCTTCGCGACCGCCCAGGTCCAGCGCAGCCATCTGCTGGCTTCCGACGCTGTTGAAGTAGCTGTCGGCGGCGTTGACGGCCGCGTTCATGTCGCCGGGTGCAGCCGTGGGCGGGAATGCGCTGGCCGCCATGGCGGCGGTCGGGCTGTTGGACTGCGACGGGGCCGGGAATTGCCAGACCGCATTTCCGGGGTCCTCCTGGGGCTTCTGCAGGGCCGGGCTGTACTGTAACCGTCTGGTGCGCGCCGAGCGGAAGACCTGCTGGACGGGCTTCAGGTACACGGTGGCGAGGGTGCCGACGTTGAGGCACAGCTCCTCCAGGGTGCGGGAGTCGAGTTTCTCGCTTTCGGCGCTGATGGGGGGTTTTTCGCCCATCACGACCTGTTTGGCAGTTGCGGGATCCGTGGACAGCAGACGCCAGTACATGTAGCCTCTGTCGCGGAGGTCCGGGTCGTCGGTTTCCTCGGTGCACCATTTCAGGACTTGAGGAACCAGTTGTTGGCCTTTGGTTGGACGTTGGATGAAGAACTTGACGGTGGCTGTGAGAAGGGCCAGTTGAACTTCGACGGTCTCGTCGTGGAAGGTGGCCAGGTAGTCTTGGAGCAGTCCGTCGGAGTTTTCGATGCGGTCGGCGTACTGTCCAATGATCCAGATGATGGCGGCCTTGGCTTCGGGCTCGTCGAGCTCATCGATGTTCTGGATCACGTTGCCAATGATGTTCTCGTATTGGTTGGGGTACTTGCGGAAGATGTTACGGATGACAACCGTCGCCTCTTGTACAATGTAGGGGATCTTTGCGTTGACCAGGTCCAAGAGGGTATCAATGCACTGTTTTGCGGCGGACTCGATCTTGATGGCGAGCTTTCCGATGGCGCGCACAGCCTTGCGCACGAAGTGAACGTCGATTTCTGTCGCATACCTGGCCGCTGTCAGTGATAGTTCGATAATGAAATGCGGCGACGTACTCTCTCAGTTCTGCCAGGACCACGGAGATGTTCTCCTTGGTGGTCAGCATGAAGATCAATTCCAGCTTGGTCACTTTGACGTAGATTGGATCATTGTAGTTGCAGAAGAAACAGCGGATATCGTTTCGAAGAACCTCTGGCCTCTTCTGGAGAATAAGGATGGCGTTTCGGAGTGCCAGATACTGGACCTCCGGTGGCTTTGAGAGGAGGGTGACGAGTGGGGGAGATAGCTTCTTCGCAAGAGAGGTGACATGTCTTTCGTCGGCAATGTAATTCATGAGGTAGAGGATAACACGGATCGCGGTCAGGACAACCGCAGAGTTAGAATGCGACAGGCGAGGGGCTATGCGCTCGGCCAGAAGCAGGGCTTCTGCGGAATCTTGAGGGACATAGGACATCAAAGCCTCGAGGATATAGGACTGGCCCCATCTGTGGACGTCAGTGACTGGCATGAGACAGAGGTAGGGACCCATACTCAGAGCAGTCCGGCAAGATCGAAACTAGCTTCGAGGCGCTAGTGTAGTCGATAGTCAGCGAGATCGACTCGCTGCGCCCCCAGATGTCCACCAAGGACGCAAGAACGCTAGACACCACCGTCGGGTTCTCGTCCTTGAGCATGCTGTTCAGCCGATCGATCAAATCAGACGCCTCGACCATCTTCTTATCGTGCTCGTAGAGCTTCGCGACGCAGAAAGCGGCGGTCTTGCGAACATAAGGATCCATATCTCCCATCAGTCGCTTGACCGGCTGCACCGTCGCCTCGACAAACTCGCGGACATGGATATAGGAGATAGTCCGTAGCGCCAGGGCACGCACGAGGGGGTTGGTGTCATCCATATCCTAGGTCGACGGATTAGCTGATTGATCCTCCAAGTGCAGGAGTGCTGCTCACATCAATGAGGATCGGTAGCGCCTTGAGCGCTATTTCGGGTTTCAAACGCGAGTAGTTGACCAAGAACAGAAAGCACCTACAGACGACGCATCAGCCACCAAGCAACGAGATGAGATGTCTCTCAGACGTACATTTTCTTGATCTCCAAGCTGGGCAGATTCATACAGCCGATCACATCCGGAAACAAAGCGACCATATCATTATTGCTCATGGTCATGTTGGCGACGATTTTCTTGAGAGCGATCTTCTTGGCCGAGTGGTTCTTGTCTTTCTTTCCACCGCTGTTCAACTCCTGTCGCAACTCGGCGACTTTGCCCTGTTTGGTACGAGAGAATGGTGAGCCATATTGCGCCGTATAGGGGACCACGCTGAGGAACATGGTGGTGCAAGAATGGAGGATTAGGGGATAAGCCCGGCGGGGTCGGGGAGACACAGTAACATGGCGACCAAACCCCCGCAGGTGGAAGACAAAGGCAGCGCTTGCTCAGGTGAACAAGGAATGAAAGGCATGAGGGGAAGCGGCGGGAAGATAAGCACACGCCAGAGGCATTGCTTGTCATGGAGGATGGGCCAATAGTGCCGCGATGGACATACCCTGGCGAACAACTTCGCATCTCCCCCGCTGGAACTCATGGTGGCGGATCACAATCACTAGCGACAATCCAATCTTCAGTCTTCAATCCTCAGGTCGTGGTTGTCACGTCGAATGGCAGGGAATCCGTCCCAAAGACGCCAAGGGGGCCGTTCGCGGCAGTCGAAGAGCTTCAAGGGGGAGCGATCCTTAGTTGGCTGGTTGGTCTCCTGCTCCGAAGCTTCCATGCAGCGGAGGGGAGCCTAGGCCAGTTAGCGGGTGGCCACGGAGGGATTTCATCGAAGGGCCCTGTGGGCGAGAGGTGCTAACCTGGTCTCAATCACGGATGTGCAAAGTCCTCAATCGGTTTGGAGGAACCACTGGGAAATTCCAGCAAGCGTCGACCACTTTTGAGACCAGCAAGCGGGCTTGAGGGTCCGCAGGTGAGAATCAGGAGTGGATCGGGCGCCGCCGACTCCGCGCTTGTGGAGAAATCCCATCCATTCCGGCCGGATCATCGTCACTCTAATCGCTCCCTCCTCCTCCGTCCACAAGCTCGAGCTTGCAGCACGACTGTGCTCTACCCCCCTTCTTTTCATATCGACTGAGCCAAGAGACAAGTCCTGGGTCTCTATCCACCCTCTCAGTCGCCATGTCTTCGCTTCCTCCCCCTCCGCCGCCGGAATGGGTCGTGAGGATGAACACCCCCATGCCACGCCCATCCAAACAGGCTGCCAGCATCCCCGATCCTCCAGGCTTCTCCAGGAAACCGACTGGCAAGAACGTATGTTTTTGCTCTGAGCTCTCTACACATCCCTTTCTATTCCACCCAACTAACGCGACTCCCTCTCTTAGCAACGTGCCCAACAATCTGCCGCAGCCTCCACCCCAGCCAAACCTGTCGAGACCGATACTCTGAAGCTCAAGAAAGCATGGGAGATTGCCCTGGCCCCCTCGAAACAGATTCCCATGAACGCGATCATGATGTACATGTCCGGAAACAGTCTACAGATCTTCAGCATCATGATGGTGTTCATGCTCTTCAAGGGCCCCATCCAGGGCCTGATCAACACCAACACCGTGTTCGCTAAGTTCGATACCGAAGGCACGCGCGCGAAACTACTTGGAGTCAAGGCCATTTACGTCGTCATGCAGCTGGTGTTATTGTGTTTGGGCGTTTGGAAGGTTAATGCGATGGGACTCTTGCCGTATGTGTTATCTGTCTTCCTATTGCCGTGTGGATGGTCTTCGCTTTGGTCGTGGGCTTGGTTGATATATTGCTCTTGGCTAACATTCGATTGCGACAGGACTACGAGGTCGGATTGGCTGGCTTGGGAGTCGGAACGGCAACCGTTGGAGCGGGCTTACTTTGCTTTTGGTTGATCGGATTGAGTGTGTCCGATGCGGTGTCCATGGAGAAAAGATGCAGAAAAATAAACTTTAGCGACCATATATGAAGTCGTCATACCAATTGTACATGATATTGCGTGGCTCTATACCAAGCTAGGGCTAACGTCGTGCCTCGGTATCGTATAGTCTAACAGGTCCATTGCTCTTCACATTTCTATTGTGATTCATGTCCAACGCCGATGGCCAGTATATGGGCCTATATGATCCTTATTTGCGACCGTCAACAAACCAAAAGGTAGATGATAATATGTGCAGGACGACATGTACCGAAACATCCAATCTCTCCAAAGTTTAGCAATTGCCCCTTTGTTGATTACTGTCGGGCCTTCAGGGCTTTCTGGCAGGCCTCGAAGAAGATTTGGCAAAACTCCCACACCTCAGTGTACGTATTGTACAGAGGTGCTGGCGCAACCCTGATAACGTCTGGTTTTCTTTCGTCTATGATAACACCATGCTCTTCCAAGGTCTCCAGGACATTATCCAAGAGACCGGGTTCCAGGAGCAGACTAAGTTGCGCACCACGCTCTGCTGGGTTTGAGGGTGTGATAATGGAGAAAGGCCTTTCGCCAGAGGGGAAGTCGACGGGGTAGTTCAGAAGGAGATGCTCCAGGTATCCCGTGGCGCTCAAGGACTTTTGACGGATCTCAGTCATTGACGTCCGGTTGAACAGCTCGAGGGACGCCACGACCGCATTCATGTCCAGGACGGAAGGGTTAGATAGCTGGAATCCTGCAGCACCCGACTGCGGGAGGAAGTCTGCAATATCCATAAGCCTCTAGCCAAGTATAACAGAACTGGCAACCTACTATTGTTCATGAGGAAGCGAGTCTTCTTGTCGCCTCCCCACCAACCCGAGAGTCGCGGGCGAAAGGGCTCTTCCCCGCTGCCAACCTTGTCCATTTCCACTCGGCCATGTTTCTCATGGACGAACAAGCCTGCCATACCACCCGGGCCGCTATTGAGGTATTTATAATTGCACCATGCAGCGAAATCTACATTCCAGTCATGCAATCGCAGATCGACATTTCCTGCTGCATGGGCACAGTCCCAGCCAACGAGAATTCCCTTGGATTGGGCATGCGCGGTGATCTTCTCTATGTCGAAGTACTGTCCAGTGTAGAATTGAATGCCCGAGAGGAGCACAAGTGCTGTGCTGGAGGCATGCTCATCGATAACTCGAAGAATCTGCTCCGTTCGCAAGACCGGCTTCTTACGGTCTTCCGGCTCAATGAGAACCATGGCATCCTCAGGGCGAAGGTTATGGTGTCTGATCTGGGACTCAACGGCGTACTATGTTCAATCAACTCAGTAATGATCTCCCAGAGACATCGCAGATTGAAACCCACATGGTCACTAGGAAACGCCTTCCCTTCCAAGATAATCTTATATCTTTCCTGGGTCGGGCAGTAGAAGCTTGCCATCAGAAAGTGTAGATTGGCCGTCAGCGTGCCCATCACTGCCACTTCGCTTTCCAGAGCTCCCACAATGGGCGCCATGAGCTTTGCGCCAGCATCGTCAACGTCAACAAAGGGCGGGAGCAGTTGGTCCTCGTGTGGGAGGAAATGACCAGTTACGCCTTTGATGGCCCATGTTCGTAGATATTGTTCAATGTACTTGCGGGTGCTGCGAGGTTGAACACCCAATGAGTTTCCGCAAAGATATATACACCTGGGCTCAGACTCTTCGTCGGCTAAGTGAGAGTGCAACTAGTTAGTCAGAATGACACACTATAACGACGCAATGGCACGTACAGCCGTCTATAGCCAGAGTCTTCCTTTTGAGATCAGCTTTAGATGGGATAAGAAATTCCTGGCGGAAATGACGCAAAGGATCCCGCGCATCGAGAGACTCGGCATATTCCTTGGTGAAGGCATTGCTATCAAGTTTGTAGGAAGGCGGGGTGCTGACACCCAGTTCATGTGCATGCTGGGAACCCATGATTTCGTGAGCACTTCTGGAATGGCGGGGGTACTATATACTTGTGAGCAAGATATATCCAAAATCAACGTCTACGAAGCATCAATATATGTATGAGAAGAACAAAGAGAAACCGGTCTACAGCGTACTTCAACCAGGAAATGCCGGTTCCCCGCGATTGATATCTCGGGCGGACTGGATTCTGCCGCTGCTTGCCGGCACCCGATCGACCAATAACGTCATGCTGAACCCTCTGACTAACGGCAATCCCTTGGCTTGCTCCGATATATAATCAATCCAGTCTTCGAAACCCTCACGAAAGTCAGGCCCAGTTGCTTCCCTCCAACCGAAAATCTCTCCAAGCTTCCAGTGACGATAAACAATGTCACGTCCGATCCTATCGACAGCCGCTCGCCGGCTCTCCCGCTCCCATTCTCCTCGCGCAGCGGTGTTTGCATTTTCGCCGACGGCGCCGGCACTGAGCTTCTCCGCATCGTTCTGCGACTCTGTTTCCCAACGATCGACACTTCGTCCGAGTTTCCTGTGCCCCCGAGCCAGCTCCTCACGGCGATCGGTATTCCGCTTCGATGCCTTCGGTCATCGCGCCGGGTTTTCCTCCTCGGCCATCCGATCAGACGCCAAGGTCCTACAAAACCCGAGAGTTGATGAAGATGGGAAGGAGCTGTTGATCAGCATCTCGTCCCGGGCTGCGGAAGTACGTTGAAACATATTTTCTTGTCTGCATGCATGCGTCTGTTTGTTGTCAGTTGGGTTGGAGGACGACATGGAAGGGTACCTGTTGTTTCGGAACTGTGGCAACGGCTTGAGTCGGAGGACGCATTGATAATAAATGCGCCGGGAGCACAGGCTAGCCTTGCCACTATAAGAGCCGTGAAGATCGTTTGTCTAGTACATACGACCACAGGGTGTGGAGAACAGGGCTTCCCGTCCGCTCAGCCGTACTTAAGCCACACGCCGGGAGGTTAGTAGTTGGGTGGGTGACCACCAGCGAATCCCTTCTGTTGTATGTTTTTTTTTGGCTATATTTTACTGCTCTGTTCTTTTTTTTTTTCTCTCTCTTTGCTGGAGTGTTCATTTATTATGCATCTGTTTTTCTTTTCTTGGTCACCGCTTCAATGGCACTTGAACCCATCGTTAAATGCTGACATCATGAACAGCGTCTCCGGGAAATCACAGACCCGTCTTCATCTCCCTCAATTACCAAGGAAGAGAACCCCTACCACCACCTCCGAATCACCGTCACCAGCGGTGGATGTCACGGGTTCCAATATATGATGTCCCTGGAAGCAGCCTCCAAGATCGACCCGGAAGAAGATACCGTGTTTGCCGCAGAGGAGGCGGAATCCTCGGGCCCTGGCGAGGCCAAAGTGGTCATGGATGAGCCTTCCTTGGAGCTCCTATCAGGAAGTACGGTGGACTACACCATGGAATTGATTGGAAGTCAGTTCAAGATTGTCGATAACCCCCGAGCCACGAGTAACTGTGGTTGTGGGACTAGCTTTGATGTCAAGGATTGATTAATTGGAATTATCCAAATTGATTGACTGAGGGATATGAAGCTAGGTAGGAGGAGCTAGAGACTAGAGTTCTACCATGCATTAGCGTCATCCCTGAACCCATGTACATGTGTGTATCATACTAGAATATGAGATAGAGTAATGCTATACCCCTTTCTTAAGGTCCTCACCATAACTCTACGTGGTTTTATCTTATACGAAAGAAGCAGGTTGCTTTAAGTCATCATCTATTTCATCATGCGAACTCTACACCCTTGTCCGTCCTCTGCTAGCTAAATGCTCCTGTTCCGTGCAAAAACCACAACCAGCTCGATGCACAGACCAGACGGTGTCGAACAGTAAGCAAAACCAAACACAAGCATAATGGGATACGCCTTGAACAACAAATCCTCAAAGTCAGAAAAAGTTCTTTTTGTCGACTCCAAACCCGTCCGTAACCAGGACGGCTTTCAGGGACAATCCACCCCTGAGAGTGATGAGAAGAAGTATGGACAAGCACAACAAGATATGGAAAAGAGGAGAAGAGAATAAATAGATAGATAAATAAAAATCATAATCTTTGCCGGGTGGGGGAATAGGAGGAGGGAATGAATGGGCCACGGTGGATGAACCCTTTCAAAACACAACTTTTCTGGCTTGCCGTTGCTGGGAAACTCTCGACCCCTTCCCAATTGATGATAATATCTCCAGGACCACAATCCTTTTCTTCGTTCCGTTTTGTGCACTTCATGTGCCTCGTGGGTCCCTCGCTGAGACTGATTACCCTCGTGGGTCTAGTTACAGACCGGACGCATATCCTGCATTCAAGAAGTAGGATGTGTGTCTGACACAGAAGGGGTCGGTTTAGCATACTCGGACTTAGTAGACACGAGCAAGATTGCGGAGGTACCAGTCCACCAGGCGGCGTCCGGCCTTGGTTTCGCTCACGTGGATGAGGTCGTTCTCCAATGCGTAGTCGAGATCGTTGGCGTTGACCGGCTCGCCCTCCAGAAGGCCGCCTTCAACCCAGCGCACCTGACGGCTGCGCTGCTTGTTGATTAGGAGCCAGGAGCGGAGCTTCTCGGGCTCGACTTCCAGGAAGCCAGCCAGCTTCTTCAGGTCCATTGTGGTGTAGAGCTTCAGGTAAGAGCGGATCGTGGGGTTGTACAGAGTGTTCTTGACCTCGTCCATGAAGATAGCGGTGTGGTGGTCGACGGGGTCGATGTTAACAGCCGGGTTGTCGAAGTCGGGGGGAGTGGGGCTGATGAACTTGGGGCAGGCCGAGCGGAAGAGCTCCTCGAACAGAGGAAGGGCCTCGGGGCCGCCGTGCTGCAGGCGGTTGAGCTGCTCGCCGTACTTCTCGCGCAGGGCCGAGTGGATGGTGTCGTCCAGGCGGGTGGGGTGGAGAGCGACACAGATAGCAATGAGAGCGTACATCTGGTCGTTCTTCTTGGCAATGGCGTCGTAGCTGTTGCCACCCTTCTGGAAGTTCTTGGTCCGGGAAACGTAGACCAGGATGTGGCTGAACATGCGGATGGCATCGGCATAGCGGCGCATCATCATGTAGGAGAAACCGACATAGTAGTAGGTGGTGAAGTGGGCCGCCATGACGCGGGCGAACATGGCCTTCTTGTTCATCTCGATGTCGTCAAGGGTCTTGAGGGCAAGGCTGAAGTCACCCAACAGACAGTGGACACGGAGGAGTCCGATGATGGAGAAGTATCCCAGCATCTTGTAGAGAGGGCGGGAACCATACTCTCCGGCAAAGGCCAAGGGGTCGTCGCCACGCTTGATAGCAGCCAATTGCTCGTTGATCTGCGACCTTTGGATGAGGGAGTACAGGACGTTGAGCACGGAGTAGCAACCCCAGGTGTTCGGGTTCTCGCGGAGGAGCTGTGCCTCTTCCTCATTGGAGCCGCTGCGGGCGACACGGTTGCGGTAGCGACAGAAGGATTCGAACTGATAGATGAACTCATCGATGACATCCCAGGCCCAGTAGTACTATTCACGTAGAAACAAGCGGAGATTAGCACAGTGTATCAGCCACGGAGGTTCACCGCACACATTGCAGACAAGGCATCAGCCCGTGCATCAAGTGCAACAGCCTCCACTTCCTCCCCGCACCTGCCAGTCGAAGGAATACATACAGAAGGAACCTCCAGCTCAACCGGTCCATCCGAGTTCAAGATGTAGTGGAACAGGCTGCAGTAGTTGTCGTAGCTGGCGAACTTGGTCTCGAGGGTAGCCTGGTACTCAAGCGGGGTCGCGGCAGCAGCGAGCTGTGCCTGGAGGTCCTGTGTCTGGGAACCAGCTCCAAGGGATGTCGTCCGATCCAACTCGCTCATGCCATCATCAAAGTTGACCTGCTCGCGGTAGTCGTTGACGAGAGCTTCCTCCTCCACATCGGACTCGTCACCCAGGTTGGGGCGCGCGTTTTGGCGCTCTTCGTAGGACATATTGTAATAGAACGTCTGTCGACGAGTAGGAAATTATCCGGCAAGCGGTCGGCGAAGGTGGGTGGGGAGGAGAGGGGGGGCACGTCGTCTGGCGTAACGACTCGGCGTCGGCGTGTGGGATTTCGATTGTTTCGGCGGAGTCGAATTTTGAGGGTTTTCGCTTGGATGAGTTGTGCTTATCTTATCTGCGTATAACAGACATGCTGAGTCAGCTATGCCGGCGGTTCGGGGCAGTTCGAATTTGAGACTCAGTCTCATAGACTGCTAGTGACCTATCTTCTACAACAACCCCGCACCCAGTTCGTCTTAAGCCACGGTGACGGTGGTTGACGAACTCCATACTGAATCTTATGCAAACGGTCCAGTTCATTCATCTCCAGGATGCTAACAGGGTATTCGCTGGTATGAAATGGTAAATATTACATGATTCATCTAAACCTCATTGCGACAGTTTTGAGCAAGCCTCAGAAAGTGCAAAAGCGGGACGGATAATACGGCACAAAGAATGAAACAAATAAAAACACAATAACAAACGCGTCAGCAGCTCAAATCCTAGCGGACCTCATTCCCTCAAAACAGCATGCTATACGAGTACAAGAATCTGCTCGGCAGCGTCAAGAACAGCAAAGTCGGTTCATAATCATGGCGCATCCAGCGCAGAGATGGCTCTTTCCGTCTCTTTCTTGTTTTCTTTTATCGCCTGTACGCGAATCGCATTAGCATGACCAGGACAATGTTTACTGCCCCTGGAGACCACAGCGCAATATGCCAGTCGTGGTAGATGCGATGGCTGCATGGCGGGCGAACGTACCTTGAGCCTCGTCGCTCATATATTAGTTCAACAGCCTTAAACGATCATCTGCGCAAGTCCTTGTCCACCCAAAGTCTTGCTACCAACGAATTCTTGGCTCTTCAGACCCGCCAGCGCGTAGAACAGAGCAGCGAGGAGCAGGAATACAGCGGCGGCAATCAAACTAGTGGCGGACTTGATAAGGCTGAGCCATTGCACAACACTCATCACGGCGTACATTGCAGCGCGCATCCAGTTCGTCGTGAATTTTCGGATAAAGTCATCGAACTTGGGGGACGTAGGGCAGATTCTTAGAAGGAATGGCACTTCAGCAAAGATGAGGATTAAGCCCGAGATTCTGCAAATGTGAGCTTATGAGACCAGATCCAAGACATCCAAGCGAGCAACCCACAGGCATAGGACACTGAAGATAATGATCACGGCATCGAACGAAAAGATGTTGGCGATACCGAGAGCCAGGCACAAGACGATGCATATCACGCCCGTCCTGGTGAGGCCGGTTAGCAGAGTTCGTCAATCCATGTATATTCCTCTAGAATTGCCAGAGTCGCCCAGAATATATGCGCAACAATTCGGGATGTACGGGGGGTCCGAGACGGTTATTGAAGCATGCCCGTTGGAGACAGCGCCAAGCGCTTTGTTGGTCCAGGCAGCCATGATATTTTCGCAAGTGTGTTGTGAAGGCGCACAATCGGAGAGCGGCGGTAAAGAAGAGAAATAGAGGGGAAAGTCACAAACCATTGTCCGTAGATACCTACGTGATGCGGGGTTAGTTCTCCCTTGCTTCGTGTATTAATCCAAGGGTCTGGTAAACAAGGGTCCGTACTGAAGTTTCTCGAGCGGAGTTCCTCAGCGAGAGTCATGGTGTAAAACGAGGTTGCAGACTATTCGATGACAAGTCTGTCGAAAGGGCTCAGGTCAGGGTATGTAAAGTGACGGTAGTGCGATGTTGATAGGAGCTTCTATATAAAGCCAGTAGGTGTCGTGGTGATGATGTTGTAGCTCCTGTCTACTAGCAGCCGGAGTAAACGCGATTGACGGTTGAATGGGGCCAGTTTGTCTGTCCGGGCCGATCCACTCACCGCCTGCGGCACAATGTCATTCCGCCTTTCAAGTCGGGGATCCCGCATTATTGCATTCATGCAAGCAACTCCCCGGATGTTAGATAGAGGAGTGATCCTGATCCGGAGTACTGAACAGATGCTCCCAGATATCTCCGACTGTACCCTCTACTTATACCTCTCATACTTTCCGTTGTTACAATCATGGAGGCCCCAGCATCCAAACACACTCGCAATATCTCTAGATGTAAGGAGCATTGGTTTGATGCTTGCTGTATCATCGGCAATTCGAAGTGTGCGCGGCTGATTCGTCCTAGCTTCACGGCCTCGTAGCACGACTAAAGGCCCTCTAGACCAGCCAGATGAGTGAGGAGCGGGATTTGCATGGTTATCCAGTGGTATGCTAATGGATATCAGCCCACTCGGCTCCGAAGCAGTGAACACGTCGGCGTCCCCGACATCGAGTACAGCAGAGGATGGTGGATTTACCGGTATATCCTTCAATAACCTGGACCCATTGGAGCCCGACGAGCTACCCCCAACCCTGGAGAAGGACCTGGGGTACTTGCTCCGGTACGATGTTTATCACTCCCTCTCTCAAATAGAGATACCACATGCCCTACGTTCTGAGTTCCTTGCCCCAACTTCAGAAGAGTCCCTCTCCACAAGCCTGGCTACCCTCGAGAGGCTTCTAGCTGAAGGACACTTTCTGCTAGCAGCGTACTTGTGTGGAACGATTCTGTCATCCTCTCTGATCTCGCCTACCGACATCAAACGAATCTTTTCTCTTTTCTACACTCGACTGGCATGCCTACAGTTGTCGGGAAATACCATCATTGCAGCGCAAGAATCCAAGGCGCTTGAGGATCTTAGTTCTGCGTTCTATTATGTAGAACCGATTGCCGAACCGTCCGAGAATCACCCAAGCTATCCTCGTCATATCGTACCATGGCCCTTACGGGTCCTAGCCATCCGGCTCCAAAGCATTGGATTCGGCGACTCACGCAGGGGCATTGGCGGACTCTACGAAATTGGCTTGGAAGCGCGAAGGGAGATCTTGAGGCCAGACTTGGCCCCTGAGGAGCGCAAGATATGGAGAGGGCGACTGTCTGACCTTGGAATGAGAAACGTGAACGCGCTGATTGAGATGGGAGATTTGGATGCTGCCAAAAGGTCACTCAGCACCTTGCGCATGTTCGAGCCAGATAATGAGACCAATAAGATGAGAAAAGCGCTCATTATGCTCCTGGTTGGCGATCTCGACGCTGCGAGGCAGGTGTGTGGCGAGGCAAGCGATTCCGGAAACTCCGTGTTCAGTCCGCTTCTCAGTATGGCTGATGGTCGATACGACGACGCAGTGGTGGAATGGCGCGCCTTACTTGGCACCGAGAAACAAAGACCTGATGAGACCATGGTCTCGCAGAACTTGGCAGTGTGTTTGCTGTACACCGGTAGATTGAATGAGGTAAGTTATACTGCACAACACCAACCGTCGAGCTCTTGCTAAAACATGCTGCCAATGGATAATAGGCCCGCGAAGTTCTTGAGTCATTGGTGCAGGCAAATCATTCTTTCTCAAGCCTGGTGTTCAACCTTTCCACTGTTTATGAGCTATGCTCTGATGAATCCGCCAAGCTGAAGACTGATCTGGTAGAAACAGTGGCCAAGCAACCAGTCACTGGAGCCACCAATCTTGATCGGCCCAATGGGGATTTCAAGCTCTGAGGAACAATAGACACGGAAAGACTACCCCTCCATCAACGAGGAGATCCTTGTTCCGAAGGCCGATATGCTATTTTAAGAATGCCTGTCGGGTGGTCATAGTATCATACCTTCTATCTACCAGAAAAAACGCCATGCTCCTCTAATGCCCTTTTGAGCGCCAAATAACGATACAATGATGATGATTTGAGATCCGTACTCATCAAGGGTTTTCCTTGATGGGTGGAAGGCTCGTTTGGGGTTTTTGCTTTGGCTTCCGGATGATAATTCTATCGCCTTCTTTCGCCCAACCCAGGTTCTCCGCCTCTACCAGGTTCTCCCATGTCCAATTCCTGTCGCCGGTGCAACCTTCGGTAATCCACCTGGCATCAGCGCTGAGATAAGCTTTGCCGACTGCTTTGAGAGCATGTCTTCTGACGCGGTCTTCAGCCCAATTCATGACGGCGCGCATGCGGGAGTCTACTCCATTCCGGATTTGCCAGAACACAACCCAATTGTCATGTGCCAAGGCGTTCAGAACACGGTCTATAGTCGATGACTGGAACCCATATCGCTTGCGGGCGCGCGCACGTAGCTGATAGGCAGCAACCATGTCCTCTTGTCGACAGGCGTAATCGAGGATCCAGTATGAAATGAGGTCTTTCAAGTCGGTGCCGGGTAATGGGTGAGAAAGGGTATGTAATTCCTCTAGGATATAGCGGAAGGAAGGAAAGTATGATGGAGGATGTCGAGCTTGAATTGCGACTTTGATGGAAAAGATATGGACTTGCTGGGAGAAAGAGATAGGGATCGCGGAACCCGTGGCCAACACCGCCTCTCGCAACTTGCGGAGGGAGAGAAGTATTGACGATACCTCTGTGGATGCCGATGGGCTGTGAGGACCTGTCGACTTATTGGTCGGGGAGGGGAAAGGGGCCGGTGGATTGCTGGTCGCATCGCTCGAAGCGCTCCGGGGTAGTGACATCCATGCTGCTTCCAAGTCCTTGAAATGGTTGGAGCAGAACTCCATATATCGGTTTACAATCTTATTATAGTAGTCTTTTTGGACCTGATGATCTAGCAACCTGCGAGCGTCAGCGCTGCCGCAGGTGACCACATCCCCACTGCGCTCTGGGGGTCAGAAGGCCACGGGCATACTTTCGATCGCCTTTGGATACAAACCCCACGAGGTCCAAAGGGTCGGCCACGGGCTTTAAACGACTGCCCGGCCCTTTTCCTGGTTGCGCATGACTAGCCATGGGGAGTCGACCGTAATTGCCAAAGAGTGAACGAAGGTTATTGCGTCATGGTTGAGATGAAGCTATCCAAATCTCCAAGGGACCGATCGGCTGCGGGGGTCCGTCGGGGAAGTGTCGCCAGTTTGTCTCATTTACAGTGTTTGCAGTGTTTGCTGCACCGGGTTTCCCCAACGAGCCAAACGTCCCAAAAGGGAAACGGGGATGCTCCGCGGAATCCCAACGGTCTCCTTTTTCTGGTGCCAACGGTTCGAGTTGTGGGTGTTTGGGGGTCGCTTCGCTTTTGGTCCTCTCTCCGTGGGTGTCCATTTCTCCTACTCCTCGATCTGTGGTCCTCACCTCAGCACCACCACCACGACCGGCAAGGACGACCCCGACAACGGAGCACCAACCAGCCATCTGCTCACCGGAGATCTGGGATCTGTCATCCTATCTGCATGCTGCATGTGAGGAATATGTCCACTCGCCAGCGTCACCCCACTCAAGGCCATGGAAAGGACCTGGGCACCAGTCAGCCGGCTGCTGTGGCAGCTGCGGTGCTGGAGCAGCCCCCCAACGTCCTCAGAAAGCTTCTTCACTGGGACGACCTGCCGCATTGGCAACGCGATAACCGGCATATCCACACAGGGTATCGGCCAGCCTCGTCGTCTTTCCTGGTCTCCTTGCAGTCCTTGACATACCTTCACAATGAAACGGTCAACATCTATACGCACCTGCTGCCGTCCCTGCTGGCCGTCCCGGCGGCTGGGCTCCTCTATCGGGCACTAGCTCCGCGGTATGAGAGTGCTACCCAGGCGGATCTGGTTGCCTTTAGCTGCTTCTTCGCCGGGGCAGCGTTCTGTCTGGGCATGTCGGCGACCTACCACACCATCTCGAACCATTCCCCTCTCGTGGCGCGCATCGGAAACACGTTTGACTATGTTGGTATCGTAGGGCTTATCGTGGGCAGCTTTGTCCCTAGTGTCTACTTTGGATTCTACTGTATGCCCGATCTGCAACGGTTGTATTGGACGATGATCTGCACCATTGGTCTTGGCTGCATCCTTGTTTCGATCTTCCCTCATTTCCGGACGCCTCGGTGGCGGCCATTCCGTGCGGCCATGTTTGTCGGCATGGGTCTGTCAGCGGTGTTCCCCGTGATCCACGGCTTACGCCTGTACGGCGTGGAGCAGATGACACGCCAAATCGGGCTCGGCTGGCTGCTCCTCCAAGGTTTTCTGTACATATTAGGAGCAACGATTTATGCGGCCCGGGTGCCGGAGCGGTTGCGACCAGGCCGCTTCGATCTCTGGGGGAGCTCCCACCAGATCTTTCATGTGCTGGTGGTCTGCGCCGCCGTCGCTCATCTGACCGGGTTGCTGGAAGCGTTTGATTACAGACACAGCGGCACTGCAGACAGCTGTCGGGGCAGTGCGCAGTGATTCGCTCACTGGTTCTTGGGAGATCGCACAGGCAAGCAGTTCTGTGTGGATCCCCCCCCCCTCCCCCTACCATCCTCACCTGTAGCCATAACCTAATCGTGCCCCTCAAGTAATAGAGATGACTTGATGATGATGCTGACGCCTTCACGGCTGATACGAGACATGTCTAACCCTGGGGATTCCACATGCTGACCATTGCAACATGGGCCAGCGGCTGCTGGGACAAGAAGGGGAGGGGAGAAAGAAAAAACAAACTTCCCCCTCTCCTCCAAATAGGGGGTGGTGTGAGAGAACGCCCAGGATACAATCCCCATGCTCAGAATAATAATAATAATAGCCCTTGGTCTGGCGACAGCAAGCCCGTTCACCGCTTGCCTGGGCATTTCAAACTGGGCAGGCGAATAAGGGTGCGTTCCCGCATCGGTTTTACAGCTCACATGGTGTGCTGGCCTGCATACCGATAGAATCACCCTAGACGGCGCGCTGCCCTCCTCATTGGATGCTACGTCAGACACAATGGTCTTGCATTGCCGTGGCTCATTCGAGAGCATTAGAGTTGGTCGGCCTGGTGGCCCCCACTGGGCTTGACAACGATGTTGCACCTGAGCTTATTCTTCCAGGCTTCTTACGTTGGAGCAGTGGGCAGCCCCTATCAGAGGCAAAGTTGGCGGTAGCCAAGCACTCTGGCATTTGCCCTTTCTGACAAGTAAGATGAAGGTCAGTTGGACTATGCTGAAGAGCTGCCAGAGCGGACTGGCCACGGCTCCCATGCGAGGTGGATCAGATGAAATCTTAGGGTGTCACAACGGCTGACTTCATCTGCGCTTGCCGTCGGTTCATGAATCCCGATACGAGCCCTGCATGCCAGCACGATGGATTGGTATATATAAGATTGCGCTGGTCGGCGGGCCCGATGAAGGGGCTCTTGCAATATCTTTTCCCCCTGATTTTCACGTCGGTTGCTGTGCCATTCCCTTGACTCGAAGTTAACCAGGTGTCGGTCTGTCCTTGATGGTTCAGACGTCCCCCTAGTCTACCATCTGTCTCATCTTCCACCTAGTCTTTGGCCCGACCAATACATCCTATAAACATCCATAAATGCTAGCCGAATCCGAACACGCCGTCAGCAACGGAGATCCCCCCAAGCTCCGGGCTGCTTGCGAGAACTGCAGGCAGTCGAAGGTGAAGTGCAATCTATCGGGGAAGGATACTTGTATTCGCTGTCTGCGTCACGGACTGCCATGTCGATATCGTGTTGCAAATCGATCCGGAAAGCCCAAGGGGAGTAAGAACCGGGCAACGCTGCGGAAGCTTGGACAGTTGCAAGACGAAAAGAAGCCCACGATATCCACTAGTGGGTGGACCGACGCTGCAGGTAAAGGGCAATCCCATCGGATCAGCTATGATGCAGATCACAGTGTCGATGCAATGGTGCGTTCCTTTTCCTTCCTCTTGAAGGCATGGGCCCGTCTCTAACAGGCTATAGAGTCCGCAGGACACGAGCCCAACGAGTCAATCCAACAGCCCTGATAGCCATGGGGCGAACATGACCGACACCACCTTACTGACGGACCCTACTGTGGAATATCCGCCCCTCGGGGAGACGCTGCCATCGGCCGCTCCAGTCTTCAACCCGACCTCCATGTCGCCGACGTTCCTGCAGAAGGAGTTCATCACCAAGGGATTCACCAGCTGCCCGCTTGCGGTGCACATTCCCAACACCTTGCAGCCCTGTGAATGCAGTAGCGTACTCTTCTACCACGGGAACCGGCTGCGGCACATGCTGGCCGACAGCATCCATCTCCGGCTAGACCAGATGCTACAGGGGATCAAGATTGCATTGACCGTGTGCCGTGGCTTTCTGCAGTGCCCCAATTGTCACAAGGACAATACCAACCTGCTCTTCTCGGTGTCGATCCTGGAGATCACGCTGCAGCTCTTTGAATACTGTATCAGGTATGAGTTCTCATCCCAGTCGGCCAGCGATCATAGCATGATCGTTGGATACGGCGAGTACGAGATGAGCGCGGACGAGACGCGACGGATCCGGCGGTTCCTCGTCCGGGGCCGGCTGCTGCAGGGCAAGGAAGTGCTGGGACTACTGAAGGAAGCCGTGGAGATGAGCGGACAGATGAGCCCCGAGCTGCGGGATCTCCACGGGACGGATGGATTGGAGGGAGAATGGCTTCAGACGATCCTGATGGGGTACGAGGGGGCGGTGGAGACGTGGTTGCAGGCCATGTCGGATAGTATGTGCAGTACGTAGATACCCGGATGATAATGATTGATTCTATTGTGATTGTATACGCATCTCATTGTAGATAATTGGTACCTGATGATCGCCAGGTACAATACATACATACATACATACATACATACATACATACATACATACATACATACCTTGACCCGAGCTCGGCAAATACGAGCCTCGGCAGAACCTCTCTCTTCTCCTCACTCTTCACTCCTCATCTCCAACTACATCCATCCCTCCCTCACTTCTCAATCCTCATTCCACACCACAATCCCAAATACAAGACAAAACAAAGAAGAAAGAAATATGGACCGCCTCTCCCAAATCACCTCTCATCTCACCTTCCCCCACGGCCTCCTGGCCAACCAAGTAGCCATCATCACCGGTGCCGGCCAAGGCATCGGGGCCGAAACCGCCCGGTTATTCGCCAACGAGGGGGCCAAAGTCATCATTGCCGATATTGATGCTGGTAAGTAAGCCTCCTATTCCTATCCAACATATATACATACATACATGCATAGCATATTATACATACATCACTCAGTAATAATATACATGAAAACATTCCCTACTACACTAATATCCAATCATATACTACTACACCATACAAAAAACTAACCCATAAACCAGAAAAAGCATCCTCCACAGCCACCCTCATAAACTCCATCCATCCTAACCGCGCTCTCGCCGTGCCTGGGGACATCCTCTCCGATATTTACATAACAGACCTGATTCAAAAGGCAGCGGAGTTTGGGAATGGGAAGATTCATATTATTGTGAATAATGCGGGGTTTACGTGGGATGGGGTTATACATAAGGTATATATTATCCATTCTCTTTTCTTATGTGTTTTACTTTGGTGTGTGCGTGTGTGTAGTATCATATATACATACATACTCCGTATATTATTCCCTGGCTAATATGCTCAATGATATGATTGATGGGTTACAGATGACAGATAAACAATGGACCACCATACTGGCAATCCACAACACAGCACCATTTAAACTCATCCGTGCAGCAGCGGGATACTTTCGTGTCAAAGACGGGGAGTCAAGAGTGGTGATTAATATAAGTAGTACGAGTGGGGTGCATGGGAATGCGTACGTTTACTTTACCTACCTACCTTTTTCCTTCTCCATTCATTCTGTCTACATTTCCTTCCGGCTTTTATGTAAATTCTCTACTCGACTACAAACACCCACCATATTGTATCTATACTAATATATAATGCAGCGGTCAAGCCAACTACGCCGTCGCCAAAGCCGGTATAATCGGACTCACCAAAACCATTGCGAAAGAATGGGGTCCGGCGTTTGGGGTCCGGGCCAACACCATCGCTTTCGGGTTCGTGAGTACCCGTCTGACTGCAGCTAAGGAGGATGGAGCGTTCATTACTACCCCTGATGGGACTAAGGTGGCCCTGGGGATCCCAGGGAAGCAGTTGGCGGGGCGGAAGGGAGATGAGAAGACGCAGGCGTATCCGGATATCCCGCTGGGACGGCCGGCCAGTGCGGAAGAGGCAGCGTGGGCCATTCTGGGGGTGGCCAGTCCGTTGTTTTCGTATGTGAGTGGGGAGACCATTCGGGTGACCGGGGGGAGGAATATGTAATTGTGGTTTACAATTACCATGCGTGAATAGATTGAGGAATGCGATTGGTCAATGTGGAGGTGGTATTGATTTTATTCAATGTCCAATGCGATATCAGAAGTCGCATTCGAAAGGTGGTAGTGTAGTAGTAGTGGTAGTACATCAAAACTATAGTACAGGAAGTCGTCATCAATAGCCCGCGCCGGAAACAAGGCTGCGTATCATGTCCCGCCCGTCAGATCGACCAGGCTGGCCATGTCACGCCAGGAGCACTGCAAGACGGAGATCGGACTGGTCGAGACCAGCCTGCTGAGCGCCCGGTGGCTGCCCGCCAGGGGCCCTCGAGTGGGTTGGCTGTAGCGCCGGCTGACGGTTGCATTGCGTCCAGCCTTCTGGTGGAGCGCCTGGACTGCTACAGAATAGCATAGCAGGGACAGACGTCCGCTCGCCAGTGGCCAACGGGGCCCAAACCACGGCCCCAGCCTTACTGGATAAGCGTGTCAGAAGTCCAGGCAGATACCGGCAAAGGAAAAAAACATCGTCTAGTCCTCGTCTCTATTGCAGATATCGTATCCAAGGCGACCACCAAGCGGGTCGCACGAGCACTCCAGGCCTCGCGGCCAGACAGCCGGCCCTGCCAGTGGTGGGCAGGCCGCCGTCCATCCCCTCAGTTCCACCAGGAGATCCAGTCCGAAATCAAAAACTATTTATCGACAGATTATGTAAAAGAAGAAGAGAAGCGTTCCTCACGACTCAGGTATCATCCCAAAAGAGCGACCCAGCGTGCCATCCAACTCCTAGCGGAAACTCAACAATCCAAATGCAAATGCTTCATCTCGGCTGCGGGGTATTTTTCTTTTCTTCTTTCAAGCCAATGGTCGATGAAAACGCCGCCAACACCCAGTATCATGACACCAATCAACACAAGTATATCACCAGAAACCACAAAATCCTCCCAAAGGTGGTAACATATTAATAGTAACAGGGCCTCGGTTTCTGCCCGGTCAATGGACCTGGCCGCGCGGGGCGAGCCGGCAGAAACCCGTTTTCAAAGGGGCAATTTATGCCCACGGCTGAGCTCCAGTGGATGTCAATCCGGGTATAATATCCAAACTCCAGGGAATGGAAGCCAATTGTAAAGCGAGAAAAAATAATAAAGGCGTATGTCCAGAAAGAAATCGATCTCCTCGGCTTCCCTCCTGCGGAAATAATACAATGTCGCTGGAATTATGCAAGGCGGAGATGATCCAAAATGGGTAATGGGTGTATGAAAAGATCCAAATCCAGTGGGGGTGTAAAATTCGAAATAATTGCCGTTAATCGTAAACCTGCGTTAAAAGTGGCTTTTTTGCTTTTTTTTTTGGTTTTTTCCCTTGGGGACGGTTTGGCCCGGTCGGCCAATTCAGCAGACGGGAATAGGGATGATGAAAGGGGCATGGGAGAAAAGATGCGGCTCCGGGAGGTCGCCGCAGGGGAGGAGGGGATCCGGGAGGAAGTCATCCTTGCAGTCCAGCTCGGGATCCAGCCCAACGGAAGACATCGACGACACACTGTCGAGGTCGGGATAGCCTTCCGTGAAGGATGAAGCATCCGAGACGGCCGAGTCCGAGAAATCGGAGTATTGGGAGGATCCAGACGAGACAGAAGAGGATTGGGTGTGGAAGGTGTCCACGGGGACGGACACCGGGACAGGGCCGTTGACATAATCAACGGGCACCGGTCCAGGGGCAGACCAAGGGGTGATGGGGTTCAGAGTAAACTGCGGGCACTCCAGGATCAACTGGCGCAGCTCCGGGATGGTAATCCGCTTGGAGGGATCGCACTCAAAGATGCGGTTCAGGATACAGATCATCTCATCCGACAGAGGCAGGATAGACTTCAGGAAGTAAGGGTCCTTGAGATAAGCTCGGAACGTGGAATCCTCGATCGAGGCACGTTTCCAGGGGTTGCGACCGCAGGTCAGATTGACCAGGATAACGCCCAGGCTCCAGACATCATTAGGTGCCGACTCATAGAACGACATGGGTCGGGGATTGGGTTGCTGGCATTCTTTGGGTTCACACCTCGTCAGCGAATGTCTCATCGAAGGGGCGGGTGGTATGGGGGCTCACTTACCTGGCGACATGTAGAATGTGGACCCGCAACCAAAATCCGACGTGAGGTAATCCGTGGTGGCCAGGCCAAAGTCGGCCAGTTTCACCGTCAAGCCCTGGTCCGTTACCAAGATGTTCTCCGGCTTGAGGTCCCGGTGGTAGATTCCTAGGGAGTGGCAGAAGTGGACCGCATCCAGGATTTGGAGAAAAACCCGCTTGACCAGGGGATCATTGCCCACGAAGTTGCCCTTTTCGGTGATGCTGGAGAACAGATCGCCTTCGGGACAGAACTCAATGACCACATAGGTGCAGTCAACCGAGTCCATGATGCGAACCAAGGAAACCACATTGGGGTGTTGGCTGGCCATATGGTGCAGCTTGATCTCCCGCTGCTGGAACTTGAGCTGCCGGGGATCCAGCCCGGTCTTGTTGAGGGCTTTGACAGCATACAGAACATTGGTATGGATGTCGACGGCCGTGTACACCACTCCATAGGCTCCGACGCCTAGGATGCTAGTGAGTTCCAAGCGGTTGGCCAAGAGGAATCCTAGACGGTCTTCCGGAGCATAGCAACGGGCGATGGGCGGAGATGGCGGCGGAGTGGGGGGCATGGGGGGATACATGCCGTACAAGGGAGAAGGGGGTAGCATGAGCATGAGGAAGGTTGACACGGGGTGGCAGATAGGGATTAAGGCACAAGACTCGAGCACGCCGGCAAGAGTCTCCTGGAGGGATCAAGAAGGGAAGTGGAATGGGATGGTTCTTCTTCTTGTCTTCTTGTCAACGGCTGTAAGGGGGTCGATATAAATCCTGGGGTCCAAAATCCGGTGGCGGGTTTCAGAGGGCCTGTACGGAAGAGAGAGCCGGGAGCACAAAAGGAGAGTCGCCTGTCTTGTTTCCTTTTTCACTTGTTCAGGGAGCCATTGAAGGAATGCAGTTGGTCAACTGGGAAGCAATCAAATCCTAGGGAATGTCCTGGTAATGGTTGTGCTGGTAGTGGCAGTGGTTGGCAGTGGAGTAGTTGTCGAGGTGATGCTGATGGCGAATATTATTTTTGGCTTATGGGGAGATAGTCCAGGGAAGTTGCACAGCCAGGGATGAATGCACAGTCCAGGGAAGCAGTCAGATGGGGGCCAGTGACCGGTTAATATGGCCGTGGGGGGGGGAAGGTATAAAGGGGCGGGTGCAGTGAAGGATAGGATCAGGGGGGGGGGGCGGTTGAATGGTATAATATATGCAAAGCCCGGGCAACTATAGAAGCAGTAGCAGCAGCCGTAGTAGCAGCAGTACCGCAGAAAGAAAGGAAAAGCAAGCAAAGCAAAGCAAGAAGGAAGACGATCGATGAGTTGACGGTGACTCGTCGGAAAGAGGAAAAACGATCAAACAGGCCAAGCGGACGGGAAAGGGGACAGGAACTAGGAAGGAGTAAGAGCGACGGAGGAGGGGAGGAGAGGAAAGTATAGGGAAGAGGTAAAAATAAGTAAAAGTAAGATTAATATGATTCTGGCGATGATGGACGGTCGATAAGAGAAGAGTGGAGA